GCAGAGGCGCAGCAGGGCCGCAGCGGTGAGATGGGCAGCGCTGGCAGCGGCGCAGCAGGGCCGCAGCGGTGGGATGGGCAGCGCTGGCAGAGGCGTAGCAGGAGCGCAGCGGTGGGCTGGGTAGCGCTGGGATCTGCTCCGTTGCCGGCAACCGCAGCGGGTACGTGCGCTGCGAGTGCCTGCTGTGTCGCTCTGTGCTGCCCTGGCTGCGCTGCGGCAGGCACCCATGTCAGGGCGACACACGACCGCAATGCTGACTGTCGGCCAGGACGGCGGAGAACTTCCGGCAGCTCTGCACCGGCGAGCATCGGTGAGTGCTGGCCCGACGCAGGTCACACTCCATGCTCTGGCGGCTCATGCGCAGCGCAGCGTGAACCTGCAGCCGCAGGGGTACAAGTCAAGCATCTTCCACAGAGTCATCCGCGACTTCATGGTGCAGGGCGGCGACTTCCTCAACGCCGACGGCAGCGGCAGCTTCTCCATCTACGGCGACAAGTTCGACGACGAGGCGTTTGTGCACAAGCACGATCAGCCGGGCCTGCTGAGCATGGTGCGTGGTGCGCGGTGCTCATGAGGTGCGCTGCTGACTCCAGTGCAGGCCAATTCCGGGCCAAATACAAACGGCTGCCAGGTGAGTCCACGCCGCCGCCAGTGTGCGCAGTCCACACCTCGCACCCGGCCTCACACCCTGCCAGTTCTTCATCACCTGCCAGCCGTGCGACTTCCTCGACGGCAAGCACGTCGTCTTCGGCAAGGTCGTCGAGGGCCTGCTCACGCTGCGCAAGATCGAAAACGTGCCGACGGGGCAGAACAACCGGCCACGCATGGCCGTGCGCATCACCGAGTGCGGCGAGATGTAATGCAGGACTGCACAGGCGCGTGCGTGTGCGGGCATCCATTGCAGAGCTGTCGCGGGCTGCCGCGCTCAGTGCCGTGTAAAGTACTCGCCGAGTTGCGCCAGCGCAGCCTGCGGCAGGCGTCAGCATGGCAAGTGCGCGCCTCATCACGGCACGCACCTCGTATGGCGCCTCCAGCCGCTGTCGCTGGTCATCCTCCAGCGCCGGCAGCTTCTTGACCTTGGCCTTGCGCGCGCTCCGCTCGAGCATTGCGCGAAAGTAGCGCGCCTCCTGCTTCTCGACGAGCGTCCAGGCGTCGCCCTCGCGGCCCGCACGCGCCGTGCGTCCGACGCGGTGGACGTACTTGGCCATGTCGACGGGCGCGTCGTAGGATAGCACGTGGTCGACGTGCGGCAGGTCCATGCCGCGCGAGATCAGGTCCGATGCAATGAGGCTGCGCAGGGGTCAGCACCTCTGCCAGTGCACACGCTCGTGCTCCACTCACACGTCGATCTCGCCGCGCTTAAACCGCGCCAGCACGCGCGCGCGCAGGTGCGGCGTCAGGTCGCTCGAGTACTCCTCGGCGCTGACCGCCGGCCCTGCCCACTGCGCGGCAAAGAACTGCAGCAGCTTCAGCAGCCGGCCCGAGCTCTCGACGCTCTTGGTAAAGACGAGCACGCGGCGCAGCGGCGCCTCGCGCGTGTACAGCAGCGAGAGCAGCACGAGCGGCTTGTCCGCCGGCGCCACGACGGCCATGTGCTCGCGCAGCGTGGCCGGCAGCGCAAAATCGTCGGCGGCATCGATCGTGTGCGTGCGGCTGCCGTCCGCTGCGCTGCGCACGGAGATGAAGCGCGCCTGGCGCAGCTCCAGCGCAGCAATCTTGGCTGGATCGCGCGTGAGCGTCGCGGAGAAGAGCAGCTTCTGGACGTGCTGCGCCGGGAGTCAGCATGCATGTCTGACGCCGTGCTCGCTCCACTCACGCTTTCGCGAGGCACCCGCTGTCCCACTGGCATGCCGCGGCCCGCCGCTTCTTGGCGCAGCCACGCCGGAGCCAGCACAGCGGAGTCACAGTCCTTCTGCGCCGGCTCCAGCGCGCCGAGCAGCCGTGGCAGCCAGCTCTGAAAGCTCTGGGCCAGCAGCCGGTCTGCCTCGTCGATCACCAGCCAGCGCAGGTGCTGCAGGGTGAAGCCGGACGTGGCGTTGAGGTGGTCGACCAGACGGCCAGGCGTGGCCACGACAATGTCGACGCTCTCGCCCAGCGCCTTTGCCTCGCTGGCGAAGCTGCCAAGTCCGAGCGCAGCGGTGCGCAGCGGCGTGCCGCGGCACAGCCGGTCGAACGTGGCGAGCACCTGCGTGACGAGATCGCGCGTGGGCAGCACCACGAGCGCGCGTACCGCCGGAATGATACGTGCGCGCAGCCGCACGACGAGCGGCACCGCATACGCCAGCGTCTTGCCCGAGCCCGTCGGGGCAGACACGCACAGGTCGCGTGCCGGGTGCGATGGGTACAGCGAGGTGGAAACGGCGTCGTCGGCGAGCAGCAGTGGGAGCACAGCGGTCTGGACTGCAAGTCAAGCCAGTGTCAGCTAGCGTACTCGTGTCGCGTGGCTGCTACTCACCAGCGAACCAGTCCTTGACGCCGAGCTCCGCAAGTCTACGCTTCATCTCCGGCCCGACCGGGAACCCGTGCGCCTCGCCGTCCGCGTCGTCCGCATCGAGCGTGCCGCGGTGCGCCGGATCGACGATGGTCGCATCGCGCAGGCCTTGCGGCAGGCCCTGTGCGGCCAGCCGCTCCTGGTCGGGCACAAAGGTGGCGTGCGGCTCGGGAAAGCGCATGAGCGCCTGAGGCGGCTCGGCCGCATCCTTCGGCGTGGCGCTCGCGTCCTCATCGTCGTGAGCCGGAGTCGAGGCCCGTGAGGAAGAGGCGGACGACGAAGCAGAGGAAGATGCAGAGGACGAGGCGCTGGCTGACACTGCAGCTACTGGCTGTGCTGGTGCAGCGATTGGCGGCTCATTCGCTGCGGGCTGCGGCGCCTGCGCTGCGTCGCTGGCTGCTCGCCGTGCCTTCTTGGCAGGCCGTGCGGCGCTGCTCGTCTGTGCAGCCTCTGCCGGCGCTGCCTGCTCTTCCCGTGCCCGCTTGGCCGAGCGCTCCTCGCGCATGCGCCGCTTCTGCTCGCGCCGCAGCAGCCGCTGGCGCTCGAGCTCAAACGCCTCGCCCGCGCCGTCGACCTCCTCGTCGGCGGCCGCCTCACGCGGCGCGGCCGGCGCCTGCGGCGCGGCGATGCTCGGCTGCCGCGCCAGCTTGCCCTCGCCCGGCGCCGGTGCGGCGACGGCCTTGCTCTTGAGCTTGCGGCGCTCCTTCTTGCCGCGCAGGTAGCGCTCCTTTGCCTTTGTGCGCGGCGCCGCGACGCCGGCTGCCGTGCGCGCCTTGTTTGCCGACGCACGCAGCAGCGGCGCGGCCGCGAGACGCGACGGGTGGATGGCAAGGCCCGTACCCAGCACCGGCGCGGGTGCAGCGGCGACACTGGGCCCAGCAGCAGCGCCGGCTCGCGGCGGAGCGGCGGCGCGCTTGGCGGCGATGCGCGCATTGAGCGCCGAGAGGGCGGCGTCGGGCGCAGAGGCGCCAGGCGCAGCGGCGTGGCCCTGCGCCGAGGCGGCCGAGGCGCCGGCGTCGAAGCGCGGCACGCTGAACATGGCGGAGGGCGGTGGAGGATGTGGTGGAGAGCGTGACAGGCAGCCGGAGCGGTGCTCAGAGGGAAGCAGCGAAATCTGGCTGACATAAGCAGGACCTCTCCGCTGCGATGCGCTACCAGTACTCCACAGCCGCCGGCGCCCCGCTCGCGCTTCTCACTCCCCGACCACCACCGCTGCAGCCGCAGCATGCCCGTCGCCGAGCCGGCTGCCGCGTCGCCGCACGAGCCTGCGCCTGCTGCGCCCGTGCCTGCCGCTGCCGCGCGCACGCCGCCGCCGGCGCTCGCCGGCACCGCTCACTCGGCGCTGCAGCGCGTCGTCGCCCACGTCGCCCACGGCCTGCTGGCCCGCCAGCGCGCCGCTCCCGGCGCCGTGCCGCCGCCGCCGCTGCATGCTCTGGCGCAGCAGGCGGGCATCTACGTCGCCGCCCTCGACGGCCTGCGCCTCTGGATCGTGAGTTGGGCGGTGAGGCGCACGCTCGGCGGCGGCGGCTCACACCACGCACAGGACGAGGCGCAGCCGCTGCTGCTGGCAGAGCTCGCGCGCGCCCAGGTGCGCGAGCAGGCCGAGGCGCTCGCAGCCGCACAGGCCGCACAGGCGGAGCTGCAGCGCCTCGAGGAGGAGGCCCGCGTCAAGCGCGAGGCGGAGGCGGCCGAGGCGGCACGTCTGGCGCGCGAGCAGGCCGAGCGCGAGGCCGAAGAGGCACGCCGCGCAGACGAGATGCAGCTCGACACGCCGCCGCTGCCGGAGGAGACAGCAGAGGCGCCGGCGGCCGGCACTGACGTCGTCGCACTCGACTCGGACGACGACGACGACAAGCCGCTCGCGGCAGCCGGAGCAGGCCCCTCTGCGCCCGCAGAGCCCGCGGCAGCCATCGATCTGACCTACAGCCCCGCTGCCACGCCCAGCGCGCCAGCGAGCAGCGACGCCCCTGCCGCGCCGCCTGCGCCGGCCGGCGCAGCGTCGTGGAACCTGCAGGACCCGGCCAGCCTGCTTGCGTCGCTCACCGGCATCGCCGCAGCGCCCGGCCTCGCGAGCTCCGCGCCGGGCGACGCGCCGCCCGCGGCCGCGCAGCCGGACTGGTCGCAGTTCGACCTCTCGTCCATCGGCGATCTGAGCGCATTCGGCGGCGGCCCGCAGACGGGCGAGGACGTGAGCATGGACATGGGGCAGAACCTCGGCGGGCTCGGCGACTTCGACTTTGACTTTGGCGAGTTTGGGCGGCACTTTGGCGCCGGCGACGGCGACGGCGACGGATACGGCGGGCAGAACGCGTAGCGGCGCCGGACAGCGGCACCGCACACTGTATTTGTAATGGCAGCTTGCGTCACACTGGTCTCATTGAGCCGTCTGCCATGGCGGCGTCCTGTCCCGGTACTCTTACTGTCCCGAGCGCAGTCCGCACGTCCGCGATCTCCTGGCGCACCTCGGCACATCGCCTGTCCGTGCGTCAGCATGGCACACGGCACACTCCTGCTGCCACTCACGAGCGCAGCAGCGCCGTCTCGGCGCGCCGGCGGTCGAGCTGGTCGCGCATCGTCTGCTTGAGCGCCTCGCGCGCCTGCAGTAGGGTTCAGCGCGGCAATCAGCACCAGAGCGGGGCGACGCACCTGCCGCGGGCGCAGCTCGTTGACGAGGTGCTGCATGTTGATGATGGCGCTGCGCGCATGCTCCCACTGGTCCATCGCCGTGCTGCGCAGCACGGCGACCTGCCCGCCCGGCGCCTGTTCGTCGGCCTGCCACGCCGTGTACTCGCGCGGCGGGTGCGTGAGGGCGTCGACGAGCGCGAGATGCGCCATGAGAAAGGTGCGCAGCAGCGCCTGCAGCGAGACGCGCCGGTCGGGCTCGGTGGCGTCGTAGAGGCACGGCACGCCCGAGCCCTCGAGCGTCGGCGCCGGCGGCGTGATCTGCCGAGGAGCGCTTCAGTCGTGATGCCACGTCGTCTGCATGGCCCGCGCTCACCTCCCAGCGCTCGCCCCATGTCCAGTAGGCGCCGTCTTGTTCGATCCAGTCGAGGCGCGGCGCGTCCATCTCTGCCAGCACGTCCCAGGCGACCTCGGGCGCCTCGTCTCCTAGCACCGCGCTGGACAGGCGCTCGTCATCGGGAGTCGATGTGCCGTTCGCTGCCGGTGCGGCGCCCTCCTCGGCGGCGGCGGCGCGCAGCACGTCGTTCTGCGCCGCGATGCGCTCGTGCGGCGCCAGTGCGGCCCAGCCGTCGAGCTGCGGGCGCGCGGCGTGCCAGGCCTGCAGCACGGCGAGGCGCGCCATGTTGGCGGGCGTCCAGCGCGCCGCCGACGCCGGCGGCGGCGGGTAGAGCGTCGTGAGGCCGGGCGACGGCGAGCGCGACGGCGAGCGCGACGCGGCGCTGGCGGGCGCCGCCGGCCCGGGCGACGCGGACGGCGACATGGCGCAGGCCGCAAGCGTGCTGGAGCTGCACGCGGGCGTGGAGAGGGCGGTGTGAGTGTGGTGGTGGAGAGAGAGCGAGGATGCGGGGAGCGAGGCCGGCCGGGAAGCAGCCAGCGTCGCCCGAGTGCCGCGCCGGCGTCACGTGCGGCGCGCGCACGTTGGCCCCTCCACATCGAGCACTACGACGGCGGATGGCGTCCTCACCTCATCGGCGATCCTTCGCTACTCCTGCACCACCACCACGGCCAGCATGACGTCCTACCTGCCCTACGATATCCAGTCGCTCCTGCCGCGCGGCGGGCCCAGCGTCGCCTCGCTGCCCGCCCACGGCGCGCCGGCACCGAGCCTGCCGGGCGTGCGCTTCTCGCGTCCGACGTGCGTCGCCTTCGTGCGCCACTGCGGGTGAGTCGCAGGTGCCCGGATTGCGCTGCGCTGCGCTCACACTCCGCACAGCTGCCCCTTTGCCGAGGCCGAGGTGCGCTCGCTGCGCGACGTCGCTCAGGCGCGCGACGACGTCGACATCGTCATCATCACGCACTCGGAGCAGGACGTGGCGCAGGAGTGGTTCAAGAGCGTCGGGTGCGTGCGAGCCGCTGCATTGCCGTGGCAGGCAGCCCACCCATCCTCCGCAGCGGCGACGACTTCCCGCAGTCGCGCGTCACGCTGCTCGCCGACTCGACGCGCGAGCTGTACGCGGCGTGGGGCCTCGGCGCGCTGCCGCTCACCGGCCTCTTCTCGTGGGCCATGGTCGGCGAGCTGCGCGCGCTGGCGTCGCAGGGCATCAAGAACCGCCGCACGGGCGCCGGCAGCTGGCGCTGGCAGAACTCGGGCGGCTTCGTCGTGGATGCGGCGGGCAAGGTGCGCTGGCACAAGGTCGCCACGCACGCCGGCGACACGGTCGACTACGCCGCCGCGCTCAAGGACGCCGGCGTGTAGCCGCGCAGTGTGGGCTCTGCCGTGGCCGCCAGTCTACCCTGCGCCGGCCCTGGAATCGCCCGTCTTTGCACATACGGTGACTCGTTGATTGCCTCACGCGCGGCTCTTCTTGCTCGCACCCGTGCCCGCCGCCGCGCCCGCCTTGCGCTTCGTGCCCTGCGCCGGCGCGCCGCCCATGAGGGCCTCGCGCACGACGGCGTACTCGCGCTCGAACGCCTGCTCAAACGCGCGCGCCCACGCCAGCACGTCGTCGTTGCCGTCGTTGAAGCGGTAGCAGTCTGGCGCGGCGTGAGCAGCGCGACGTGCGGCGATGCACAGGCCCACTCACTCTGCAGCATCAGGCGCACGTCGTCGGCCAGCGCGTCGGGGTTGTCGTAGGCATTCAGCTCCTTGAGCTTCGTGGCAATGAGCGAGAGGTCGCGTGCGTCCTCTTTGCGAATGCTGGACACGGACGAGTGAGCTTCGCCTCGCGCCGCGACCGGCACCGCACCCACATGGAAAAGTAGTTGGGCAGCATCGTCGTGTCGACGGGCTTGGCGAACTGCGCGCCACCGAGTGAGACAGACCCAGCCGCGCAGGCCGTCCGCACTCACCAGCTGCGCCTCGTGCACCTTGCCCAGCCGCGTGAGCATGCCCGACAGCTTCGACTTCTCCTGGTCGTCGAGGCGGCGCACCATGGCCGCGCCAAACTCCTTGCGCCAGATGCGCTCGAGCGCGTCGGCCTGCACCGCCGGCGCCGTGCCCGGTGGGTTGAACTGATGCGCGTTGCGCACAATGAGCAGAAAGTCCTCGGCGAAGTGCGCCATGTCCGTGTACTCGTGCGCCACGAGCTGCTGCGCGTCAGCGAGGCACAGAAGACACGCTTCGGGCGCCTCACCTTCTTCTCCATCGTCTGCAGGTCCATCGGATTGGCAATCTCCTCGTAGTACGCCGGCAGCATGGCCGCGTCGACGGGGAAGCGGAAGAATTCCGACTCGGGCTTCTTCTTGAGGTTCGCCAGCAGCGCCTTGCTCTGCTTGAAGTGGATCGGCTCGCCGCGGCCGGCGGCGACGGGGTCGGCCTCGCACTCCTTGCGGCTGCGCGCTGGCCTGCTGAACGACGGACCGGCCGAGGGGTCGACGGGCGCCGGCGACGCCGCAGCGGCCGCCTTGACGGGCTTCGCCAGCACCACACGCTTCTTGTCGGCCTTCTTCGGCTTGGCCTCGAGCTTCTCGGGCGACGCGGCGCGTGGAACGCTGGCAGCCAGGGCCTCCTCGGGCGACGACGGCTCAGACGAGGCTGCGCGCGGCGGCGGAGTGACCTCGCGGCGCGGCGGCGGCGAAGCAGCAGGAGGTGGGTCGTCGCGAGGCTTGGGCTTGAGCTTCAGCTTCAGTCCGATCTTAATCTTCGGCGCGGCTGGCGGCTCGGCCGCGGCGGGCGCCCCAGCGTCTGGCTCTGCCTGGACTGCAGTCGGCTCGTGCGGCGCAGCATTCGCAGCCTGGACCGCCGGCGGAGCTGGCTCCTCGGCCGCCTGAGCCTCGTCGGCCGATGCGGCGGCGCTCGCAGCAGCAGAGGCCGCCGCTGCGCCCGCACGCGCCTTGGCCTCCGTCTGCGCAATCGTCTTGCTGATGCCGGCCCAGCGCTTGGTAAAGGCATCCTCGAGCGCCAGCGCATCGCGGTGCACGCGTGCTGTCGTGGCGGGCGTATACGTCTTGGCGTTTTGCGTCATCAGCTCGATGTCGCTCTTGAACTCGAAGCGGTCCTTGTACAGGCCCTCGTTGAGCTTGCTCTTGATCGACGACAGGTCGATCGGCGTCTCGATGACGTTGAAGTAGTTTGGCGCGTGGTCGCGCACCGGGTCGACTGGGTGGCGGAAGAGCATCGAGTGCTTGCCCATGCGCCGGTCGTCGAAGAGGTCCTTGAGCAGACTGCGGCACACCGTCAGGTCGGACGGCGACATGCCAGACGTCTGCGCCACGTCGAGCGGCTTGGCCTTGCGCGGACGCGGCGCCTTGGCCTTCGGTGCGGGCGCCGGCTTGGCCTGTGCTGCCGTGGAGAAGGACACGCGCGGGCCGCTCGCCTGCACGGCGACGTCGTCTGCGGGCGCAATCTCGGCCGTACTGGGCGCCTCGCTGGCCGCGGCATCGAGATTCTTGAGCTTGATGCGCGTGGTCGTGGGCGTCGACACTGCGCCTTCGCCCGCCAGCGCGCCGCTGAGACTCGGCATGCGCACGCGGATCGACAGCTTCTGCTGCTGGAACGGCACCTCGTGCTCGACGCTCGGCTTGAAGAGAATGTCGGCAAACTTGAGCAGTGCCCAGCGCGCAGACATGTCCGCGTCTGGCGCCAGCAGCGCAGAGAGGAAGCCTTCGCGCACGCCGGCCGAGCGGCCCAAGTCGCGGCGCAGCGGCTTGAGCTTCGAGTCCACTGCGCCGTCGCCCTGCTCGCCGTCGAGGTCGTCCATACCGCCCTCTTCAAGCAGGCTCGCCGTGGCAAAGTCTCCTGCCGAGACGGCGACAGCCAGCGCCTCGCAGATGGCACGCGCGAGCCCGCGCTTGACGAGGCGGCTCTCGTCGGTGCGCAGCACGGCGAACAGATAGCGCGTAATGACCTTGTGCTGCAGGCCGCGCAGCAGCAGCAGGCAGTTGAAGGCCGTCGACCGGACGGGCGCGAAGCTGCCCTGCCGCGTGTACGACAGGTACAGTGGCAGGTCGACCGGCTGTAGGTTGGCCAGCGTGAGCGACGTGTTGAAGTCGAGCGCCGCCATGGTGATGACGTTGTGGTACGACGGCACGAGCTTGTCGAGCTCGCGGAAGCGCTCTACCTCGTAGCGCGCCTGGAAGAGCAGGTCGTCGTCGTCGGCGGCGTCTGGGTCCTCCGAGGCCGGCACGTAGCCGCCGTGCACGTGCGACTCGACTGGCACAAATGCACTCGCGAGCGCCTCGATGGCGCCGGCGACGTAGAAGTCGTCGACGAACTTGTTCGTCGAGTTGTCGTTGTAGCGCAGCACGTTGATGAGGAAGCGCTTGACGGACGGCAGCGTGCGGCCGCGCGGATTGCGCACGCGGCTGATGGCTGCGACGAGGGCGCGCTGCACGAAATAGTCGGCGAGGTCGCTGAAGTCGTTGGCGCGCGGGATGCACGGCACGTCGAGCAGGCTGGTCAGGCGCTCAGTGACCGCTGCAGGCGGCTCGTGGCAGTGGCGCGCGCGGAAGAGCATGAGCAGATGGAAGAGGCCGAGGTATTGGTGCTCCGGCACGGCGCACGACACGAGCGCGTTGGCCGCCTCGATGCGCACGCGGAAGAAGTACTTGGGCACGAGCACCGTGCGCGTGAGCATCGAGCTCGAGATGGGGTTCGGCAGCTGCGCGAGCGCCTGGATCGCCGCAACCTGCGCCACGACGTCGCGGTCGCGCTCAAGCTGAGAGACCCACATGAAGTCGGGCTGCTGGAAGTACACGGCCGAGAGCCACTCAAAGTCGGCGTCCATGCGGATCCACTCGTGCGGCGCCTGCGACATGATCTTCTCGTCCTCCTCGGTCCAGTCGGCGACGCGCCACTTGTCGCGCTGTGCCTCGTCCTCCCACATCGAGCACGCTGACACAAAATCAGTAGCGGTTGGCAGGCCGATCATCACAGCACTCACAGAAGCCGAGGTCCAGCATCGTCATCGCCTCTGCGGCGTCTTGGTCGCCCTCGGCGGCCGCGGCGGCCGCCGCCTGCCGCGCCTGGAAGCGCTTCGTGTTGCGGCGCACGCGCTTGTACTTGGTGTTGAAGGGCACTTCGATCTTCTTGGACACCGAGTTGATGTCAAAGACGTGCTCGTACGGCGTGCCGTCGGCCTCGTGGATGCGCGCCGTCATCTGCCCCTCGAACACGGCCACGGGGTTCGAGTGCGCCGCCTCCTCGGGGTGGTTCGCGGCAAAGATCGCGGCCGGCGACTCCTGCCGGATGTGAAACTCGATGATGAGCTTCTTGCGGTTGAACTCGGCGTCGACGAAGAAGCGCGGACAGCCGCTGCCGTAGATCCACTGCTCGGTGAACGTGCGCAGGTCGACGTTGCTGACCTTGCGGCAGGTGCGCAGAAAGTTGTGCGTGCTGAGCGCGTTGTTGGCCATCTCGCCGGTCAGCGCCTGCAGCAGCACGCGCGGCACGACGCGGCCCAGGCCGAGCGACGCGCCCGCCTTGCACAGCCGCCGGTCGAGGATGTAGAGCACGAGCGGAGCCTTGAGGTTGATGAACGGCAGCAGCGCCTCGTCGGGTGGCTCGCCGACGCCGTGCTGGTACATCGGCGGCATGCCCACGTCCCACGCACACAGGCGGTCCACGTCCTTCTTCAGGCGGAAGCGGTACTCGTTCTGCCCCATGAGCTTGCGCAGGAAGAGTGCCGCCATGTGCTGGCTCAGCCCGTTGACCAGCCACGTGTCGGACCAGGCGCGCTGGATGATGTTGATGCCGAACCACTGAAACGCGACTGTCTGGTGCAGCACGAGGCGCGTCTCGAGGGCCTGCTCGATGACGTTGGCGGCGTGCAGCAGGTCGGACGACAGCAGCGACAGCGTGGACGCCGCGTGGCAGTCTGCCGGCGGCTCGTCGACAAAGACAAGCTTGAGCGAGCTGAACGGGTAGGAGCCAAAGTCGCGCGAGTAGTAGTCGACGGCCAGACGCACAGTCGCCACGGACGCGCGCAGCTCGTCCATCCGGCCGGGCAGGCAGAACGCCAGCAGCTGCAGCTGTCCAGCGTCGCCGTCCTGTGCGGCGTGTGCTGCCGTGGCAGACGTCTTGGCGCCGAGCCCGGCCACGCCGCTGCCGCGGCTGTCGCTCGCCGCGAGCATGTCGTGCATTTCAAACGGCCCGATGGCGAACGCCATGTGCTGGATCGTCGTCGGCACCGACTGCGAGTAGTAGAAGATGGTCTTGGACGAGTTGAACGGATGTGCGACCTGCCCGACTGGCGTCAGTCGCTGCCTCGCACAGCCCATCGCCAGGCCGATCAAGACCCCTCTGCTGCACTCACCTGCTCGACAAGATCTCCAGTGCACGCGACCAGCACCTCTGAGCTGTCCTCTTCCACCGCGCCGCCGAACCTCCGCGGCACGACAAACTCCAGCTCCCAAGTGCAGCGCTCCCACAGGCTGTCGACGCACGGCACCCAGCAGCGCGCCCAGTCTGGGCACGAGGGCGCCGTGTACGCGTGCGGCACGCGATACGGGTGCTCCTGCGACGGCAGCACAAACTGAATGGCCTCAGCCGGGTTGCGCAGTACGTACTCGATGCGCACGACCAGCGGCGCGAACTCGACGTGCGCCGCGGAGCCGCCGGGCGTGGGCGCATCCAGGGCCGCGGCATCCGGCGCAGCAGCCTCGAGCGAGACATCGCTGGGCAGCAGCACCGAGAGCTCGCCGCCGGCGCCGTCCGACGCCGCGGCATACAGCTTGCGCTTCAGCTCCGGGTAGAGATGCACATCTGCCGGGTCGGAGATCGAGACGCCCGAGAGGTGGTCGACGAAGGAGTACTCGGCCGGCGTGCCGCCGACGTAGATGCGCTGGATCGCTGCAGAACAGACGCGACATGAGCGAGAGGAGCACAGCAGGGCCCAGCGACAGCACACGCACAGGCCTGGCGGCAGTTGAGGTGCACGACACGCAGCGCCCGGTCCGTCGGCACAATGGTCAGCTCCGTGTAGCCGGCGAGGGCCGCGGCGCCAAAGTCGACCTCGAGCGCGACCTTCTGGTGCGAGAGCGAGAAGCCGCGCGACGGGCCGGCGCGCTGCATCGCGGCTCGCAGGGACGCCAGCTGGGCAGCGCTGCCGCAGTGGCCGAGGGCGGTGAGTGGGCGGAGAGGATGGTGGGCAGGAGCGAAGGAGCCGCCGTCGTCGCGCGACCTCCGCTCGCCTCGAGGGCGCGCGTGCGGCGCGTGCGCGGCTGACGTAAGCACGCTCGCGCCCCGCCTCCACCCCCTGCGATGCACGCAGCGCTCAGCAGGCTGTTTCCTCACCACCACCCCATGCGATCATTACGGTACATCGGATAGTCTACGGCACACCACGTCTGCGACCCGCCTCAGCACTGGTAGCGCCAGCCCAAGCGCCACGCCTCGGCGCCGGCCTTGTCGGCCTCGCCGCTCTCGCGCCGCGCCGCCTCCTCGCGGTCGAGGCGCCGATTGGCACGGCTGAGCAGCACCCACAGCGTCGACGCGCAGCCGATGGCAAACAGCAGCCAGCCGATGGTGAACACCTGCGAGTAGCGGTAGGCGTGGTTCGGAATGGTGCCCAGCGGCACGCGGTAGAGCTGAGGTGGACGTGTCAGTGCGGTGCGCCACGCTCTGCGCTCCCTGGGCGACTCACGTTCGTGCCGATGATGGAGCCGATGTTGCCGATCGTGATCATTGCCGCCAGGCCGACGGCACGCTTCGTCTGGCCCATGATGTTCTCGCTCGGCCACGCCAGCAGCAGCGCGTTGGCGGCGTAGATGCCGGCGGCCGCGAGAAACACGGCCGTGTACTTGCCGCCGACCGTCGGGCTGGTGATGAGCACGATGTAGCCGAGGCTGTGCGCGGCGTGTCAGCAAGCGGCCAGCGATGCCATGGCGCATACGCACATCGTGAGTGACAGCGCGCCGATGATGAACGGCGCACGCAGGCCGACGCGGCGCGAGGCCCTGCACGGATGATCAGCAAGCGCAGCAGAGCGCACGTCCGGGCACGCCTCACCAGGTGCAGGCCATCGTGCAGAGGAACGCGAAGAAGTACGGCGGAATGGTGAGCAGCTGCACTTGGTAGCTGCGGTAGCCCAGGCCCTGGATGATGGCCGGCAGGAAGATCGAGAGCGTGTAGAGCGAAAAGGCCGCGCCGTGGAAGAGGAACGCTGCGGCGGGAGGTCAGGCGGCGCTCCTCAGCTGCGGCCGAGGCGACGCACCGTAGAGCCACACGTGCACGTCCTTGAGCGCATCCGTCACGGCCGACCACTCGAACTTCTGGTCCTCGGTGGCGTCGCTGTCGATCGACAGGCGCGCAAAGACGATGCTCTTCTCGCGCTCGGTGAGGCCCCTGGTGTACGCCGGCCACGCGGGGATCGCCCAGATGGCAATCACGCCGAACACGACGGTCAGCGCGCCCTCGAGCTGGAACAGCCACTGCAGCGAGGCGTGTCAGCCATGCGCGCCGGCCGCCCTGGGCCACAGCACGTACCCGCCAGCCCTCCTGCCCGCCGATGCCGTCCATGCGAGTGATGGCGTACGCAAGGATGCCGCCAAGCGAGCCGGCGGCGGCGGCGGCGGAGAAGAAGCTGCGGATACGGTCAGCCGGCGCGCGGCAGCTGCTGTGCCGTATCGACGCACAAGGACACACGCGCCACGCGCTCCTGGCGCGTGTACCAGCGCGAGAAGATGTACACGCAGCCGGGGAACAGGCCGCTCTGGCGGTGGCTGAGAGTCAGCAGCCAGGCAGGCACGCCTCGCTGCGCAGCTCACCTCGAACATGCCGAGCAGGAAGCGGATGGCGAGGATCTGCGGCTGGTTCTGCGAGAAGCCCATGGCGATGCTGATGGCGCCCCACGCGATGGTGAGGAATGCCAGCCACCACTGCAGCAGGTGTCAGCAGCGAGCAGGACAAGCGCAGGCACAGCACGCACTGCGGGAGAGCGGGCAGAGACGACCTTGAGCACGAGGTTGGCGGGAATCTCGAAGATCACGTAGCCCTGCAAGCTGTCAGCGGCAGGGTGCGGCCCGAATGCCACGCCGACGCACAATGAAGAACATCGTCACGACGAGCGGGTAGTTGGTGATGCGGATGTCGCGCTCGATGCCCTCGACCTTGGCGTTGCCGATGTTGCTGCGGTCGAGGAAGGAGAGCAGGTCTGCGCGCGCAGAGGTCAGCGTGCCGGCCCCGGCGAGCGCCGCCCGCATGCCTACGCACACAGCGCCGTGAGGATGGGCAGCAGCAGCCAGTCGACCTTGCGCAGCAGGGCGCGCTCCTCGGCGGCCGTGTAGGTGAGCGTCTCGCCGTTGGGCTGGCGGAAGGTGCGCGTGTCCTCGGCATCGCTGCCGGCGCCCGAGCTCGCGCCGGCCTTCTCGCCGTCGAGCGAGTAGGCGGGCGACGCCGGTGCAGGCTGCTCCGTGGTTCCGAGAGAGGCCATGGCGAGTGAGATTGTGGTGAGAGGCAGGGCCGCGCGGTGCGGCCACGAGAGCGAGGGGCTTAAGAGCGCGGCCCGGCAGGCCCGGCGATCCGGCAAGCGTCCATCGTGCCATGCGTGCAGGCTGCAGCACGCCAGCTCTGCATCTTGGGACCTGCAGTAAGAGTGCTCAGGCTCGGCCAAGAGAAGCGGCACCGGTGCAGTGGAAGCGTGCTGCTCGCTGTGCCTGGGAAGGTGTGCTTGGGCGCGGGCAGCGGAGTCCGGCTGCAGCGCAAGGCCGCCACGCCGAGGCCGGTGCGCACACCCCGCGACGGCATGCCCGAAGCGCATCTGCGCTGCGTCGCAGGTCCCTTTCATGCGCTCTGCTGCTACAGATGCTGGCTGCCGGCGTGGTGCTGCGGTCTGTCTGTGCAGGCTGCTGGGCTCGGCGCAGGGCGCATGTGCTGTCAGCGGCAAGCGCGCCAGGGCGTCTGGGGATGGCGTGCTCGCTGTTGCTCCACCGCGCCGCGCCGCCAGGCGAGCTGCCTCGGGCGGCTGACGGCACTAGCACGGCGCGCTGTTCCCACGCCTGCAAGCACGCCACGGACGCGCACAGCTGCACCCTCCGCACGCGACAGCATCGCATTTCACGCTTGCCGGCGCCACACCCCTCCAAGCATCGCCGCAGCCGCTCGCTATTGAGTGCACAATCAGCCCGGACAGACGGTGCGTCTGCCGGCCGCGGCACTGCGCCGCTGTAAGAGCGGGCGTGCCTGAAGGGCCACGACGTTTCTTGGCTAGTGAGCGCCATAGCCGACCTGCCACCGCTCGGCGTCGATGGTTACCACGCCGACCTCGAGCTCGTACGCGGCCCACGCCTGCGCCACTGCCCGTCAGTACGAGCTGTACTCGCGTTGCCGTCGCCACACGCACCTGCAGCAGGCTTGCCAGGCGCTGCGGCTGTTCCGGCGCCAAGTCGTGCGCCTCGGCCGGGTCGTGCGCAAGGTCGAAGAGCTGCCAGCGGCCCGGACCCTCGGGCGGCGGGATGAAGAGCGCCTTGAATGTGCCCTGCCGTACGGCCTGCTGTCCAAACAGCTCCCAGCCGTGAAAGTCGCCCGCGTCGTCGTGCGGCTGAGCCGCAGTGCCTCGCAGCCACGGCAGCCACGTCCGTCCGCGTGGCGCATGGATGGCGCGGCCGTGCCACAGCGGCGCAGGATGGCGCACGCCGGCGAGGTCGAGTGTCGTCGGCAGCACGTCCATCACCGTCGTGCTGCGAGACGCCTGTCAGCCGTGTCCATCGCTGGCGCCGCGCTCTGCTCACAAGGCGTCGGAGCGGTGCTCGCGGTACATCGACGCGCCGTCGTGGAGCCTGGGCGGCAGATGGACGATCGCTGGGCAACGGATGCCGCCCTCGGTGATCCATGCCTGTGTGAGAGTCAGCACATCGCCCATCGCCAGAGCCTCCTCACCCACCTTGTACATGGACGACGGCGCCGTACTGCTCTGCGCCCACATCGGGCCATACCTGCGGGCGGTGAGCACCAGCAGCAGGGGCCGAGAGCGCCGCACTCACCAAACGAAGGAGTCCTCGCGTCCGATGTTGTCGAGCGCGTTGTTGTGCGTCGCCTGGATGCGCTTCTGCGTGTTTTCGCCAAAGTTGCGAAGAGGTCAGCACGGCTTCAGTTTCAGTCTCTCGTCCGCACGCACAGAGGCAGCGCCTCAAGAAGAGCGCCCTCTGCGCCATTGTCTGCGCTCGGCGGGTCAGCTTCTGCTTCGTGCATGCCACTCACACACACTCACCGCTCATGAAGAGGATGAACGTGTTGTCCAGCTCGCCAGTCTCGCGGAGCCGCTGCAGGACGCGCCCAATGTTGGCGTCCATGAGCTCGACCATCGCGGCGTACACCTCCATGGCGCGCTGGCTCTCGGCCTGCTCCTGCGCCGACATGGCAGCCCAGGACGTGTCTCGGCCGCAGTAGCGCTCACGCGCCGGAGCGGCTGCCGATGCTGCATCCTCAGTCACGAGGCCGGCCTTCACCAGCCCCGCCAGACGCCGCTGACGGAGCGCGTCAGGCCCGTCAGCATAGACGCCCCGGTACCTCTCGCACACCTCGCGCGGCGCCTGCAGCGGCCAGTGAGGCGCCGTGAAGGTGAGCAGGCCGAGCCACGGCTTGTGCGGGCTCTCTGCGCGCGCTTCGGCGTGGAAGTCCAGCCAGCGGTCGGTGAACACGGCGGACGAGTAGAAGGGCGTCGGCAGCTCGTCCTGGGCGAGCAGCCGCCGGTCCTCGCGGTACGTCGCAGGGAAGACGACGTCCTGCCCATCGACCTGAGGCGGCCGCCATGCGTCTGCCCCGCCGTCAGTGGCTCTCTGACACTCTGCGTCGGCCCACACCCACAGTGATTGCCCGCGCCCGGAAGCAGGACCCTGCAGTCGAAGCGTCAGAGGTCATCTGTGAACTTTGACTGCGCCCGACGCACCACGACTTGTCAAAGCCTCGCGCGTGCGGACTGGCCTCCTCAGTGAGGCCGAGGTGCCACTTGCCGGCAATGAAGCTGGTGTGCGAGTCGCGCAGAATCTCGGGTAGCGTCACGACTTGGCCATTCAGGACGCCCTGCGCAGCAAGATCAGCGCCGCAATAGACTACCTTACGCCTGGCCGTACCTCGTAGCCGGGCTGACCCTGGAACTCTGCCTTGCGCCCGATAGTTTCTGCCATCTGGCCCAGGCCCGTGAGGTGGTGGTCCACGCCCGTGAGCAGCATCGAGCGCGTCGGCGAGCAGGCCGAGGCCGTGTGAAAGTCTGTGAGGCGCACGCCCGTCGGCGCCGCAGCGAGCGAGTCGAGGTGCGGCGTGCGGATCTCGGAGCCGTAGCAGCCCAGGTCGCTGAAGCCCAGATCATCGGCGACGATGACTGCCACGGGCGCCTCAGCTCCAGACATGCGGCCCATGTGGAGGCCTCTCACTGAGGATGTTCGGCGCAGCAGACGCTGCGGAGGCCATGGCTCCAGAGACTCGAGTGACGATTTGAGATGGTGGTAGGGGAGACACGATGCGTGCCGGCTGCGGGACACATCGCGATGCCAGCCGCGAGGTGGCATGTGCAGCCAGCAGGTGCAGCATGCATATCTGCAGCGAGCACGCGCAGCGCACGCCATCTCGAGGAGCTCGCCGCGCTGCGCCCTCGTCGGCGCCGCGGTCCGACACGCCCCTCTCGCAGGCGTCGCGGGCACGCATCCTGTGACGAGCAACACAGCAGGGCACGCAGCCTCTGCACCTACGCGTGCCGCACAGCAGGCCTCGGCAACGGTGACAGGGGGTATCATTGCGCTCCGCTCACACATGTGCGTCCTCACTCGTCGCGCCAGGTGACGCTGCCGCGCGCCAGGCGCTCGAGAAGAATGTTGCGGCGGTGGTACGTGCCGCGCAGCGCCCGGTAGCGGCGCACAAAGTCGTCGGCCGCGGCGAGCTGCGGCGGCGTGGCGACGCCGTTCGTCGGCGTGCCGGTGCCGGGCGTGGCGCCGGGCGAGGCGTCCTGGGATGGACAGCGTGTGAGCTCAGCAGAAGGCGTGACGGCACAGGGGCCGCGCTCACGCTCGCAATGCCCAGCGGCAGGCCCTCGACGTAGGCCGAGGCCATGCGCTCCGAGTCGTCGTGCAGCTGCGCCACGGACTGCGCCAGCGAGGCGTGGAGCGAGGAGGGCGCGAAGCGCTGCGGGCGAGCGGGTGAGCCAGGACAGAGAGAGTGCTCACCGCGACGCAGCCATGCGTCGTGCTGCCAGCGACGCACCTTGTATGCCTCGCGCATGCCCGCCTCGCCGGCGGCCCACTCGCCCTCCAGTCGCCGGGCGCGCTCGTACAGCGCCGTCGTCTCCTCGCGCAGCGCCTCGAGCGGCGGTGCGAGGGCCAGGTTCTGCGCTGCAGACACAGCAGGTCAGCAGGGCACAGGAGGCTATGCGGAGCACCGCACGCACCAGCCTTGCTCTCGGCCTCGGCGCGCAGCGCGGCCTCGTCGGCGGCGAGCTGCTGCAGCGCGGGCAGCGAGCGGGCCCAGGCGAGAAAGGCGTCGTCGTTGGGGCTGCTGAGCAGGCTGTGCAGCTGCGCGCGCGAGAGGGCGGCGAGGTCGGGCGGCGCGGCCGACATGCTGCGGTGGTGGCGGGTGCGGCGGATGTGGAGCGAAGGCAAGAGCGACGGGCGACGTGGGGTGGAGCAGGCCGCTGCCAGCGCGCGGCGCACGGCGCAGACGCGAGGCGACGTCGCGCTCCGTGCGCCGCGCCTGTACCTTCTCGCCCACCACCACCTCCGCCATGTCGTCGCTCTGGATCATCAACAAGGCCGGCGGCCTCATCTACCAGGCCGACTACTTCGTGCCCGCCGCCGCCGCCGCGGGCGCGCCGCCGCTGAGTGCCAACGAGGCCCTCATCCTCGCCGGCACGCTGCACGGCATCCACGCCATCACCGCGCGCATCAACCCCACGCGCGCACGCGGCGAGGGCCTCGAGTGCCTGCGCGGCGACGGCTTCGAGCTGCACGTGCGCAGCACGCTCACCGGTGCGTCAGATGGCGCCTGCAGCGACGTGCGCAGGGGCGCAGAGGGCCAGCGAGGCAGCGCAGAGGCGAAGAGAGGGCCGGCGCGGAGAGGTGGTGAGAGCCATGGCAGTGCAGCGGGACAGTGGCGCATGACGGCGCAGCATGCGGCATGGCGCCACGCAGCTGCAGTATGGAGAGGACTGTCGCCGATGCAGCACCGCTCCGACCTTCAGCTCTCGATTCGGGAGCACAGGGCGGTGGGGAGTGCACAGCGCCTCGTAGTCTTCGTGCCGCACTCTTCTCCTTGCAGTCTCTGTGTCGCGCTCTGTGCCGCAGCTCACACCCGTACCCAGGCATCAAGCTGCTGCTCCTCGCCGCGCCGACGCTGCCCAACGCGCCCGCGCTGCTGCAGCAGGCGTACGAGGCGTACGCGGACCTCGTGATGAAGAATCCGTTCTACTCGCCCGAGATGCCCGTGCGCATCCCGCGCTTCGACGAGCGCGTGCGCCAGATCGTCGGCGGCAGCTAGACGACGCATGCGCAGCGAAGGCCGGCCTGCGCACAGACAAGGGCTTTGCATCGCCGGCGCCGCCAGCGCATGACCAGCAGCAGAACGCCAGGCCGGGACCATCCCCGCGCTGCTGCACCGGCCCGGCGCCTTCTGCCCGTACAGCGACGGCCCTGCCGTGCAGGCACATCCCCCTGCCACGTCTAGCCAGCACGAGCAGCCGAGCCGCCTGCCCACCTCTGGCTGCCGGCACCGACATCTGTATGGCCAGCGCGCGCTCTGCACGCTGCGCTCGAGCGCTGCTCGGCCACTCATATACCCGCAAGGACGTCGGCCCGGCGCCATCATACAATGCAACCTATGCTGAGCGAGACCGAGAGAAGGGCAGCTCAAAGCGGAAGTTGGGCTCTGCTCCGAGAGAGCGCAGAGTCACGCCTGCGCATAGGCCCCAGGGGTCTGAGACGACACAGTGGCTGAAAGCGTTGGCTCGCGCTCGCAGAGCGGTCCCGAATCGCTCTAGCGTCGCGCAGAGAGGAACGCTCGCAGCATGCGGTGCTGCGAGTGCCATGCCGAATGGCGCAGCCCGCACGCCGCCGCGTGCATTCCCTCGCTGCTGCACTCACTTGGGCTGCGCCGTCTGAGCGCCGAGCGCCCCGCGCCAGCCTCACGTCAGGCTCCACCTCATCCTCGCCGTGTCTAGTCTACACCTCGCATTACTATGATACAGCCCGTGCGATTACCATGAGCCCTTCTCGACGCCGTTCAGCTGGCCCTTGAGCGCCCGTAGCCGGAAGGCGTACTGCACGAGGCACAGATGTCAGCGTACGTGTCGCAAGGTCAGACCGGCCCTAGTCTGCCTAGCAGGGTGCACTGTCCCGCCTCTAGCAGCGCATGGCTGCACGTCAAAGCCCTCCAATGCCGCGCCGTGGACTGTGCTGTCGTCCGCTGCAGTGCCAGATCCCTGCCCAGCTCCACCGTCCCCGCTCTGGCCCTGCCCACCTCCCGCTTGGCCGCGCGCACTCACGCGGCAGAGGCCGAACTCGGTGATGATGCCGCGCCCACGGCCCGTCTCGATGCAGCGCTCCTTGACGCGGTCGGGGCGCGTCTTTGGCAGCAGCGCGTTGAGGCCGAGCTGCGCCTGGTGGCGCGTGCGGCTGGGCAGCGTCGTGTTGCGTGCGAGGTACTTGTAGGCGCGGCGCAGCAGCTCGGACGAGGCGACGGCCTGGCGCGTGGACATGTCGCGCCTGCCCTGGGTGTCAGTGCGGTCCGCGGCACCGTCGCCGTGCAGCTCACAGGACGCGGGCGTTTGGCCGAAGCGGCATGGCGGGCAGGTGCGATGGCAGGGTGAGGAAGATGGTGCGGCGAGACGGCGCGTGGGAAGGAATGGCGGCGCGCGATTTCAAGGTGTGCCGGACACTACAACACCGCTGTATTCGCGACTACAACTGGCGCGCGAGTGCGACCCCGCCGAGATGCGCCGTCTCCACTCGACTCGACTCCGCCTCCACGCCGTGCCAAGGGACGTGCCCCCCCGCCAGGGCGGCTCCCGCTCCCACCACCACCATCCTCCGCCATGTCGCTGCCGCGCCGCTCGTACGACCCGCGCCGCGTGTGCCTGCTGCCGCTGCCGCCGCTGCCCGCCTTCATCCGCACCAACAAGCGCACGCTCGGCATCTACCTCTCCGGCGCCGCCTTCGCCCTCGGCTGGTGGGTCTTCCTCGACGCCGTGCTGCTCAGCAGCATCTCGATGCGCGCGCCGCCCGAGGACGAGCCGTGGAGCCCGCCGGCGACGAGCATGGGCTTCAGCGACTGGCTGCCCGGCCTCTGCGCCACGCTCGGCATGATCGTCGTCAACCTCATCGACAAGCAGCTGCTCGGCGACGCCGGCGGCACGTTTGCCTTTGGCGGCGGCAGCGGCGGCGGCTGGGGCGAGGGCGGCGTGCAGTGGCGCGCGCGCATGTTCCTCTTCGTCGGCTTTGCCCTCCTCGCCGGCGGCCTCGCGGGCAGCTTCACGGTGCTCACCGTCAAGTACCTCGTGCCCGTGCTGCCGCCGGGGTACGAGTACTACGGCGTCGCCAACGTGGTGCGTGCGAGGCTCTGGATGCGCATCCGCGCTGTCGCTGATGCCCTTCTTCTTCTCCTCCAGGCGCAGAACGGCGCGCTCATGCTCAGCACCATCCTGCTCTGGATGAGCCAGAGCGCCGAGGGCGAGTACGAGTACCAGCTGCACATCTGAGGGCGGCGCCGCTCCACGGGCCGGGCCGGGTCAGGAGGGAATGCGAATGAGTCACTGGTGTACGAGGGCGTCCGTGCGCGCTCTGCGTGAGGCTTGCTTTGTGCGCACGACGAGCGCGATACGTGGCCGAGCAGCCCTGTCGGCCGGACGCGAGGTCCGCAGCGAGCCACAGACCTTCTGGGTTCCTCACGAGACGCGACTGTGTCCGTGCAAGAGCCAGACTCGTGACACAGCACTCAGACTTGCGGCCGCTGCTCAGCAGCGCACGCAATCGCATGCTCTGCTTTGGCCGCCTGCATCGGCTCCGGCACGCGCAGCCGCCGCGGCACGAGATGGACCCATTCAGCTGATCCGGAGCACACATCTCTGGCCCGGGCGCCCCTCGCGACCGCCAGCGCGCTCTGTGCCAGAGCTTCGCAAGCTGCGCTGCGTATCGAGCATTTACTGCAATGGCGCCCTATGCATCCACGGCCATCGCGTCGCCCGCACCGCCGCTCGAGGCGCCCACGTTCGACGTCGCGCCCTCGCCCTCCTCCTTCTTGCCCAGGCCATTCCGGCGGATCAGCCGCTCGATGTCCTGCGGCTTGAAGATGGACAGGCGCGTCTCGCCCGCCGGTGTGAGCGTGAGTGTTGCAAACTCGACTGCAGGGCATGCGTCAGCACCGTGCGGCGTCGTCTCTCTCGCGCGACGCACCCTTCTCGGCGTCGAGGCTCGTGGCGTCGAGCGTCTTGCCGAGCGTCTTGATGGCCAGGTCCATGGCCTCCTGCACACCGATGTCCTCCTTGTAGTCCTGCTTGAGCAGGCTCGTCGCCGTGCCGCTGTTGGCGCCGACGCACGTGGCCTTCCAGCCGGCGTAGTTGCCCGACGGGTCAGAGTGGTAGAGCTGAAAGCCGTGGTGTGCGTCGTGCCCAGCGTACAGCAGCGACACGCCGAATGGCCGCAGGCCTGGCGTGCGGGGTCAGCGATGCGCAGGACAGGCTGCTGCGCAGCACGCACCGCCGTACTGCGTATAGCCCTGCTTGAGGTCGCAGAGCCGCTGCGCCAGCTGCTCCACGGGCATCTCCTCGTCGTACGAGAGCAGGTGCCGCTGGGCGGCGTTGCGTGCGTAGTTGATGAGCGAGTTGGCGTCGGCCGTCAGGCCCGCGACGCCAGTGAGGATGTTGCTGCAGCGCGGTGTCAGCAAACGGCGTGTTGCACTGCAACGTGGAGCTGGCGGGCCTGCAGCGGCGGCGACTGTGCGCCAGAAGTGCGAGCCGGCAGGTCGCTGGCAACGGCAGCGCTGGCTTTGAGCCAGGAGCAGCATGGCCACTACAGCTGAACACGCTGCGCAGCGCATGCCCTTCACCTGCGGCAGCAGCCAGCTCGCCTGCTGCTGAGCCGCTGCGGATGCTCTGCCCCTGCCGTCCTCTCGCTGCCAACCCTGCGGCCTGCCATCCGCATCGACGCCGCACCTCCACACCGCGGGCCCACACCAGACGCACCCGCTGAGCGCGTAGATCTTCTCCGAGCTCGTGTCCTGCTCGAGCAGCTTGCTGGTGACGCGGCGCTCGGCGGCGAGCACGACGGCGTCCTTTGCGAGGATGCCGAGCACGGTGCCGGCGTGCGCGATGGCCTCCATGGCGTACTCGACCTGGTAGAGGCGCCCCTCGGGCGAGAAGGTTGTGGTGCGCGAGTCGTAGCGGCGCGACATGGTGCAGGTGTGATGCGGGTGGGACGGAGGGAGAAGCAAGCGCAGTCGAGGCAAGGATGGAGCTCAGGCAGCGAAGCATCACGCACGGCGCACGGGCGGCGCAGGCGGCGCTGCAGGTGATCGGTGCTGCTCCCACGCGCGAGTACAAGCTGCGCAATACAACTGGACGTCCCGCAGTTGTAGTCCCCAGCCAACGCCTGTCCCGAGTCCCGCGCCCCAGAAAGCTCTTGTCCTCGAGCTCGCGCTGGTCCGAGCGGCGCCCCGTTCATGCGCGCCGCGTTCATCGCTCTCCCTTGTCCTCGCACCACCACACTGCCGTGCTGCTCCTCGGCTTCGCGCTTCTTGTTCCCGCCTGGCGCCCGCGCAGCGCATAAGAAGCGGCGCCATGCAGCGCGGCGACCCCGCCATCTCCTCGCCGCTGCCCGCCTCGCCCGCCTCGCCCTTCCCGCCGCGTCCCTCTGCCAGCATGACCGCCGCGCCCGCGCCCTCGCCGCTGCGTGCGCTGCTGCACCCCACGCGCACCTCGTCCATCCCCGCACACCTGGCGCCGTCGTGCTTCCGCATCGTGCTCCTCGCCGCGGCGCTCGGCGCGCTGGCCGGCGTGGCGCTGCCGCACGCGCTGGCCCTCTTCGCGCCATCGACGCTGGCACGCGCCGTGCTGGTCCTGCCCAGGGGTGCGAGCGCAGCGACGATGTGGCCGCCGCAGCTGGCCATGTATCTGGCCGCCTGGGCCATCTTCCACCTCCTCGAGTTTGAGATCACCGCCGGCTGGAACGGCACGCGCCTGATGGAGGACTGTGAGTGCACGCGGCCAGAACGCTCGCATCGGGGCCAGGAAGCGGATGCCGCAGCGGCAGAACAGGACAGCATTGCGCACCGGTAGAGGCGGAGTATCTCGCGGGTGGTGAAGCTGCTGGAGCAAGCGTGAAGTGTTGGAAGAGGGCGACACACATGCAGGAGCCGCGAGCGTGCGTGCCGCTGCATGTGTGTAACACCTCCCGGGCGCCGGCAGCGCTCTGCAACAGTCAGAGAGCCATGGAGGCCGCGCATCCCAGCGCTCAGGCCCACTTGTTCGCATGCTCAAAGCATCTGACGCTGCTCCTCGCCCCCAGCGTTCCTGCTGCAGAATGGCATCGGCTACCACCTGGCGCACCTCTTCGGGCTCTTCGAGTTTGCCGTTTCTGCGTATTTCTACCCCTCCCTCGCGCATGTCGGCTGGTGGAGCTACCTCGGTGCGTGCGTCTCTGCCTGGACGCCAGGGTGCATGCTGACGCGGCACACGCAGGCCTGGCGGTGATGCTCTTTGGCCAGGCGATGCGCAGCCTGGCAATGGTGCATGCGTCGAGCAACTTCTCGCACGAGGTGGCGCACGCCAAGCGCAACGACCACCAGCTCGTCACGTCGGGCGTGTATGCGTGCGTCGCTGCTTCCCCCTCTGCTGCCTGGCCCCACGCTCACCCGTCGTGCAGCTACGTGCGGCATCCCTCCTACGTCGGCTTCTTCTACTGGGCGCTCGGCACGCAGCTGCTGCTCGGCAACCCGCTCGCCGCGAGCATCTTCGTCGTCGTGCTCTGGCGCTTCTTTGCGCACCGCATCGTCGGCGAGGAGGCGAGCCTGCGCAAGTTCTTCCCCGACTACGACGCGTACAGGGAGCGCGTGGGCAGCGGCCTGCCCTTCATTCGCTAGCTGAGGAATGCATCGTCTAGTGGGTCCGCACAGGCATGCTGCACCGCGAGTGCCATGCGTAGCGCAGCCTGCCGACGCAGTCCCGCTGCTCCAGTCTCACTCACGATGCCGAGACGCTTGTTCTATCACATCGTTGCCGGCCTCTCCCTTCATGTGTGGCCTCAGCCTCCTCCGAAGGCCGGTGACGAGGCCTGTCCCCACCTCCCGACCTCGCCACGGGTATCTCGCCCTCTCCAGCGCGCGCTCCTCTGCGCTTCCGCCGCAGCGCGCCTCCTACGCCCGGCCTATGGCGGAGCTGCGCGGCCCTACTTCGTCACGCGGTCGTAGCTGATGTTCTCTGTCGAGAGCACAGCTCGATCAGCCATCTGCGCGCCGGCTGGGCGGCTCCGAGAGCCTTGCACCGAGACGGCTGGCACTCACTGACGCTGCCGCCGGCCAGCGACGTCTTGACGTTGCGCGTGAACGCCGCTCGATCCCTCCGCAGGTCCTCGGCCGCCTCTGTTGGCGCGAGACAGCGTCAGCTTCCCCTCCTCGGTGTCTCTCGCGCCACGCACCCTTGTTCAGCGGGTCGTCGGCGTTGGGCTCGAGGAAGAGGTACTGCAGGCCGACCATGACGGAGTTGAGGTTGAGCACGGGCTTCCAGTCCTCGCGCAGGATGTTGAGGCACACGTTGCCCTCGAGATCGACATTGGGATGGTAGATCTGGCACGAGCCACGTCAGCCTTGCCGTGGCGCGAGACGAGCGGGAGAGCGCACCTTCTGAAGGCACTTGACCTTCGGCGGGTCGTGCGGGTAGTTGTTGTTGATGGCAAAGGAGAAGTTGAAGGCGCCCGCCTTGTACATGCCTGCAGCGAGCGATAGGGCAAGCGGTGCGTCAGTTCCGTGAGGCGCTGGAGGAGCGAGTGGACGCCGTACGCCCGGAGCGTGTGGCTCTTGCAAGTCGAGCACTCGCAGCGCACTCACCCTCGTCGGGCTCGATGGTGAGCGTGAAGTTGAGCACGTCTGCCGGGTCCGGGAAGTTGGTCTTCATCGTGCTGGGCAGCTCCAGCTCCGTCAGGTCTGCGCGAGGACGATGCAGCAGGCGTCAGAGGGGCCAAGGGAGATGCGTGGCGAGCGCCGAGCTCGCAGTGAGCGGGCCTCGGTCATGCTCGGCGCCGTGCTGGCCTCAGCTGCCCTCTAGCAGCGGCGGCGCCACTGCGCTCCTGCGGCTGCGCATGCTCGCTGCGCTGCCGCTGCACCGCCTGCAGCGCCCACTCGTGCCTGCCCCTCCATCTCTCTCCCTCCACGCGCCACGCACCCTTCTGCACGCGCAGCTGTGCCGGGCTCGTCTTTGGCTTGCGCTTGCGTGCGCTCTCCTCGTCCTTCTTGAGCGACCAGATCTTGATCATCGCGGCTGGCGGCGGGCGGTGCGAGGCGTGCTGTGCCAGCAGATGAGAGAGGAGCGGCGCGACGAGCGGCGCACGAGAGGCGGCGCTGGTGCAGTGCCGAGCGCGTGAGACAGAGACTCGGAAGGAGTGGTGCTGCTGCGGCGAGTGGGCGTGAGAGTGCCGAGGTCGGGTGCGGTGGTGGTGGTGAAGCAAGCGCTCGTCGTGTGATGTGCCGCGCCGCTGGCGCATAAGCATATAAGCATCGCCCCGCCGCCGCCGCCTCGCACGCCGCGCGCACGGCCGCCGCCTCTGCTGCCCTCCACCAGCAGCACCATCACCACCACACGCAGCGCGCCGCGCCCGCCATGCCGCCGACGCCCTTTGCGCCGTCGCACACGACGCCCTTCAAGTCCACGCTCAGCACCGCCATGCACGGCCGCCGTGCCGCGCCGCCGCCCGCCGCGTCGGCCAGCTGGCCGCCCTCCGCCGCGTCGCTCCTCGGCGCCCTCGATGCGCGCCACTGGCGCTTCCTCGCCGAGGGCGGCGCCAACCTGCTCGTCGCCTACGACGGGCCCGCGCCGTCGCCCTGGCGCGGCCCGCACGGCCAGCGCCTGGCACTGCGCCTCACGAAGCGCAGCCGCGCACTGCACGGCGCCTCGGGCTCCACGACGCACGCGCCCGTCGATGCGACGGCCTGGCGCGAGCAGGTCGTCGCGCCGCTGCTGGGCGAGGACGTGGCGAGTGCGCTGCCGGCGACAGTCTGCTTGCCACTGGCGTTGCCCGCGGCTCAGGCTTTCGTCGAGCAGCTGGCGGCGCGCATCGAGATGCACCGCCCGGCCGCGCGGCGCCGGCAGGACGGCATCGACACGCACGCCGCACAGCTGTGGGCCGTCGAGGACCTCAGTGCGCCCGATGCGCAGGGCCGCGACGTGCTGCTGATGGAGATCAAGGTGTGTCGGCGTGGTCCTCGTGGGTCGCTAAGGGCTCACATCGCACACAGCCCAAGTGGGGCTTCCTGCCCGCGGCGACGCACCTCGACGGCACGAGTGCGCCGCACAAGCGCAGCACGTCGCGCTACCGCATGCACCGCGTGCTCAAGGCACAGCAGGCCGGCGTGACTGTCGGCCGCGAGCAGTGGGAGCAGACGTACGACCCGCTGCAGCTGTATGCCGACGATGAGTGCAGCAGGGAGCAGGCGGTGCAGGCGCTCACACGCGAGTGGAGGTGGGGCGAGTGGCCGGCGGACGGGGCCAGGGGCAAGAAGAGCAACAACCTCAAGCTGTTCCTCAAGGGCAAGGAGGTCGACACGGCAGATGTGCGTAGTATTCCCGGGCCTCTCGTCCTCTCCCGCTGACGGACGCTGGCTTGTGCCAGACACAGGAGCTCGAGTCGTGGCGTGGCCATCTCTCGTCAACCGCCTCTGTCGATCTGGACAGCCTCGAATCGCTCACCGGCGCCATGCTCTCTGTTCTGCGGCCGGCTCTCTCCTCCGACAGCCAGCTGGCTACGGCGCTGCAGCGTCTGGCGCAGCTGCAGCGCCGCCTCGACGCTCTCGACGTCGAAGGCCTGGCGGCGCGCTGGCGCAGCGAGACGGGCTGTGCCTTTGGCTCCTGCTCCGGCGCCGACGGCACCACAAGCGAAGAGGCGAGCGTCTTGCTTGCGCCGCCCACGCTCGAGGAGTATGCAGCGGTGGTGCAGCTCTTCCTGGCGCACGAACAGCGCCTCGGCCGCGACTCCGACGAGCAGGCGGTGCGCCAGACGCAGGCGCAGCTTGCGGCGTGCCCGCTGCGCCAGGCCACGCTCGCCTTTCTGCTCAGCGCCACGTTCAAGGACTGCAGCATCATGCTGCGCTGCCTGCCTGGGCAGGAGACGGACACAGCGTGGCGCCTCGAGGTGCGCCTCATCGACCTCGACCCGAAGCCGCTGGCGAGGCTGGCGCACTACGAGGCGCTGGACCGCGAGATAGTCGAGTGCTTCGCCACGTGGTGCGAGGCGCAGAAATGAAGGTGTTGCGCGTAGCGGTGCGCTCGATGCTCTGGAGAGAAAGAGGTGGCTGCGTGGTTGCGCTAGCTCTAGACGGCTAGACGAGTGCGGGGAAGGGGTCCGCTGCTTAGTCAGCATGGCGCCCGGCGTGGCTTGGCTTGGCGCGCCCCGGCAGGCCTCGCCTCCACCTCGGCACGCGGCCGGCCGCCGCTGCCGCTTGCCTTCACGCTCCCACACCCGATGTACCTGCACACGCTGCCCACGACGGGCGCCCTCTCCTTCGGCGACGCGCTCGTCGCGCCGCCCGGCAGCGGCCTCGGCCGCGAGCTGGCGCGCGCCACGGAGCTGCGTGCCGCGCTGCGCGCCGTGCTCAAGGAGCGCAAGCACGGCGACGACGGCGAGCGCGGCGACTGGCTCAGCGTCGTCAAGGTGCGTGTGCCGACGTGGAGGGAGGCGCCGAGGGGTGTGTGCGGCTATTTTGAGGCGCGGCGAGAGCCCAACATGGCCGCTTGGAAGAGCAGCCATGTAGACACCAGCGACCCGCCTCTCGTCAGCTGCCACTGACTTCGACGCCAGGCCGTCGACGACTACCTGCCGTACCTGTTCAGCATCTTCAACTGCGTGCAGACAGACGACCTGCTCGTGCAGTCCGAGCCAGGTGAGTGGGGCAAGCCCGCGCACCAGGCATGAACTGAGCATGCACTGCGCAGAGTTCACCTGGCGCAGCACGCTCTCGTCGTCGTTCCTGCGCGAGCCGCCGCGCATCACGCTGCGCGGCCTGCACTTTGAGCTGTGCTCCGTGCTGCTCCTCAGCGCCACGGCGCTTTCCAACCTCGCCGTCGCGACGGTGGCCTCGCTCGGCGCCTACGAGCGCGACGTCTCGCTCTCCGCCGACGCGCGCAAGGCGCACGACGACCGCCTGCGCCTGGCCGCCGACCGCCTCTGCAAGGCCGCGGGCATCTTCGAGTATCTCTCGCTCTCCCTCATCCCGCAGTGGGAGGCGACGGCGGGCAGGATACCGGGACGCGCGCCCGACGTGACGCGCGAGGTGACCATGGCGCTGAGCAAGTGAGTGTGCAGATGGCAAGCAGGCTGGGCGGTGCTGAATGTAGCTGGCGCCAGACTGGCACTGGCAGACGCAGAGACGCTGGCCATCCGCAAGCTCCTCTCGCCCTTTCTCTCGCGCGCCACCGACACGATCACGCCGGGCCCGCCGCTGCCCAAGACGCATCCTTCGGCCTCGCTGCTGGCCAAGCTGACGCTCAACGTATCGACGCTGTACGCCGGTGCCCACGCGCTCGCGCAGACGGCCGGCAAGAAGGCCAGCAGCAGAGCAAGCGGCGCAGGCGACTTGGTCGATGCTGCACTCTCGCCTGCCGGGCCGTCGAAGCGCGTCGGCGGGGCGACGGAGAAGATGCTGGACCGCCTGAAGGACTCGACGTCGTCGAGCGACGGCGACATTGCCTCTGGTCTGCTGCGCTACCTCTCAACGAGTCGCGACCTGGCCCGCGCACGGGCGCACAAGTGGCTCGGCATCGACGCCGGCGAGGCGGGCCGCTACGGCGATGCGATTGCGCTGCTAGGCATGAGCAGGGAGACGCTCGACGAGCTGGGCGGCGGCGGTGCTCGCAAGACACTGAAGGAGCGGGGCAACCGCGAGAACAAGAGCACTCTGCTGGCGAGTCGGGAAGAGGAGTTGCAGGTGGTGGAGCACTGGCTCAAGTCGTACACGAAGCTCAACGACACGGTGAGCAGGCGTGGTGCCTCGATGTAGACCTTCATTGCTGATGCCTTGTCTGGTGGCTTGACAGGTCGGCTTCCAGCCCCTCACCAAGGCGTCGGACATGCAGTCGCGCATCCCCGCCGGGCGCGCAGCGCTGGCAGCACGGCGCTTCGAGCCGCCCGAGCCGGCGTTTGGGCCGGGCAGCGTCGGCTATGTCTCGGAGGGCATGCGGCGGCTGGGCGTCGCCGATGCTGCCGATGGCGTGGCCGGGAGCGAGGCACTGCCTGCGGATGTCGCCGGCGTGCTGCGGCCAGAGGCCAAAAGCCAGCGGCAGGACTACGCCGGTGCGGGCGCGTACTACTAGAGCGATGCCCACGGCGCTGCGTCTTGTGTGTGTGTGCCGTGCGCGTGTCGGCCCATCAGGCGCCGGGCTGCTCGAGGTGCACCATGGCGATGACTAGACCGGCGTCGTGCGAGAGCGAGACGTGCCAGCGCAGGCCGGGCGGCAGAAACTGGCCCAGCGCGCCGCGGGTGCCACTGGCGCTGAGGCTCAGGCGCGGCCGTCCGCTCGACGCCGAGCGCAGCATGAGGTCGTGCCACGAGATCTGGAACGGCGGCGAGAGGGCCTTGTATGCCGCCTCCTTTGCGGCCCAGCTGTGCGGCGTGCGTCAGTGGAAGCTGACGACGTGGACACAGGCAGCGCACCGGCAGGCGAGCCAGCGCACGCGGTCGTGCCTGGCTTCGAGGCGCTGCCAGTCGGCCAGCTCCTCGTCGCAGAGGATGCGCCGCGCCAGCCGCTCGCTGCGGCCGAGGCGGGCGTGCGGCGACGAGACGGCCGCCGAGGCACGCGAGCGGGCGAGCAGCGAGGCAAAGCGCGTGAGGCTGAGCAGGTCGACGCCGGTGCCGTAGAGGCACGCTGCGGGCAGAGGTGAGCGAAGCGCAGGCAGAGCAGGGGCAAGAGACGCACCGCCGCCCATCGTCCTGCCGACTGGTGCTCAAGTCCCGGCTGTGTGCTGTGCGCCCTGTCCGACCTCAACTGCAACGCCGTCCAGCTTCTTGCTTGCTGTGCGGCTGCGATGTGCTTGCGGAGGATGTGGAGCTCGCCCAAGCTCGACGTCGAGCTCGCTGCCGGTCCGCTTGAGGCTGCGAATTTCGCGCCGTCAGCCAGGGTTCACGCGCTTCGTTGTATTCGACAGCTGCACAGCCGCACGAGCTCAATACAAGATTCGTGGTGTGATTAGCGCGTGCTCGAGCGTTGTTTAGCGCGGCGGCGGAAATGCGGCGGCGCGGCCCGATGTGCCTCAGGAGAGCGCTAAAGGGTGGCGCCCGGCACTTGCCTCTCCACCACGACATCGCCTGCTCTCCTCTCCTCTCCACGTCCTCACGCGCAGCAGCAGCAGCGCACCATGCATCTCCGTCTCCTCCTGCCGCTCCTCGCGGTCCTTGTGCTCGGCGCCAGCACGGGCGCACAGCAGCAGGCCAGCTCGACGGCCTCGCGCGCCGCCTCGTCGACGGCCTCGCGCAGCGGCTCCGCCAGCGCAGCGGCCACTGCATCGGCGGGCACCAACTCGACGAACACCAACGGCAGTGAGTGCGACTCCAGACGGACCGAGCGCTGCGAGGCGGCCGTGTGACTCCGGATGCCGCGCGGGCTGGCCTTGGCATGGGCGGCCATGCATGGCAGCGCCAGGCTCTGGGCGCGAGGCTCAGCAGGTGTGGCTACGCATCTGCACAGCGTCGCAAAAGGCGCGAGTCTGCTCGGGCTTCGAGCATGACCGCGGGACTCTGCGTTGCACGCAGTCCTGGCCAAGGCATGGGCGCAGCTGGCCGGGCTTTGGGAGCTGAAGGGCGTGTGCTCGTCTTAGCTCTGCCATGGTGAAAGCGAGAGTGATTCGGCGCATGAGGCATGCCTTCAGGCGCAGGTCTGGCCCCCTTCGGCCGTGCTGTCGCCGCTGCTCGCGTCGCTGCTGCCTAGGTGTGCGTGGAGCCCGAGCGCGGCTTGCACGCCCAGCGCTCTTGCTCGGCCAGACTCGCGAGGCCCGAGCTCTGCGTGTCCACGGTGCCGGCGCGCCGTGCCTGGAGACGTCGAAGCGCTGGAAGCGCTGGGAACCCAGCTTTAAGGCCCTCCATCCTAGTGCAGCCCATGCAGATGCAGTCTGGCTCGCCAGCCCTGCGGCCTCGCGCTGGCTTCGACGAGTCGTTGAGGGATGAGCCGGCAGCGACGACATTCTGCTGTGCCCTTTCGCACGCTCTGCAGTCTTGCTGATCCTCACTTTCCTCTTCAGCCGCCACCAACGGCACCATGACCAACTCGACCATGAGCGGCAACAGCACAAACACCACCACCACGACGCGGCCGCCCATCACTGCCACGGCCTCCGAGATCACGACGGGCGCGCTCGCAGGCACGGCCGTGGCGCCGGCACCCAACGCCAACGTGCCCGGCATCGCAAAGGGGCCGGACGACAGCTACGTCAACGCCGCAGAGATGCTCGCCGCCGGCTCGTTCGCCTTGACAGTCGCCCTCGGCGGCGCCTTGCTCTTCTAGACGGGCAGCAAAAGCGGCGCAGTTCTTGCGCTGCCGCGTCGCCTTCACGCACCACCGCGCACCACTCTGGTCCGCTCCTCGCCACCTCACGACGTCCGCCATTCGCGCCACCTTCTCGAGCCGCGCCTGTACTTCATATCTCACGCCCGCACTGCACATCTCGGCCCTTCTCACGCCGCACCTACGTGTTTCCGCCGCATGCCCAGCAGATGTGAGCGGCAGTGCCACTGCCTGGCGTGAGTCTCTGCGGATTTTGCGGACCATGCTCGCAGCTTGCCGAGGCCGTGCGGAGTGTGCGCGGCGAACTGTCTGTGGGTGTAGGCATGTCCATTGCCTCTCTCAGGCCGCCGCAGCCTTTGCTTTTGGCTGTGGGTGCGAGCGTCAGCGCGTGCCCGGCCAGAGAAGATAGACGCACGCACCTTGAAGTCCTCATCCGCCCGCGCCACATGGATCCGCACGTTGCCCTCGCCGCCCTCGCCCACGCCGCCCACCTCGCCCTTGTCGGCGCCCTCGTGCCGCGCGTCCTCAATGTTCTCGCCGCCGCTGGCCAGCGCAAAGAGGCTGCCGTCGGCCGAGACGGCGGCGGCAGTGAGCGGCGAGGGGAAGCGCGCGTATTGCAGGCGCCGCTTGCGCGCGGCGGCGTCCCAGATCGAGGCGATGGCGTCGCCGCCGAGCGAGGCGAATGTGCCGTGTCTACCGGCGCTTCAGCAAGGGCCAGGGTGTGCAAAGCGAGCCTGACTCACCTCGGGTGGAAGGCCATGGCGTTGACGGGGTACACCGTGTCGATGCCGTCGACGACCTGCCGGTGGCACTTGAAGGCGTACTTCTGCGCCTGTGCCTCGGGCGACGGCGCGAAGAACTCGACGGCGATGCGGCCCTCGACGGACGCTGATGCGTAGCCTACACGCGCGCCACCCGTCCATCAGCCCTGCTCGCGTAGTTTGCACGCTGCGACTCACCCTCGCCATTCGGCATGCACCGCACGTCGCGCACCATGTACTTCAGGCTGCTCTCCCGCGTCTGGTTCGGCTCCCAGCTCTTCTCCTCCACCTTCTCGTCCTTGGCCAGCCGGTCGCACGCCGCCCGCAGCGCCCGCATCTCGTAGATGTGCACCGTGCGGCCCGTCATGGCCACGACGGCGCGCGGCGTCTCGTCGGCGGCGCCGGCGCCGGGCGAGATGTCCATGGCCAGCGGCTTGGCGGGCAGGGTGAGCGTGTGCAGCTGCGAGGGAGGCGAGAGGGAGAAGATGGAGAGTGTGCTGTCCCACGATGTGCTGAGCAGCAGTTCTGCGCAGTGCGTGCGGTGTCAGCCCCAGCACAGCGCAAGTCGCTCGCCCCCTTTGGCCTGCCACGCACCAGAGACGGGATCGTAGCGCACGCGGTTCACGCCGCTGCCATGCCGGCCAAGGATCTGCGACTGGCCAGTCTGGAGGTCGAGCCTGCAGTTCCGAAGCTCTCAGTCAGCCCTGCACCCCACAGCGCAGCACGGCCGACGCACAGGCGCACACAGCGGTCCAGCGACGCACTGGCGGCGCGCTGCTCGTCGATCCACACGACGTCGAGCACGGCGGCCTCGTGCTCGAAGGTGTGCACGAGCTGCGCCTGCTGCGGCGCCTCTTCTGTGCTCGCCTCGGCGGCGGCGAGCGTGTACAGCCGCACGGTCTGCGCGCGGAGTGAGCCGGCTGGCGTGGACGGCGGCCCAGCACACGCACCTTGTCCCAGCTGGACACGAGCAGGCGCGGCGCGGCGCTGCTGCCGCCGGCGGGCGCAAAGACGAGCGCCGAGACGGGATGCTGCGGCGTGTGCGCGACAGGCAGCTCGTAGAACGGCGGCGTAGACATGGCGGAGGCAGGTGCGGCGGTGAGGGAGCGGAAGGAAGCAGCAGCAGCAGGACGCAGCAGCAGCAACACGAGCCCAACGCGTGCTTGTGCGTGGGAGCAGCGCGTGGCTGACTAAGCAAGACGCGCGCGCATGGCTCTCGAGGTCGGCCGCCGCCTGTGCGCGCCTGGCCTCCGTCCTTCGCACCCTCACCCTCCATCATGGCCGACACGTCGCCCCTCGAGGCCCACCGCGCCACGCACGAGGAGGCCGAGCGCCTCGAGTCCGCCCTCGTCGACACGCTCCTCGCCGCCGGCAGCACGCACCGCGAGGCGCTGCGCCGCGCCCACCGCGCCTCGTCGCTGCTCGACGCCCTCACCGCGCGCCACGCCGCCCTCGCCGCGCTCTACGCCGATGCCGACGGCGTGCGCCGCGCCGAGCTGGCGCGCATCGACGACGGCGGCGCCGACCTCGGCGGCTTCTACGAGCGCCTCGCCGCACTGCGCGCCTACCACGCCAAGTACCCTGGCGCGGCGCCCGACGCCTTCAGCGTGCCGCCGCCGCCGGCGCCCGTGCCCGGCGTGCTCGACGAGGTGGACCGCCTCTTCTCGGGCGAGGAGGCCGGCGGCCGCTTCCTCGACCTCGCCACGCACCACACGCGCTTCATCAACCTCAAGGGCGTGCGCCGCATGCCCTACCTGCGCTTCCTCGCTGAGCTGGCCGCGGCATCGTCGGCTGCCTCCGTGCCGCACGAGACGAAGCGCAGCGAGAGCTACAAGAAGTGCGTGGCACCGCACGCTACGCGTGACTGGTATGCTGACATTCCTACCAGGTATCTGGACGACCTGAACCTCTACCTCCTCTCGTTCCTGCGCAACACGCGGCCGCTCGCAGACGTCGACTACCTCGAGCTCAGCGCGCTGGCCGACTTCGAGGAGACGTGGGAGCAGCGCGCCGTGCCCGGCTGGGAGGACTGGGGCGAGAGCGTGTGGGGCAAGAGTGCGGCAGCGGCGCCGGCAGGCGAGGAGAGTGGAGCCAAGGAGGGCGTTTGGTGCGAGGCCTGTGAGTTGGCAGCAGTGGCGAAGCACCGAGTGGGCCTGCCATGGCGTCGCAGGAGACGCTCATTTCATCTCGCGCAGGCAAGCGGACATTCGCCAAGCAGACCGTGTACGACGGCCATCTCTCGGGCGCAAAGCACCAAAAAGCCGCAGCCCGGCTAGCCGCTGGCGGCAGCAGCGCAGCGGCATCAGGATCCGGCGGCGCCTCGACATCAGAGGCGCAGTCGAGCGCCGCAGCAGAGCTCGAGGCGGCCAAGCGGCTGGCACGCAGCAAGGCGCTGGCGCGCGCCGAGGTGCTGCTGGCGGCGCTGCGGCAAGAGCTGGCAGAAGTGCTGTCTGAGACGCGCGCCAACGTGGAGCGCAAGGCTGCGCTGACGGACAAGGAGCGGCAGGCAGAGGCCCTGGCTGCTGCTGGGCTGGACGGCGACGCTGCGGGCGCAAACGAGGCGCGTGACGACGAGGCGCGCGGCGCGGCGGCCGACGATGACGACGATGACGACGAGCGGATCTACAACCCGCTGAAGCTGCCGCTCGGCTGGGACGGCAAGCCCATTCCGTACTGGCTGTACAAGCTGCACGGCTTGGGCGTCGAGTATCGCTGCGAGATCTGTAGTGACTTTGTCTACCAGGGCCGGTGAGTCTCGCTCTCGACCCGGGTCGCCTATGACCGCGCTGACGCAGGGTACGCCTCCGCAGCAAGAACTTTGAGCGCCACTTCTCCGAGTCGCGGCATGCGTTTGGCATGCGGGCGCTGGGCCTGCCGAACACCAAGCACTTCCACGAGATCACCAAGATCGAGGATGCCCTTGCGCGTGAGTCGGCGCAAAGAGCGCATCACTGGCTTGTCCATCGACTGACACGTGTCTCGCGACTGCAGTGGCCGAGAAGCTGAAGCGGCAGGGCAAGCAGGTGGCCGAGGCCGAGGGCGATGCCGAGGAGGTCGAGGACGAGCACGGGAATGTGAGTAACGCCCTTGCTCGCCTGCTTTCGGCCAGTCCTCTCTGCCTGCGCGTGCTGATGCTCTCGCGCTCTGCAGACGTACACGAAGAAGACATACGAGCTGCTCAAGCGGCAGGGCATCATCTGAGAGGCCACCATGTGTCACGAGGCGAGCGCACGTGCAATTCCCATCTGTGTTTTGCGCAAGCATTGCCTTTCTCCTTTCGCCGTGCAGACCTAGCGTCTGACGATGCGCGGGTCGCCCTTCTCGGCGCGCTTCTGCAGCTTGGCCTGCCGCTTGCTCTGCGCCTCTTGCGGCGCGGCTGCTTCGGCCGGTGCAGGGCCGGCGCCTCGGCCTCCAGCAGCTCCGCCGCCAAGGCCCGGCACGAGGTTGAGCAGCGAGCGCAGCGGGTCGGCGCCGCGGAAGACGAAGGGCACGAGGAGCTTCTGCGAGAGGAAGGCTGGCGTCAGTCCACTGGCGCAGGTCCGCCGCGAAGCACTTCTCACCGTGTAGAGCACGAAGCCGCCGTACGCCGGAATCTGCAGAGCACAGGGTCAGCATCGCCTCGCACTTGAGCATCGTCTTATGACGCCTCGACAGCTCGACTCACGAGCAGCCAGAAGTACCAGCACCAGGCGCCGAAGAGGGCCGCCGAGACGTGCACGAACCAGGTGACGTAGATGATGTCGAACATGTAGCTGCGACAGGACGCGTGTGAGCCGGGGGTGTCGCTGCCACCGGCCACCAGGACGTAGAACGCTGCTCGTCCGGCGATGTCGGCCCGGAAAAGAGAAGCTACGCAGCAAGCCTGCAAGACTACAGCGCTGTCCGGGTGTCGAGCATGCGCATGCAGCGCAGTGCCTCTCGCCTATCGCTTCCACGCCCTCTACCGGCCTTGCCAGGCCCGCCGTCCTGCCCTTGCACTCACGCCGTCAGGCCCGCCTGGCCGAGGTCGTCGCCGTCGCGCGCCATGCGCACGAGCGTCCACCAGAGGCCGAGCGCCAGCATCTCGGACCCGACATACGCTGCCGCCGCCGACTTGGTCGCCCGCGTGCGGCGGCGCAGGCCAAAGACGAGGAGCAGGTGCACGGCGTTGGCGACGAGGAAGCCGGCGCGCAGCGTGCGCTGGGCGGCGGCGTTGGAGGCGGCGATGCGCTTCGACGATGCCTTTGCCTGGCGTGCAGTGTCAGTGATGCGGCATGCATGTGGCAGCATGTGGCAGAGGCGGCGCACCATGGTGGAGACGCAGGCTAGAGATGGTGGTGAGAAGGCAGCGCGCCGCATGCATGACGGCGACTCGAGGTGGAGCTTGAGTTGGCACGGCGTGGCGCGTGATCCGTGCGGCGCTTGCGTGGCCGACACCAACACCTCGATGCGCAGCACGCCTTGCCGCGCAACCACCACCACCGCCGCCGCTCCTCATCAGCACCGCATGAGCACCGAGACGCAGCCGCAGCCCGCCGAGGTGCCCGCTGCGCCCGAGGCATCCAGCAGCGCCTCGGCCTCCACTGCGGCGCCCGCCTCGGCCAGCGCCTCCTCCTCGGCTCCACCGCTGCCCGTCTGGAGTGCCGTGCACCTCTACCTGCCGCCCAGCACCGCCGGGCCCTCTCGTGCGTGGCCTACTCTCGCCTAGCCCAGTCCGCCAGCTAACCTTTCGCCACGCCCAGTGTCCGAGCGCCTGGCCGCGCAGCCCGAGCCGCCGGCGCCCAGCTCGGGCGAGCTGCGCGCCGCCTTTGCCGGGGCTCTTGCCGGCCGCAGCGGGCCTGATGCGCCGCTCATGACACGCGCCATGCGCGAAAAGGAGGACTTGAAGCGTAACGGGCCGCGGAAAGAGTGGACACAGGTGCGTGGGCGGGCTGCTGTCTCCTGTCGCTACCGTCGAGGCTCTGGAGCTGACATGTCCGTGGCCCGCAGCTGCGCATTCGTCTCCGTTTCCCCTCTCGCCACCATCTCGAGGCGCTCTTCCCTGCCTCGGCGCCTCTTTCATCCCTCTACTCCTTCCTGCGCCAGAGCGTCAACGACGACGCACGAGCCCAGCGCGCCAAGTTCGTCCTCTACCAGACGCCGCCGCGCCGCGAGTTCGCCGAAAAGGACGCGAAGCTGCGCGGCAAGACGCTGCTGGAGCTCGGCTTTGCGCCGCAGGCGGTGCTGTGTGTCAAGTGGGAGAACGAGGCGTGGAACGGTGAGTGCAGCGTGCAGAGCAGCCGCATCAGGCCTTGCTCACGCCGCCCTCGCCAGCTTCGAGCGCAGAACCGCCGCTGCTGCCCGAGCTGCTCGCCAGCGCAGAAGAGCTGCCAGCGCCGCCGTCCTTTGCACAGACGCCGACTGCACCACCACAAGGCCAAACGCTTGGTGGGCCAGCGCCGCAGAGCGCAGAGGGCGAAAAGAAGGAAAAGAAGATGCCGGCATGGCTGGCAAAGGGCCTGAGTGAGTGGTGCGCGTCTCCGCTCACATCGGCGAGTCCCTAACGCTGCGTCGCCTGCTGCAGAAAAGTAGAGACACGAGAATGTCACGCATACCTGAGCGTCGCAGGTCAGGCCGACGCCAGAAGGAGAGATGCATTGGGTGAGCATAGCGTAGGGACCAGTCGTGTCGATCGTGCGTCGTAAAGGGTTGCAAGCGGGCGGCGGGTATGAAAGAGGAAGGCAGGCCTAGCGGATCTGCGAGCATGGAGAGCGCGACGCATAAGCGGTCGTTCGGGTCATGCCGAGTCGACATCAACGCACCTGCTCCGGCGGGCCATGCGAGAACGCCACGCGCCGCTCGGGCGCATCTTCGTACGAGCGACGCGGGTAGGCGCCGGGCCTTGCTGCCGGTGCCGAGTCGTACGGCGCCTCGAGGTGCTCGCGCTCCTCACGATGTGCAGAGGGGTAGGGTGCACTGAGGCGCCGCGTCTGCTCGCCACGCGGGTCCGCAGGCGCTCGCAGTGCGGCGGCAGCACGTTCAGCGGCAGCGGCAGCGGGATGCCGAGGTGGAGGAGGAGGCGGCGCGTTGCTCAGGGCTGGACGAGACGCCTGCCGAGGAGCTGTGCCGTAGTTGCGCGCGCTGCAGCGCTGGCAGCCACAGACGTCCGAGTGCGGCGCCTCGTGCGCGTCCCAGGCGCCGTTGGCGGCAGCAGCACCACGGCGCATCGAGCCTCCGAACTCGTCCGGCACGCCGTAGCGCTCGTCGCCGTACGCGGCACCCGAGCCGCGCGCAGGCGCCGAGTCGGCTGCGTAGCGCGCGCCGCTGCTGGAGGCTATCGGCGGACGAGTCTGGCGTGCAGCGGCGCCATAGCCGCCCGTATCGCCATCGCGCTCGCGCTCGTAGTATGGTCCGGCGTCGTAGGCGGCTGCTGCTCTGGCCTGCGTCGCCGAGTAGCTGCCGGCCAGGTCGGAGACGCGCCGTGTATTCTTGGGCATGTCGTGCGGCAGTGGCGAGGTCTGTACGACGCAGGCGATCAGCACACCTGCAGCGCGAAGCAGAGCGCATCGTACTCACGACTCTCCGGTAGCCGCCGCTTGCCGCCGCCGGCTCTTCACCGCGCGCCTTCTCCTCCTGGTAGCGCGCCTTCATACGCGCCACGAAGCTCCGCTCGCTCTCGCTGCTCAGCGTGCGATTCACGCTGACGCCCGAGAGACGGCTGCCGCCCACGGCAGGCGCGTAGCTCTCTCGTGGACGCTCCTCGGCGCGTGCTGCATCGGCGTGCATCGGCTGGAACGCGCCCACGCCGGCGCGGTTCATGAGCGAGAACGACGAGCCCTTCGTGGGCGTGGCGTTGGCGCTCTGTCCGCCGTCGCTGCCCGGCGGCGAGTACAGGTGCGCGACGCCGGCGCGCTGTCCGCGGCGGATGCGCTCCTCGGCATCGCCGAGTCGGCGCTGCAGCTCGGCCTCGCGCTCGAGATGGCGCTCCCGCTCACGCTCGCGTTCCCAGAGCGACGTGCGACGCGCCAGCGGCGGTGTCTCGGCGGCTTCGTTCGTGGCTGGCGACTTGGACGGGAAGCCGAGGCCACCGAAGCCATCCGGCACGCCAGCGCCCTCGTTCGCGCGGCTTGCAGCCCCAGTGCGCGTTCCGTTCGGCTCGTCAGACGTCGACGGCCGCGTGGAGCCTGAGCGCCACGTCGGGTCGGGTGCCTGTGGCAGTGCACCGCGGCCCGTCGGCTCGCTCGGCTCGGCCTGTCGCTCGAGGCGGTCGATGATGGTGCCCTCTTCTCCACTGGAGGCGCGCTGAGCATGCCCGTTCTGTTGTGCCGCGCTCCACGCATTCGTCACCGCGACAGGGCTAGTCTTCAGGCTCACGCGACTGGCAACACTGGCGTTCGTGTCGACGCGTGTCAGCGCTCCGCCATCCGGTGCGTCAGACTTCTTCGCAGCGACGCTGTCGACCGAGTCTGCGGGCGTCGTGGGCGCTGGCCCGGTGCTGCTCTTGCGCCGGAAGTTGAGCAGGCCGCGCGCGCGGCCCATGCTGCTCTTCTCTGCGGGCGCTGTCTCGGCCGGCGCAGCAGGCGCGGGCGTCGACGTAGAGGGCACATCGTTGCTCTTCTGCGCGCGCGGTCCGAATGGTCGAGACGTCGTCGGCGAGGTGGCTGCACCGGCAGGCGCGCCCACCGTGCTGGCAGAGGTGGCCGAGCTCGACGATGGTGGAGGCTCACCTGCGGCCATGGCAGGCGCAGGCGCAGGAGAGGGCGTGTGGGCCGGAGCTGGCGCGGAAACAGCAGCCGGCGTCGGCTCTGCCGCCTTTGCAGGCGAGACGGGCGCCGAGGGCTGCGGAGCATTGTCGACCTCCTGGCGCGGCACGCTGGCGTACGTCTGCGCAGCCTGCTGCACGGGCGCTGTCTGCGTCTCCTGCACTTGCGTCGGCGCTTGTTGCTGCTGGCCCGCACCGGAGGCTCCTTGCTGCTGCTGCTGTGGAGGCAGCCAGCCGAGTTGCTGAGCCGTCCACGCTGCCTGGGCCTGGTCACGCGCCGCCTGCAGAGCCGCTTCGCGCGCCTGCGCGTTGGCCTGCGCCTGCATCTCAGCCATGGCCAGCATGGCTGCGCGGCCCAGCTCCTCCTCGCCAATCTCAGCAGGCTGACCCGCCGGCAGCGCCTCTTGCATCGCCAGGTTGAGCCACGAGTTGACGCGCCCGACATGCGCGCCCGCACGACGGACGCCCTCGCAGAGCTGGCGGAACTCGGCATCGGCAAGCCCGCCCAGCGCAGCAGCCACGACGAGGCTCGTCGCCTCGTTGCGCCCTCCGATTGACAGCGCATGCGCCGCCTTTGCACGGCTGATCTCGCCCGTCAGGCCCTGTACGGCCGCAATGTAGCGGTCGTGGCTCTCGATGGCGCGCCCGCCGGAGCGCTTGACGTTCTTCTCGTGGCTTGCGTGCGCCTTCTTGACCTTGGAGTCCAGCGTCTCGAGCGCTTCGTCGTGCGCGCGCTCCTCCTTGGCGACGCGCTTGAAGTACTTGGCGCAGTGCTCATTGAGCGCCTCGTACTCGCGCTGGATCAGCTTGGCGTGCTTGATCGACGACTCGGACACGGCGTCGAAGAGGAACGACGAGGAGAGCAGCGTTTGCACTGGCACAAGCGTCAGAGCGCGCAGCGTGGCTCTGTGAATTTGCGCGACTCACCTGGCACCTCGGCGAACGCCTTGCCCACCGCCAGCTCCTTGCACGCCTTGCCCAGCTTGCGCTCGCACTTGGCCAGGCGCGCCGCCAGGTCGCGGTACTCGTCGAACGCGACGAGCAGCTGCTCGAGGCTCTTGAGCGAGCGGTGCAGCTCGCTGCGCTCCAGCGCCGCCGCCTCGCGCTGCGGCGCGGCGGCGGCGGTGCCCAGGCCGCTGCCCGGGCCCGCGGCGTACGGCGTGCCGGCGGGAAACGGCGAGCTGCCGCCGGGGTACAACGAGGCGGCGGGCGCGTAGTCGAAGTAGTTGAGCGACGCGGCGCCGCTGAGCGACGGCTCGTAGGTGGACTGCAGCGGCGGCGGCGGCTGCAGGCTGTTGGCGCTGCCCGAGTCGGTGCGCTCGCGCGAGCCGGCGCCGGCGGCGTGCGTGGGCGGGGCGGCGGCGGCGTCCCAGGTGCCGGCGCCGGGGCTGGCGCCGCGCGAGCCGGGCTGCGGCGGCGGCAGCGCGGGCGAGGCGGGCGCGTGGCTGTCGATGCGCAGGAACTTCTTCATGTGCGCCGCATGGAGTCGGGACTGCGGTGGTGGTGGTGGAGCGGAGGCAGGCCGCAGCGTGCGGTGCGGCGCGTGCCCAACGGCCCGGTCCGGCACGGCCCCAAGCGCGCGCGGCGCACGCGCCATGCGATGCCCGCCCAATGCGCGCGCCAACACCGCCTCGCAGCGAGCAGCTTGACAGCAACGCCGGCTGGCGTCCGGCGGCCACCACCACCAGGCGCAGCCTGCTTTCGCTGTGCCAATCAGGATGCTATCGCAGTGATGGCACAGCCTCGGGATGATCGGCGGGAGCAGCCGCCCGTCGCTCTCGCACGACAATCTGGCGCGGGTGTTGCACTCAGGGGCCAGCTCAGGCGCCGGCGCGCCTCATCAAGACGCCGCCGCCGTAGCGTGCGTCACGTGCGCCTGGCTGGCTCGCCCCCTGAGCGCCTCTCGGGCCATGAGCATCATCAGCAGACCGCATGGCCGCGGCCGGCGGCGAACAGTTCGGCACAGATTCTCGGCTCGCCCCTGACACATCGGGCGGCGGCACAATCTCTTGCACGCCGGCGGTGTGGCTGCCTCGGCTCCGTCTGGAACGCGGCGGCGCCCCTTGACCCGCTCGGCCTCCTCTCCGCCGTCACACGGGCATCGATTCGAGGAGACCGGCTCCGAGCGCAGGAGGGCAGCATCAGTGCCCGAGATGCATCAGGGGCGCAATCTGTGTCGCCTGAAATCGCTGACGAGATGCGCACCGCATGGTGCTTTTTCCCTGGCCGCGTGCGATAGCAAGGGCATCAGCGAGAGAGGCGGCGGGGTCTGTGGAGTGCTTTCTCGCCGTCGAAGAGGTGATGAGCACGTTCGACTCTACTCCCACGCGCTAGCCTCTTGCACGCCGTCCCTTAGCTGCTCCGTGCCTCTCGCTCTGGATGCCCGTTCGAGCTGCGTCCGACGTCCGCCGGCCCGCTGCGCGCTATCACCGCCGTGTCTCGAGCCTCATCCCCTTTGTCATCAGCAGCGGCAGCGGCAGCGGCACCTCATCTGCGATGCAGCGACGTTCCGAGATGGAGCACCTTGCTATCAACTCCTCGACCGCGCCCAGCTTCTCGTCCAACTACGGCATCCCCGACTTCACGCCTAAACCCATCCTCAGCACGGCCGCCTCGCGCACCTCGCCGCGCAAGCTCGTCATCTCGCGCAGCAGCAACAATCTGCGCAGCAGCAGCAACCTGCGCAGCAGCGGCTCTTCGCCCGTCCGCAAGCCGCGCATGCCCTCCTCCTCGAGCGAGCAGCGGCGCCGCGACAGCCTGGCGCTGTCGACGAGCGACGAGAGCAGCACGGTGCGCGGCGCCAATGCCTCGCGCAGCACGCTGGCATCGTCGGTGACGGCGCACTCGCCGCGGCGCCTGCCCGAAGACTCGGTGGCACACCTGCTGCCGCCGTCGCGCAGCGCCGCCTCGCTGCCGCAGAGCCGCACGGTGCGCGAAGTGACGTTCGCCGAGAGCGTCGAGCACGCACCCATGCCGCCGCCGTTCTCGGGCGGCGATGCGCGCCTGGAGGCGAAGAGCAGGCTGGAGGAGGGCCCGATGCGGCACAACAGGCTGCGCGACCAGCTTGCGCTGCGGGTGAGTACAAGGACGAAGAGGCGTGATAACGTGCCACTGACGAGCCTGTGCGCAGCTCAACTGGCCCATCGACGGTACGTGCCCAGACGAAGAGCTCGACAGTGATACTGACGGTTGTTCAGATCCCGCCGTCAACGCCGAACGAAGCACCTCCAAGAGCAGCTCGGCGCGCAGCAAGGAGGCGCCGCGCGCTTCAGCCTCGCTCGTGCTCTACCACAAGTACGCAGCGCCCGAGAGTGCCTCGGAGAGCGAGAGCGAGGCCGACGAGGACGGCGCCGATGGTCGGCGCAGCACGGCGCTGAAGCACCAGATCAAGGGCGCGCTGCCGGAGCACGCCGACGGCAAGATCATCCTGCGCGCCGAGTGCGCACGGCCGTGCTGGGCCACCGAGTCGAAGCGCTACGAGGCGCCGATCCGCATCGGCATGGGCAAGACGGGCGTGAGTGCTCTCGCGTGCAGTACAGCATTTGGAGCTCGGAGCTCATTGCGGCATACTCAGAGCTACGTGTGGGATGTCGTGCCCACGGCGCCTTCGAACAAGCGATCGCGCGAGAGTCTCTGGACCATCGTCGAGGTGGCCACAGGCCGCAAGACGCGCATGATGAACGACGACATGACGACATCAAACTGGCGCTTCGTCGGGTGAGCACATGAGTCAGCGAACGCGGCAGCGCAGGTGAACTGACCCGCACTGCAGACCGCATGGCTGGTTCTACGTGGTCACGGGTGTGCCGCAGGAGCCGAGGATCGTCGTCAGTGAGTACGCTTGCCTCCGGCAGCGCTCCACAGGCTCACACCTAAGCTTTCACAGTGGACTCTGGAGGCAGCTACGAGTGCGTGAAGCGGCTGCCAGCTTTGAGCCCTACTCTGATGCAGCACGCGCCCGCAGAGTGGCCGAGTTCGACCCGGAGGAGTGCAAGGGCGTGCTGCACCTCGACCTGCGCCCTGCGGGCTCGGACTTTCGTCAGCGCGGCCATGAGCCCGTCGACATCACGTTCATCGTGGCCGTCTTCGAGTGAGTCTCGGAATCGATTTCTGCATGTGCGTTGCTGACGGTGTCCCGGCCACGCTTCGCAGATGCATCAATGCGTGAGTGCGCCACCATCGTTGGCCGCAGTGCGCACAGCTGATGAACCTCTCAGCATCCGCGACGAATGCGCGGGCGCGGGCAAGGGCCGTCGTGACGAGCGTGGCCGGCTGAAGCTCGGCGGCCGCTCCGGGCTGCGCAAGGCCTTTGACCGGTGCGTGCGCTCTGACCTGGTACATCGGCGACGAGCGGACTGCTGACCGCTCTTCACCAGATTCCTGAGCATCTGAACCGCCTGTTCCCTGTCCCGCGTCTCTTCTGTCGCTTGCAGCACCGGCCGCACCGCACCGGCTCTGCACTCCTAACTCGTCTCGCTGTTCTGCTCCTCCACACGCTACTCTCCGCCCGCTAATGCCGCCCTCGCCGCAATGACACACCGGGCCTCTCTCTGGCCATGCCGCTAGATCTGTGTCCATTGTGCCGGGCGAGCAGTGTGAAGCGAGCGCGCCACAGCAGCAGCACGGCTCGCGTGAAGGAGTATAGCACGCCGGGCGAGACAGTGAGGGCGTTGGACGTATGCATGAAAAGAGCGAGACGAGAGCTGAGGGGCGTGTACGTGAGAGGTGTGCGGAACGAGGCGCACGAGCGGGTGTGTGTGGTGGAGAAATGTGTAGAGGCTACGATGTACAAGCGACCGCACGCGGACGCCGAGAGATGAGTGATAGTATGTGTGCTGCTCGTCGCGAGGACGGCGCAGATGGGACGGAGATTGGGCAGGCGGCGGGCGTCATAACGAGCGGTACAGCACGTCTGGCAAAGCAATGCGAGCTTGCGGCGTCACGGCTGCCGACGCGCGAGAGAAGGCCGGCTCAGGCGAGTGCGACCGCGGCGCCGACTGCAGCGCAGAGCGCGAACAGCGAGGCGCCGACGCTGGACCCTGCCAGCCCAGCGGCGCCGCTGCCGATGTTGCCCGACGCCTGGTTGTCGCCGCCCGCCTGTGCCTCGCTGTAGCCCGGAATGTCGGCCGGCGCCACCGACGTGCCGGCGGCCACCTGCGGCGCGGGCAACCGCGACGACGCCGGCGGCGTGTAGCCGCTGATGACCTGCAGCGTCGCGAAGCTGGACGCCGCTCCGCCACCACCACCCAGCGCAGCACCCTGCGGAGTAGGCGACGCCCAAGATCAGCCGACGCTCTTTACTCAGGCGCTCCAGCGCACTCACGCCAACCACGGCCGTCGTCGTGGGCGTAGCAGTCGTGAGTCGCCGTGTTGTTGTGGGCACGACGGCGAGGGCAGTTGTTGTCGTAGCGAGCAGCGCGGTGGTGGAAGTCGCGGGCAGCTCACCGCCAGCACCCGGCGCTTGCGTCAAGACTGGTTGACTGCAGAGAGGCACGGCATCAGCACGCGCTGAGGCCTCACCGGTGCTACGTCCATCTCTGCAGCAAGCAGGCATGCTCTGCCGACCGTGTGCGACCCTCCTGCGATACCGCTGGTTCCTCTTCTCCGCTGCAGGTACGCGCTCGCCTGCACAGCGCTGTGCAAGTCTCTCCCACGAGACATGCCGTTGACACGATCCTCTGGCGCAGCTGTTCCTCTCATGCCCTTGTCTCGAGCCATCGCACCATCCGGCTACTCACTCGCTCGTGTACTGTCCGTCGACGTCCACGGCCGTGTAGACGACCTCACTAAGAAAAGAGCGGAGCGTCAGCAGCTGCGCTACGTGTCTGTCCGCAGTGGGCCAAGGGGTGCGCGGCGTCCATCCGGCCGTCGGACGCGGGCCGTGTGCGCTGCAGCCCGTGATCGCCCAGGCACGTGGAGCAGGCACTCTTCGAGACGGCGCAGAGCTGCGACGCGCCTGCTGCCGATCGAGCGGCGCATGTGTGCAGAGCGCGCGCATCTGTGTCCCTCCTCTGGCGCACCCCACGCGGCGGCGCCACTCACTTTCCCGAGGGCGCGGTGACGGTATATGTGACGGGCAGCTGTGCGGCAACAAGGGTGCTGCTGAGGAGCAGCACGGCGGCCGACGTGGCGGCGGCAGTGGAGAAGCGCATGGCGGCCGCTGCGCAAGACGAGGATGCGCTGAGAGGAGAGCGACGAGTGCGGGGGGCGCGTGTTTGGTGCCGGGCTGAGAGCGCGGCGCGGCGGTGCGGCACGAGGCAAGCGAGATGCGCGGATGCGAAGGGAACGGCGAAGAGAGAAGAGCGAGGACGAGGCGTGTGGGTGAGAGTGTGAGGTGGAGTGAAGGGAAAGAGAGAGGATGGAGGAGCGGAGGCAGACCCAAGGCGACGGCGACGACGACGAGCTGCGAACTGCACAGCATCGGCAGACGCGCGCGCGGCGAGAGGGGCCAGCTTCAGGCGCCGCCGAGCCCTGCAGCGCGCAGGCGGCGGGCGGCGCCTCGGACGTCCGTGACGCCGCCGCGGCAGGCGCGCTGGGCGCGTGATGGGCGCCGGCGCCGCGAGCGAGAGACATCGGGCGCGCCGGCAGCGTCGCACGGCAGCACAGCAGAAGCAGCGGCCGGCACGCAGCCTGCCTTGCGCACCGCGCTGCCGTGCCCGTTCTGGCAGCCGGCGCGGCGCTGCCCCTCGCGAATTTGGCGCATGCCAAGCCGGCCAGGGCTCGGCGCAGCAGCGCGCCTCCTTCGCTCCGGCTCGAGGCGCCTCTTGCGCTGCGAGGGGTCCTTTCGTTTTGCGAGCTCTCTTGCTGCCATGCGCTGCACAGCGCGGTCATGCTGCGCCTCATCCCAGCCGCGGAGTGGAAGGGCGGTCCGCGCGAGCGAGAGAGGCGCCGCCCGGCGGCGACGCTCATCATCTCCGCCTGTCAAGGTCAAGCCTCCGGCCGCGGCGAGCAGCAGCTGCTCGCTGCAGATGGCAGCTCCAGGTAGAGAACAGGCGAGCAGCAGTAGAGGCTGCAGATTCCGGAGTGAGAATGGGGCGAGCAAGGCGTTCGAGGCTTGCGTCCAGAACCTCGGGCTGCGAGCGGGCACCGTCACAGCAGATGGGCGCCACGCCCCTGAGCAGGAGTGCCTGCTCGAGACGCCGTGACGATCCAGCAGGGCGCCTTTCTCGCCAGCCACAGTTGTTGCATCAGAGACTGCGCAGCGCTGGGTGCGCTCCTCTGTTTCGGCATCTCGACGTCAGCGGCACGGCGAGCTCTCTGCTACTGCCAGCCGGCGCACTCCGCCAGCTCTGATTTAGCTCGCTGGACGATCTCGGGCCTCCGCCTGTGCTGCGTGCCGACGTTGGCAGCGGTGCGGTGCGCGGCACGGCCGCTGCCAGCTGGTCGCCGGCCGTGGCCTGCACTCGCCGTTAGAGGTCTGGAGCCACAGATAGGCAGAAACGCTCGCTTCGCTTTTCTCAATAAGAGTTGCCCGGCGCTGCGACGCAGGGGCCGGAGGGCGGCGCCAGGGACGGAGGCCTCCACTCCACGCGCAGAAGTCCCTGAGCCGCGCGCCAAACGCCGCCGTCGCACGCGCCTGCCTGCGCCACGTGGTGCCCGCTGCAGCCAGCGCACGGCGCGCCGCCTTTCTTCTCCCTTCGCAGCCGCACCTGAGGCCCTCCTTCCTGCCACCAGCCCATGCTCTGCCTACCGTCCCTCAGCAGCAGCAGCACTCTCCACTCCGCACGCATCCTCGTCGTCTCCGTTGCGCCGCCGCACAGTCGCGCCTTCTCCGTCTCGTCCGCCGCGCCCGCCAAGAAGGCCTCCTCCGCCAGGATGCCCCCCAAGAAGCTCGCGCCCAATGAGCGCGCCAAGCTCGGCCGCCCGAGCAACAACCTGAAGATGGGCATCGTCGGCCTGCCCAACGTCGGCAAGTCGTCGCTCTTCAACGTCATCGCCAAGTGCGACCTGGGCAAGAGCGCCAACTTCCCGTACGGTGCGTGTGTGTCGGTCTAGCGCGTCCAGCAGCAGCGCTCACGCAGCGCCACAGCGACCATCGAGCCGGAAGAGGCACGCGTGCCCGTGCCCGACGAGCGCTTCCTGTGGCTCGTCGACCTGTACAAGCCCAAGTCGCAGGTGCCGGCATTCCTGACGTGCATCGACATTGCCGGCCTCACCGCCGGTGCCTCGACGGGCGCCGGTCTGGGCAACGCCTTCCTGTCCAACGTGCGCTCCGTCGACGGCATCTTCCAGGTCATCCGCGCCTTCGACGACGCCGAGGTGATCCACGTCGAGGGCGACGTGAACCCGATCCGCGACATGGAGATCATCAGCACCGAGCTGCGGCTCAAGGACATTGAGTGGGTGGAGAAGAGCATCGAGGCACAGAAGAAGCTCTGCCGCGGCGCCACGGGCCTCAAGAAGAAGCAGCTCGACGAGGAGCTGGCGACGATGGAGAAGGCGCTCAAGATGCTGCAGGAGGACAGCCAGGACGTGCGCAAGGGCGAGTGGGGCAATAAGGAGGTGAGTGTGCGCGCGTCCAGGACGTGCAGGCTCGCGGCGGCGCTTCGTCGAGTGATGAACAAGAGGGCGCTATTTGAGACCCTCGAATCTAATAACCCAGCTCGTCGAGGGACCATCAATCCTTATGAGAAAAAGATTCTCTCTGACTTCGAAGCGCCGCCGCCGCTGTGCCTGCGCCATGCCACCTGCTCGCCGGCCGCCTGCTGACGCATTCTGTTCTATAGATCGACACGCTCAACGAGATGAAGCTGCTCACCGCCAAGCCCGTCATCTACCTCGTGAACCTGTCGGAGCGCGACTACGTGCGCCGCAAGAACAAGTGGCTGCCGAAGATCAAGGCGTGGATCGACGAGAACAACCCGGGCGACCAGCTCATCCCCTTCTCCGTCTCGCTCGAGGAGCGCCTCTTTGCCCTCGGCGGGCCCGACGCCGAGGCCGAGGAGCTCAAGAAGCTCGGTGACAACATCACCGGCGCCATGAGCAAGATCACAAAGGCCGGCTACGACGGCCTGGACCTCATCCGCTACTTCACCTGCGGCCCCGACGAGGTGCGCGCGTGGTCGATCCGCCGCGGCCTCAAGGCGCCGCAGGCCGCCGGTGTCATCCACACGGACTTTGAGAACAAGTTCGTGTGCGGCGAGATCATGGTGCGTACCTGCGAGCAGACGTATGCGGTCCGCAGCTGCTGACCCCTGTCCTGCAGGCCTTTGCCGACCTGAAGGAGCACGGCACCGAGTCCGCCGTCAAGGCTGCGGGCAAGTACGTGCAAAAAGGAAAGCTCTACGAGATGATCGACGGCGACATTGCCTACTGGAAGGCCGGCGGCTAGACGTGCGGCTTTCGCCCCGCCCTCTCACCCTGGAGGCGGCAGTGCTCGACGCAGATGCTCTTTGTATACTACCACTCTTGCCGCGACTCTTGAGCTATGTCATGCGCTGTCTGCCCACTCTGCCCCTGCAAGGAACGTGTGAGAGCTGGTGGGGCCGAGCATCAAAGTGTGGCGCCGTGTGTTGTGTTGCATTGGTGCTGGCATGCTGCGGCCTACAAGCCTCTCATCGGGGCCGACGCAAGCCACCGCCGGCCGGCCCGCCGATTGCGAAGTGGCATGCCGAAGCGCCGCAGCGGTATTCTTACCTCGCCTGCCGAACCATGGGGCCCCCGACCGGCTCCGACGAGGAGATCTGAACACGGACAATCAGCGCAGCACCGACGATTGTGCCGCGTGTCGCCTGCCGAAAGGATCGTCGAACTGCGGCATGTGTGCGGGACATGGGCGTGGCGCATCGAGGGCGAGCGCCGAGGCATGAGCGCCGGAGATGAGATGGCACGGCGGGGCTGGGCGAGGCCCGCTCGACGTCATGCTCGTCCGCTTGGCCGGCAGCAGCAGCAGGCAGCGAGCGCCTCCTCCGACGACGGCGGACAGCGCGCAACACGAGGGTGCAGTGACGGGCAGGCTCACACGCCTGTCTCCCTCCGTCACCGCCCACGGCTTGCGGTGAACGTGCTGCGCCCTCCGAACCGAGCAGCGAGAAGGCAAGCAACGAGCCGCAAACTCTCAGCGCTGCCCACCTGCGAAAGCACGGGCAATTGACGGAGTCGGCGGCGGAGCGAGCTCGTCGGCAGCGAGGTACAGCGGCACGTCGCCGCCGCCGCACGCGTCACCGCAGCGTGCAGCATCAGCGCAGCGTCACTGCATGCAGGTCGCAGCGCTGCACGCCAAAGGTGGAAGTTGGCCGCAGCAGGGCGGATCTGGCGCTGATCGGCTCGGCGGCGCGAGTGCAGCACGAGATGGCGACGGCGGCGGTGCCCCGTGGGCGGCGATGACGAGGCGCGTCCCACGGCGCGAGACCAACACCTGGCGCGCGCGTCCACGCGTTGGTGCCGCGAGGTGTTGCTCTCGCTCGCCGCGCGCCGCACCGCCCGCTGGACGCCGTCCTCGCTGCGGCGGCGCCGTTGACGCAGCGCATCGGATCTCGTGCGTGCTCTGCAGCGGTGTGCAGGCTCAGCCGCAGCTCAGCAGCAGCCGAACGAGGGCCGCGCGGAAGCATGCTTGTCTGCCGCTGCCTTGCCCTGCTCCTGCACCGCACCGCGCACCTGATGCTGCCTCCGAGCGCACTCGATATGCCGCAGCCCGCTCGCGCTGCCGCTGCCGGTGCGCCTCCTCACCCCACCCTTCGGGCTGTTTTGCACGGCGCCCTTGAGACGCCTGTGGCCGCCGTGCCTGCGTCAGCGCCTTGCTGTTGGCGTCCGTCTGCCTTCGGTGCAGGTGCAGAGCGGGCAGCAGAGGAGGAGCGGCCCGGAGGCTGTTCGCCTGCGCTGCGCCGCACCTGCCCTTCGCGGCCCGGCCACTCCGCCCGCCGAGAGGCTGCCGAGGCGGCCGAGATGCCTTGGACAGGCAGGACGGGCCAGCTGCTGCTGAGCGCTCCCCGCAACGAACCTCTACTTTGTGCTGCGTCGCCGCCGGGTGCCGTGCCAGCGCCGTGCGAGGCGCGCACGGCCAGGACGCCGCACCCGCTGCCCGCCGCTGCCCTGCGCGCAGTGTCGCCCGCCGCTGCGTGCCGGCAAGTGCGAGAGGGTACGAGCAATCGCTGACAGCCGGAGTGTCGTCCAGTGTGCTCCTGCGGCGGGCGGAGTGTGTGCTGAGCGTGCGAGCAGCGCAAGCCTCTGCGGCGGCGCGTGGACGTACCTGGAGGATACGCGCGGCCCTTCCTTGGGCGAGGCACGGCGCCGAGTGCGGCAGGTGGCCGAGGCGAGGCGAGAGCAGCGAGTGCGAGTGCCGTGCTTGGCCCGGCTGGGCATGGGCATGGGCATGGGCATGGGCATGGGCATGGGCATGGGCATGGGCATGGGCATGGGCATGGGCATGGCTGAGGCACGGCCGAGGAGAGGCGGAGGTCGCGTGCGCTGCATGGCCCTCCGCCCCGCCGCGCGCCAGCCACGCGCCCGCCTCATAAGCGCCGGCGCGCGCGGCGTCCGCCGAGCTCTCGCCCGTTCGTCCTTCCTCTCCCTCCGAAGCGAGCCCCTTCCCGCCCGGCCCTCTGCGCCCCCCGTCCCGTCCCGTCCCCTTTGCCATTCTTCCGAGGCCGGTCGTGAGTATGCCGCAGTGCCGCCAGCATGCGCACGCATGGCCCACGCCGCACCGCCAGGCGCCCGTAGATCGTCGACTGACATGCTCGCCCTCCAGCTCCCCTTTTTTTATCCCTCCCTCCGCATCCGCATCGCCCGCTCTCGCCTGCCTCGTGTCGCCCAGTCTCGTCTCTCTCCTTCTCTTCGCCCCTTGCCCAGCATGATCGCCATCCGCACGCCCTTCTTCTCGCTGCTCCTCCTCATGCTCGTCCTCTCGCTCGACGCGCTGCCCGCGGCGCGCGCCGCTCCAGTTGCTGCACCGCACCCCTCGGCGCACCTGGCGGCTCGCTCGCCCTACAAGGCGCCGCGCATCGGCATTGCCATCAAGGCGCCCGGCCGCAGAGGCTCGCTCGAGGAGCTCGAGGACGGCGTCGGCGTGACGCTCTCGCTGAAGCACGTCGAGGGCCGCGGCGGCGACTCGGGGGTGGTGAGTGATGTGTGATGTGCAGCGGTGCAGCAGATGCTGGATGGGCGGTGTATGGTGCAGTCAGTGCTTGGTGTGCAGCAGTGCAGCATCTGCTGCGTGCGGCCTGGTGCAGCAGCTGTGTCGCCTCTACGCCGTCCCTCTGCGCCGAGCCGCCAGCTGACTCCCGTGTCCAGGTGCTGCAGCGCCACCTGAACAGCGCCGTGAAGAAGGTGGCCCGCATCACGGCCCGCGATGCGCCGTCGGACGAGGCGATGCACGCGGCCATGGAGCAGCGTCGTCGTGCCGCTGCTCTGGGCCGCCGCTCGCTGCCGATCGCCGGCACGTCCGAGGACGAGCATCCCATGCCGCGCTCGCCGTCGCCGTCGCGCCGCGCGCACCACAAGCGCAGCCCGCAGCCGGCCACGTTTGCGGCGGGCCGCCACGGGCGCATCGGCGTCGTCATACCGCAGAAGGAGCAGGGCACGCCGGAGCGCCGCCTGCTCGGCGCGCTCGGCGGCCTGCTCAACGACGAGCACCCGGACCTGGCCTCGGCCACGCTCATCGGGCCGCCCGTCGCGGCGCAGACGGGCACGTCGGCCCACTCGTACGCGACGAAGAAGAAGTCGAACAAGGCCGCGGCCACGCCCGACGGAAGCGGCGGCTTCCCGAAGTCGGCGTGGGCGGCGGCCAACTCGGGCGGCGTGCAGAAGGCCAAGGCGCCGACGGCCAAGGACTCGCTCGGTCTGGACATTGAGGCAAACGACGTTGGCTACGTCGCCACAGTCCAGATCGGCAGTGCCAGCACGCCGTTCCGCCTGCTCATCGACTCGGGCAGCGCCGACACGTGGGTGCCGAGCACGGCGTGCGACAACTGCTCGGACCAGCACCAGCGCCTGGGCAAGAAGATCTCGTCGTCGTTCCGCGGCAGCCAGAAGCCGTTCAGCATCACGTACGGCACGGGCAGCGTCTCGGGCATCCTGGCGCAGGACCGCCTGATGATTGCCGGCCTCAAGCTGTCGAACCACACCATCGGCCTGGCGCACAAGGAGTCGTCGGACTTCAGCGACCCGAGCGTGCCGTTCGACGGCCTCATGGGCCTGGCGCAGCAGAAGCTGGCCAACTCGCGCAGCCCGACGCCCATCGACGCGCTGTACGCCGCGCGCCTCGTCTCGGCGCCCGTGATGGGCTACCACCTCGCGCGCGCCGCGGATAGCAACAACGACGGCGAGGTGACGTTTGGCGGCGTCGACGCGAGCAAGTTCAAGGGCCAGCTCGTCGAGGTGCCCAACGTCTCGACGCAGGGCTTCTGGGAGATCAAGCTTGACGGCGTCAAGTTTGGCGGCAAGACGATTGCCAGCCTGAGCAAGGGCCGCACGGCCATCCTCGACACGGGCACCACGCTCATCGTGGCGCCGCAGGCCGACGCCGACGCCGTGCACCGCGCGATCCCCGGCGCCAAGTCCGACGGCCAGGGCGGCTACACGATCCCCTGCACCACGACGGGCGCCGTGACGTTCAGCTTCGGCGGGCGCGAGTGGCCCATGACGCCCAACGACATGAAGTTCCTGCCCGTCGACTCGCAGAACCTCAAGGGCGACTGCATCAGCTCCATCAGCGCCGGCGACGTCGGCCAAGCAAACGAGTGGCTAGTCGGCGCCGCGTTCCTGCGCAACATCTACCTGGCCACCAACACGAAGAGCAACTCGGTCGGCCTCGGTGCGCTGGCATGAGCGCCGCGGCTGAGCCCGGGCGATCGCGTCGAGGAGTTGGCATCTCCCCGACGCTGCGGACCTCCCACCCCCTTATTTATTCTTTCTTTTCATCTTCACAGCACCGAGCCTGGCGCTCAGCGCCGTGCCCTTTTTACGCTTAGAGCCGCGGCACCCCACTATCTCTCTACCACCACACTCCACCCGCAATGGACACTTCACCTGCGAACTTTGGGCATCGTCTATCGTGAATTGGCGCGGCGTGAGCGGTGTGCGTCTAGTCGCGCTTGCCGCCGGCAGTGAAGTTCATGCGCCGCGGACGGGCTTCGGCAGTGAAGCTCTGAGCGCCCGAGGCGCCGGCGAGGGGATAGGCGTGCACCGAGGGCGGCGCATTGGCCCAGCGCGGCGGCGGCGCTGGCGAGACGAAGCCGCGCTCCTGCGGCGCCGGGAACGAGCGCAGCAGCAGGCGGTGCGCATGGATCGTGAGCCAGAAGATGGGCAGCCGTGGCGGCAGCAGCGCAGACAGCTCGGCAGCGCCAGACATGCCGGCACCGCCGCCGGCGGACGTGGGCGTCATGGCGGCTGCGCTCGTCGAGGCAACGCGCGGCTGCGGCGAGGCGAGCATGGCCAGCACCGTGCACTGTGAGAGGACGCGTCAGCGTGGATTGAGCGCACACGCGCTGCTTGAGACTCGCGAATGGGAAGACTAGCATGAAGAGCATGATGTTCAGCAGCGGGCTTGGGTGGAAGAACGACACGAGCGTGGACGGCAAGCCGACTGCAGAGCACGTCAGTGGATGCCGCGGCGTGCACGAACGACCGTGCTGACTCACATGCCGTGAAGTATGCCCAGCGACTCTCGGCGTAGCGCATCCGCTACAAAAGGCTCGTTGTCAGAGATGCAGCCCAGCACACTGATGCTTGCGGCCACTCACACGCTCCAGCGACCAGCCCCGCGCGATCCACGCCTGCTCAAAGCAGTAGTAGCCGTCGATGAACGACTGAAAAAGGGCTCAGCGAGGCAGCTCCGCATCGTACGACAGCGTTGCTCACCATGAACATGAAGGCAAAGGGCCGTCCAACATAAGGGACCAGCAAGAGTAGCCACGCGATGAGCGAGTAGTTGAGCACGAGAAACACGCGGTAGCTTTCCTCCAGCAGGCGGCGCGATGTGCTGCGGTGGACAAGCATGTCAGATTCCAGCCGGATTGGATGGTAGTGCCCTTGCTCACCCGGCTGGCAGTGTCGGCGTCACAATGCTCATGCCGCGGAAGTGGCCCATCCCTTCGCGCCGCAGGGCGTACGTCGCCTGTGCGACATCGACGGTCCAGCTGGATGCGAGGAAGTAGCAGAGGCCGAGCAGCGGATAGAGGAAGAAGACCTGCACGGATGATCAGCCGCACGTCCTGCGATGCATCCGGGCTCGCTGCCTCACATGTCCGAAGCCAGTGGCATCCTCGCCCTTGGCGCGCTGGAAGAGATGCGAAGGGAAGAAGGCGAGCTCGAAGAAGAAGATAACGCCGACGAGAGCGGATGAGAGCAGCATGCCCTTGGCGATGCCGTTGCGAACGTCGGAGGACCTGTGCTGCAGCTTCAGCATGGATGCCTAGTGCGCTGAGGTCGCAAGGCTCGGCAGAGTCACGGCTCGACATCCGGCCAGCGGCCGCACTCAAAGATCCTCCTCCGTCGCGAAATTCCTCTGAAAGTTCTTCATCCGTCGCTTCATCCCCGAATGGCCCCTCTCTCGTCTCACCTGCGTGCGATGCGCCATGCCTCTGACCAGCGGTTCGCATCCGCTGCGCCGGACCGCGCCCAGCCGAGATGGGCGCGGGCGCTGTCGGCAACGCCGAGACGCGGCGCCAGCGACGGCGGCCCGGCGGCGCTCCAGGGCATGGCGGAGCTGCGCCAGCCGGCGTCGTAGTCCTCATCGAGGCGCCCGCCGCTGGCGCCCTCAACATCGAGGTCGATCGAGGCGCTGAGCGAGAGCTGCACGCGGTGGCCGCGTGTGGGCCGCATGCTGGCGGGCGTGACACGTGCGCCAGATGCGATGAGGCGAGCGTCGATGCGCTGTGCAGACGCAGTGGGCGGATGCGTGCGAGCTGTGGCTGTGGATGTGGATGAGGATGGATGGGTAGTGGACGTGGCTGGTCAGGGGGCGCGTCAGAAGACTTGGCCTCATCAAGCGCCCGTGCGGGATTAGTAGCGGTGCTACAGATTCAAAGCCGCGGCGGCGCTAAATTGTACTGCGCCGATAGCACGCCTCGGCGAGTCGCTTGAAGTCCGGTCGGCCGCACCTCGCTCTCCTTCTGCTCCACCATCTCCTCTGCCGCTCCTCGCCGCTCCGACGCTCTTCTTCGCCGCTTGACGCACGCGTGCGGCCCGACCATGCCCGCGCACCTGCTGCGGCGTCCGAGCCTGGTGCCGGCGGCGCACCGTCTCGGCGTCGCTGCTGCGGCAGCATGGCGCGCGGGCGGCGCCTTATCTCCGCCGCTGGCTCGCAGCTCGAGCTCGCAGCGCACCTGCGCGCCCAGCACCGCCGGCAGCACCTCGGCTGGCAGCGATACGAGCACCGCAGAGACGCTGCGTGCGCTGGCTCGCAGCCGCATCGCCGCCGCCGCGCCACACCCGCCGCTGGCGCCGCTGGAGGACCGCCATGCGCGGCAGCACACCTACCTGCGCATCTCGCTCACAGAGCGCTGCAACCTGCGCTGCACGTACTGCATGCCTGCCGAGGGCCTCGCAGACCTGACGCCCCGCGCCGAGCTCCTGACGCCGCACGAGCTGCAGCGGCTCGCCACGCTCTTCGTGCGGCAGGGCGTCGACAAGATCCGCCTGACGGGCGGAGAGCCGACGGTGCGGCGGGACATCGTCGACGTCGTGGCGCGCCTGGCGTCGCTGCGCTCCGAGGGTCTGCTGCAGCTCGGCATGACGTCGAACGGCATGCTGCTGCCGCGTCTGCTGCCCTCGCTCGCAGCAGCAGGCCTCACACACCTGAACATCTCGCTCGACACGCTCGATCCTCATCTCTTCGAGCTCATCACCCGCCGCTCGGGTGCCGGCGTCGCGCGCGTGCTGGCCGCTGCTGAGCAGAGCGTGAAGCTGGGCTTGACCACAAAGCTCAATGTCGTGGTCGTGCGCGGCGTCAATGACTCGAAAGACGTGCTGGACTTTGTGGAGTGGGCACGGCATCGCGACATCGTCGTGCGCTTCATCGAGTACATGCCCTTTGACGGCAACAAGTGGCGGCCGGAGAAGCTGGTGCCCTACCGCGTGCTGCTTGAGCGCATCGTCGAGCGCTTTGGGCCTCTCGAGAAGGTCGGCGACACGGCCAACGACACGAGCAAGCACTGGCGCGTGCCGGGCAGCCGCGGTACGATCGGCTTCATTACGAGGTGAGCTCTCCCGGGCGTCGGACGCCTTGACGCAGCACTGATACAAGCACTCGCAGCATGACCGACCACTTCTGCGGCACGTGCAATCGCCTGCGCATCACTGCTGATGGCAACCTGAAGGTGCTTAGAGCTGACATGTGCCCTAGTCCTGCTTCCGCTAACACCATGTGCTCAGGTGTGCCTCTTCGGCAACACCGAAGTGTCCCTGCGCGATGCGATGCGCACAGGACTGCCTCTGGAGCTGAGCGGCGTTGCGCAAACAGACGGCCCGGCCAGCGACGAGGACCTGCTGCACATCGTCAGCGCCGCCGTGAAGCGCAAGCACGCCAAGCATGCCGGTATGTCTGCGCCCGAGGATCTCGCGCGCTCGGCGAACCGCAGCATGATCCGCATTGGCGGCTGAGGCGGCGCGGCGTGTCGGAGGAGCTGCTTGCCTCTTCTGCAAGAATACGCCCTGATTCCGCGCTCGTGCCTCCTCTGCGCAGGTGAGCCACGGCCGGCGCCCCAAGTCGTCCGACATGCGGCTCGCAGCTCATCGCTCGTGGCGCCTTCAGGCACGCTCTCGCATCTGCGCAGAGCAACGAGTGGCACGCTGCGGCGCACAATGTGCCGCAGCAAAGTGCCGCTGCACCTTCTGCAGGGCGCCGCCGGCAGCACTGCCCTGCGCTTCTACTCGTCGCGCCAGGGCTGGGATCCCTGGGATCTAGATGGAGACGGTGGCCCGTGGGGCAGCCTTGACGCTCAGGCGGACGCGCCGGCGGATCAGCAGGCGGCTGCCCGGATGAGCAGCAGCCGCTCTGCACAGGCCTCTGCCTCGACGACGCCGCCACGTAGCGCACAGTCGTGGTCGTCATACATGGGCGACAGCGACGGCGAAGACTCGCCATGGGCCTCACTCGACGCGATCGCAGATGGCGCAGAACACCTCGCCGTGCCGTTTTCGCCCAGCCATTCGCCGGATCCTCCATCGACGCGGCCTCCTTCGAGTCCGCATTCGCCGCTGCAGTCCGAACCACGCGTGGTGCACAACACCGCATCTTCACCTTCTCGACCGCAAGACGCCTTTAGACAGCAAGCAGCGCGTCCACCTCCGTCCAGCGCCGCCCCAGCTGCACGTTTGACGCACGTCGATCCCGGTTCCGGAGAAGCATCCATGGTCGACGTCTCTGCGAAGGCCTCAACCTCACGATCAGCCACTGCATCTGCGCGCGTGTACATCCCAGCCTCGGTCGTGCCCCTCATTCGCGCGAGCTCCGACTCGTCGACAGTGGCTCCCGCTGCGCCCGAGGCATGGCGCAACAAAGGGCCGGTGCTGCACACGGCGCAGCTGGCTGGCATCATGGCTGCCAAGCGCACCGCCGACCTCATCCCGCTCTGCCATCCGCTGGCGCTATCACACGTGGAGGTGGTGCTTGAGGTCGTCGAGCCTGCCCTGTCTTCCTCGCAGCCCGACCTCTCCGGGCTGCCGGGCCAGAGCACCGACGGAGGCTTTGGCCTGGACGCGCTCGGCGCCGACGAGGCGTGGGACGAGCCGTCGTCCTCTCCGGAGGAGCGCGCATGGATCGCGAAGCAGCTGGCCGAGATCGACGGCGGCCATGAGACGGCGCCGAGCGCGAGTGCCGAGCCTCAAGAAGGCAGCGCGGGCGAGGCATACATCAGCGTGCGCTGCACGGCACGCACTAGCGGTCCGACGGGCGTCGAGATGGAGGCGCTGACGGGCGCCAGTGTCGCGTGCCTGACGCTGTGGGACATGCTCAAGAGCGTCGGCGGGCGCACGATGCGCATCGACGGCCTCTGCGTCACGGCAAAGTCGGGCGGCAAGAGCGGCGACTGGACGCGCAGCAGCGAATGAAGGGAATGACAGATTGCATGCTGCTGCGCCTCCTTGTGAGAGACGCGCATTGGGGGTGACGCGCCGAGACCATGTGTGAGGTGATGAAAGGTGCGCTACATGATGAGGAAACGAGCGAGAGGTATGGGGAACGATGACGCGAGCGGAAGCAGATGCAGAGAGAAGATGAGAGGGACAATGTGCCAGCTTCAGGCGCGCGTCCAGAGGATCGCGGCGATGAGCGCGATGAAGAGGACGGCCAGCGCCTCGGACGAGACGACGTTGGCGTTGAGGTCGCCCTGCTTCGCGGGGTCGAGGGCCGCGTCGGTGTCGAGGCCGAGGGCGCCGTTGCGAGCGGACTGCTTCGCCTGCTCCTCGAGCAGCGTCATGACGTGGCGCATGGCGGTCTCGGTGCGCGCCACGCTCGCCTCGAGGCGCGCCAGGCGCGCATCCGTGCCGCCAAGGTCGTCGCTCGACGAGCTGCGGCGGCGGCGAGGCAGCGGCGTGAAGTTGTCCTCGCCGCGCACCTTGGCGACAGGGCTCTGTGCGGCAGGAGCAGACGCAGCGCCATTCGCCGAAGAGGGCGGCGAGGCTGACACCGCGTTGGTGCCAGCGACGCGCTTGTGCGCACTGAGTACTGCTAGGAGGTGAGCCAAAGCAAGGTGCAGCTTGGCCTGAACGACGCGGGCCGCAGCTCGTTCGGCGGGCGCATCGAGCGGCGAGGCAGCGCCCGAGCCGTCACTGCCGCGCAGGCTCTCGTCGGAAGCCGATACGCGCGCCAGTTCGCGAGACGAGATGCTGAGCGTGCCGTTGCACAGCGTCAGGCCGCCATGCAGCGACGGGCTGGTGCCAAAGGCGAGATGGCACAGCACGCCGAGCAGAGCGCTGCGTCGAGGCTGTGAGCATAAGGCTGCAGGTAGCCGATCGCTGGCGCACTCACGGAACCTCGGACGGGGCACACGGCGCCTTGTCGAAGCCATTCTCAAGCTCGCTGCTGTCCCAGGGCGGGAGGACGCGCTTCTGGCTTGGGCTCTCGGCACCTCTGCGCGCCGCACCGACGTCCAGAGCGCCGATGAGTGCCTCGTGGTAGCGAACGCTCCAGCGCAGCAACGTCTGCGCGTTGCGCGCCTCGCCGTCGGGCAGAGCGGTAGCTGGGAACTGCTTGGCTGCTGACGGTCCCGCAGAGCTCGACGGCACGGCAGCTGCACCGCGTACCTCGGCACGCTGGGCTGCAGAGACGAGCGTGCGCACTTGCTGGCCGCGCGGCAGAGGCTCGACGACTGGAATGCTGGTGCGCAGCAGCGAGCCCGTCGAGTAGGAGCCGGGGTCCAGAAACGCTGCCGGGACGCGCCAGCTGTGAAGGGCACGGGTGTCAGCGTCGAGCCGCGAGCACGGAGAAGCGCAGTGCTGACTTGTGAACGAGCTGCAGGGCATGAGGGTCAGACAGAGGGACGTGTATGCGCGCATTCAGGTAAGACCACTCACTCCGGCATCGCCCTCGTCCAGAGACCAGATGTGGCGCGTTGACCAGCTCAGCAGGTTCGACAGCGGCTCAAGCACGTCGAGCTCAGTTGCGACGCGGCGGGCCACAGCAAGCGGGGCCTGAGACGGGCACGACGGGTCAGCTGCAATCGCGTCAGCGTGCAGTCAGCACTGTGTGCGTACCCAGATCTCATCGAAGGGCTCCAGGCCGGCGAGGCTTAGGTCATAGTCGAGGCGGTCGCGGCGCAGCTCGAAGCGCAGCAGGCCCTCAGCGGGCGTGATGCCGGCGGCGAGGAAGAGGGCGCCGAGCGAGACGAACGGCTCGCGGTGCTCGGGGTCGAGAATGCTGCGCGAGCGTGAGCATGTGCAGCTGCGACAGATGCGGCAGACCGATGACGCACCGCAGAATGTCATACCCGGCGATGGAGACGACGAGGCAGGGGCAGAGGGCGTGCGAGGGACGACGCGAGGGCAGGAGGATGAAGCGCAGCGGCAGCGGACGGCGCGCCGAGAGGTCGGACCAGGAGAAGATGGCACGGCGTGTCGCTGACGGCGACACGGGAGGCGAGAGGGTGCGCACAGCAGCGGCCGCTGCAGCGGCGACGGCCATGGCGGCGAGGCGGGCTGAGGAGGCGCACGTCGGCTGCTCCTCGCCGTGGCGCAGCACAGAGACGAGGCTTGCGGCTTGAGGCGGCGCGAGATGCACTGGTGGCTGCGTTTGATGAGCTGTGCTGCGTCGGTGCTGGTGGTCGGGACGAGAGTGACAGCTGTCAGCGGTCGGTGCGCTGGACGAGGCCAAGCAAGGCACAGGCCGTAGCTAGCGTGCTCCTTCCGCTGCTGCCCCGTGCGCAGCGGGGGCGCGCGTTCCTGACATGCGCCGCGTGCTCGGCGGCGCGTCCGCCCGCACCCGAGGGTCCAGCAGCCGTCCCTTCACGCCGCGCCACACCGCTCACGCTCGACTGATGCTGCGCGATATACAGCCCACAATCCAGCATCCAGCACACTGGCAGTGCTCAGCCAGTCTCGTCATCCTCTGCGCTGCAGCAATGCAGCTGTGCCCGGCAGCTGGCAGGAGGGGAGCGCGCCATCGGGCCACCGCGTGCAAGAGCAACACCTGGCGCGCGGCCCGAGGGTCCGGCCGAATCATCTCGGAGATGCCCCTCTCTCTCGTTCAAGGCACTCGACGGAGGCGAGGCGGTGTTGCTCCTGCTGCTCGCATCTGTGTCACTTTGTGGCGCTCACGGCCTCTTAACATAGCAGGGGCCTGGACGCCCAGTGGCAGGTGCAGGCGATGTATGCTCAAGGGCGCGCGGCGCAGGCGGCAGGCGCCTCGTCTCGCGCGGCGGGCCGCTGCGCTCATCGGCTGCGCTGGTCCGCGACGCCGCTGCTTGACGCCGCTTCTCCTCTCGTTCGGTGCCGCACCTAGAAGTAGCTACACTGCAGTGCTGAGCACCCGTCTGCGAGCCTCTCACTCCAGCGACTCCGCCGACGAGCAGGCAGCGGGTGTCATGCGTCCGTGAGCCACGTCGCTCAGCGTCCAAGGCCTGCGGGTCGCGTGACAGCCGTCACGCAGCGCAGCGCAGCGAGCTCGGCCTTGCAGGCAGGAGCAGGAGCCAGGCGCCGTCAACCCGAACGACGCGGCCGCGGCAGGTCGTTGCCAGAGTGCAGCATCTTGCTCGCTGCCGCTTGCGAGATCGGGCGCTGAAGCGAGCGGACGAGACGGCGGCGGCGGCGGCGGCCATGCGCGCCACATGCGCCGAAGGTCGCGAAGGCGCCTGTGGCAGCGGCGCATGTTCGGTGCAGAACGATGAGGCGCACGCTGCATGCTCTGCCGCAGCGTTCAGCCGTCAGCGAGGAGCAAGGTGAAGGAGGAAGGCTTCTTCTGGCTGAGCAGCACCTGCGCCTCACCTCCTCCTGACGGCGGGCGCAGATGGCATCCCCAGACCCCTCTGAGCTCATCTCGCCGCCGGCATTGCGCATTTCTGTTCATCAGGCGCCAAATGAGGGCTGCGAGAGGGTCAGATGGAGAGTCGGCGCGCGCAGGTCTCACGGCGCGCACACTGCTCGCGTGCCTGCCAGCTCCGCCCCTCTCGCGCGTCATCTGCTCTTGCTAGCGTAGGCGGTGCGCCTGCGGGTGCGGTGCGGTGCCGCGGGAAGCGTGCGGCCGCACTTTCTGCGTGGAAGGGCGCAAGCGGCGTTAGGCAGCAGGCACGCCGCGGCAGGCGTAAACACCGGGCGCGCGTGGGGCTGCGCACACACAGGCGGCGTGCCACAGCTGCGGCGGCGATCCCTCTCCACACGCGCCGCCCTCCTCCTCGCCTGACTTTTGTGCCGGCGGAGCAGCGCTCCTGAGGCGCCCTCGCTGCCTGGCCTCGCCCTCGTGACTGCCTCGCCGCTTCTCTCCAGACCACATCACCACCACCCGGGCATCGCTGCGCGACCACCTCGGACACCTCACGACGCTTCACATCTCTACTACAGGCCGCCTCTGCGTGCCGCCGGACCCCAGGGCACCTCCCGCTGCACCCGTGCCTGCCGCCCGGCGCTCCCGCGCACGCACGCCGCCGCCATGACCCTCACGACGCTCGGCATCGCCGCGCACGTCACGCCCACCGTCATCAAGACGTTCTTCCGCCACTTCTACACGCAGGCCAAAAAGGGCCCCGAGGACCGCCGCACCGAGGCGACCGACGAGTTCCTCTTCCACCAGGCCTTTGTCCTCGTCAAGCGCTTCATCGAGTTTGCCACGCACGACAGCGTCGAGTCGCTGCAGACGTTCACCAACACCTACGTGCCGCTGCCGCCGTGGGCCACGTCGGTGCCCGTGCTCATCCCGCTCTCGTCGTGCAACGAGGCGGCGAAGGTGCTCATCGACTACTTTGGCCCCGAGGACCTCAAGAACGTCGTCGGCGGCGAGCGCTGGTGGCAGATCCGCGGCCTCAGCGGCGTCGAGGGCGAGTGGATCGCGCAGACGGCCGAGTGGCGCGATGCTACGCGCATCGAAAAGTTCTTCCTCTTCTTCCAGCTCACCGCCATGGCGCTGTGGGCCACGCTGCTGGGCCGCAAGAGCGCAAAGAAGCCCAGCCCGCCCATCTCGCCCGAGACGGACGGCGAGGCGTCGGAGCTGGAGTCGACTGCGTCCTCGTCGGACGATGGGCACGGGAACGACGTGCCGCCGGAGGAGCTCGACCGGCTAGAGCGAGTCATGCTGTGAGTAGCCGGCGTGTACTGCAGGGCCCGACAGCTCTTCTGACAGTGCTGCAGCTACATCCACGGCGGCGGCTACTACTTTGGCTCGGTCAACACACATCGCTTCATGCTCATCCGCTTCGCCCGCAAGTTTGGCGGCCGCGTCTTTGCTGTCAACTACCGCAAGGCGCCCGGCTACCCGTGGCCCTGCCCGCTGCAGGACGCTCTCGCTGCATGTGCGTGGCAGCGCGTGCTTCTGTGTCTCTGCGCTGACACGCCCGTGCAGACCTCTACCTCACCCAGCCCCCGCCGGACGCGACGCACAAGGCTGTCGACCCGCGCAAGCTCGTCATTGCCGGCGACAGCGCGGGCGGCGGCCTTTCGCTTGCACTGCTCGCGACGCTGCGTGATATGAACCTGCCGATGCCAGCTGGTGCAGTGCTCATCTCGCCCTGGGTAAGTGGAGCGCGCACAAGCCATGTCTGTGCGCTTCTGCTGCTGATGCATCTTGCCCGCAGTGCGACATGACGCACAGCTTCGAGTCGATTCTGCAGAACACCGAGACCGACATCATGCCCAAATTTGGCCTCATCCACAAGCCGTCGACGCTCTGGCCGGTGCCCGCTGTGGCCTCGCTGGAGGAGGACGAGAGCTCGGCCGCGCAGAGCCGCGCAGACTCGCCGCAGCTGGGTGTGCCGTCTGGCGTGAACAAGCACAACGGCCGCTCGAGCGGCGGCGATGCTGCGAGCACTGGGAGGCGGAGCACCGCGTCGCGCCAGCCCAGCTCTGCTGCGCAAAGCCACCGCGAGGCGCACCAGAGCGGCGCTGGCGATGCTTCGGGCGTGCCCGCCGCGCCCAAGTCGCTGGCTGCCAAGCCGCTGCTCGTGCCAGTCAAGGGCGGCGAGGAGGGCGAGGTGGTGGAGCTGCGTGCGCAGATCCAGCTCTACGCCACCAACGAGCAGCTGTATCACCCGCTCTGCTCGCCCGTGCTGCAGGGCTCGCTCGGCGGTCTGCCGCCGCTGTACATCCTCTGCGGCGACAGCGAGGTGCTGCGCGACGAGGTCATCTACCTGGCACACCGCGCCGCCGAGCCGGCGCGCTATCCGCTCAGTGAGCAACTGCTGGCCGGCAACGCACGCGCCCGCGAAAACGCAGAGCGCTTCAACCACGTTCCGACGAAGGTGCACCTGCAGGTGTACGACGAGCAGTGCCATGGTGGGTAGCGCCCATCCTTTGCGCGCGCATACATGCTGACAGCCGCGCGCAGTCTTCACGCTCTTCGCATTCACGACCTCGGCGCTGTACGCATACCGCGGTGTGGCGTCCTTTGTCAAGCACGGTGAGCTGGCCTGAAGCGCGCTTGGGAAGGCTTTCACTAACTCGAGAGCAGTGACGGGCGCTGCGACGAGCACGATCGATGCTCCTACCTCCGCAACGAGCGCGCAGACCAACGGCGCCCCCAAGCAGAATGGCGCGGCAGCGAACGGCGATGGGCACCGCGCGTCCACGACGAGCGCCACGAACAGCCTGCAGCCCACGACCGACTCGCCGCTCACGATGGAGCCCAACGGCTTCTCGGACTCGCCCATGTCTAACTCACACGACTCGGCTGCGCCCAAGGATGCGCCGAAGTCGAACGGCCTCAGCGCCATGCGCGCCGTCGACGGCCCGCGGCACGGCCAGGAGCTGCGTGACAAGAAGCGCCTCAACGCTACGTCCGGCAGCTCCAACACGTACGACGGCAACCTGCCGGTGCGCCGGCCGTCGTCGCAGCTCATCCGCGAGCGCATCTGCATCCGCGGCAACGTGCGGCCACTCGAGCCCGAGGAGCTGCTGCAGGCGCTGCGCATGGCGCGCGACGAGATCGGCGTGATCAAGGAGGGGCCAGTGCGGCGCTACCTTGACGGGCAGAAGGCTTGGGACGACAAGTTCGGTGAGTGTCTCGCAATAGCGTGCGCGGACCTCAACTGACTCCTCTCACAGCCAAGGAGGCGAAGCGCGTCGAGAAGCGGCGAGCGCGCAACGAGGCCAAGGCTCACGAGATGCTGAAGCGGGCCGCCAAGATGGGCCTGCTCGAGCCCAAGTACCGGCCACGCCGCGAGTCGCACCCGACCGAGGCGACGTCACAGTGGACGGACCTGGCGCGCTTCGGCCCGCTCGACATCCTCAACGAGACGCCGCCGCCGAGCGCCATCGTCGGGCGGCGCGACACGGCCGACGCGCTGAGCCTGCTGCAAATGTCGCTGCGCATGCGCGAGCTCGAGAGCGGCGTGCAGAAGCAGCGCCGCTCGCGCCTCAACTTCCGCAGGGCGCCGCACCAGAGCGCCGCCGAGCGGCAGGTGCGCGACGACGACGCCTCTCATGTGAGTAGGCTGCGCTTCTCACGGCCTGCGCACTCGCTGACGTGCCCGCGGCCTGTCCACAGGGTCTCAATCTCTGGTCTCACCTGCTCGAGGGCTCCGCCGGCATCGGCTCGACAAAGCCCAGCGAAGGTGGCGCAGCCGGCTCGCGGGCATGATCGACCGTGCCGCCAGCCTAGACGTGCCTAGACGTGCTGTTCCGCCTCCTCATTGTGCCCTCCCCATTACGCCTCCTCATCGTGACCCCCTTGGATCCCACATACAGCTCGCGGATGCAAATATACCACCCATTGACACGAGCAGGGACAGCACAGAGGTAGACAGATCGAGCATTGCAGAGAGCGACAGGCGAGGCAAAGCATGAAGGGACAAGGCGAGGGGCGTAATGCGTGCGGCACGACAGATGACATGCGCAGATGTGCGGCGGCCAGCATGAAGGGCAAGGCTCGGGACGTGGCGAAGATGTGGATGCTAGCAAGAGACTGATGATGATGATGAAGAGAAGCGTATATGAGAGGGTGCCTAGGTCCAGTTGAGGACGTCGTCGAACTCCGAGTCGAGGCCGATGCCCAGACCCAGGCCGAGGTCGCCCGAGGCAGTGCGCAGCTTGGCCTGCTGCTGAGCGGCGTCGGACTGTGCAGCGGCCGGTGCATGGCCCTTGCCGAGCGGCACGTGCGCCCGATCGAGGCTGCCGGGCACGAGCTCGGTGGCCTGGTGGCCGCTGCGCCGCTTGGCAGACGTCGGCGTGCCGCGCAGCGAGACGTGCCGCGCGCCCGCGCCGAGCTGCTCGTCGAAGGTGGGTGTGCGCGGGAACGGGCTGCTGGACGGCGGCTCGTCGTCGCCGTATGTGCTGGTAGCCGGGCCGCCATGCACGCCACTGCTGCGGCGTGCACTGCGCCGCAGAGAGCCGAGATTCGTGCTGCTGGACGGGTTGCGCGAGCGCCGAGGCACAAGCTCGGGCGTGCTGGGGATGTCGGAGCTGTCGCGCGCCCGCGTGGCCGCACGCGTCGAGGACGTCGGCGAGCCGAGCGCCCAGTTGGGGTTGCTGTGGAAGCTCGACGCCGTGCCGGCCGTGTCGCCGGGCTGCGCCTCGACGCCGCCGGACGAGAAGACGAGCGAGGGCATGCCGACGCTGAAGCCGCCCGCATCGTTGCCGGCCGAGTCGTGCCCGAATGCTGCCGCAAGGAACGAGCTGCTCGGCGTGCCGAGGCCCCAGCCCGAGGCGCTGGTCTCGCGCATGCGGCTCGGCGTCTGCAGCGAGCCAGTGTGCGTGCGCTGGTGGCCCCACGGAGAGGCACCCGAGGGCAGGCGGGACGGCGTAGAGAACGGATCGTCGGGGTCGCGCATAGCAAAGCTGCTCTCCTCCTCCAGAAAGAGGCCGCCGTGCCCGCGTGCGTTGGACGTCTGCCGCGAAGCAGTGCCGGCGAGCGAGGCGTCCGAACGTCCTGAGCGCAGCGTGCGGCTGGGCGTGACGAAGGTCGAGCTCGGGAGGCGAGGGCTCGGCGTTCTTCGCTCGACACTGCCCTGCGGCTTGGCTGCGTGGGCGTCGAGGTTCCCGTGGCTCTGCCAGTCTGAGCGGCGCGAGAGCAGCACGGGCGTGGCGAAAGGGTCGTCGAGCGCCTGCGTAGGAATGCGAGTGCGGCGCGTCGGGCTGCCGGCCCGCGCTGGCGCCTGCGGCCTCGTCGCGCTCTTGCGCTCGAGTGGCGAGCCCGGCTCGTTCTGGTGCCGCCCAATGCGGCTGGCGCGGGCACGGGCCGTGGCAGCGGGCCTGGCCATGCTGCCGAGGTCCTGCGGGAGCGAGAGCGACGCAGACAGGCTCGGACCCAGATCGCCCAAGTTGCCCGAATGAGCGCTGCGCGCGACGTGCGGGCTGGGCGCCAGTGCGAGGCCGTCGAAGTAGCGTGCACTGCGCGCCTGCGCCGGGCTCTCGGTCGGGTGGGCAAAGACGGGCTGCTGATGCTGCGACTCTTGGCTGAGGCCGTACAGCTGCGAGTCGAAGGTGCCGTCGAAGGGCGTGACCGAGGCAGAGCTGAAGCCGTCCAGCGGCGTGAAGCCGACGGAGCCCGACGTGAAGCTGCCAGGCGTGAGGTCGGACAGGGCGCGTTCGCAGCAGCCGTCGCAGAACCACTCGTCGTCGAGCTCGGCCGTCGAGGTGATGCCAAGGCAGAAGATGTGGTACCAGCGGTTGCACACGTCGCACTGCACCATCGGGCTGAACTCCTCGTTGTGGCCGCACACGCAGCCAATGACGGACTGCAGGGGGATCTGCGCAATGCCGGCATTGCGCGCCGAGAGGTTGCGCGGCGTCACCAGCGGCACTGGCGCCGGCTCCGGCGCAGTCTGCTGTTGCACAGCGGCATCGAGGTCCGCCTTGGCTGCGGCGGCAGAGGCCAGCTTGCGCTCCAGGCGTCGCCGCGTCTTGGAGTCTGCGCGCGCCAGCTTGGCGGCGCCGGCAGCGCGGCGAGAGCGCTTGCGCGGGCTCACCTCGGGCATAAGGGCGCGCATGTCTGGCATCGAGTACGTGCGTGGGACGGCGTCTCGCCGTGCGCGGTCGCGCAGAGCCTTGGCGATCATGGGATGCTGGTGCTGGTGCCGCAGCGAAGCGTCAGCTGCGAGCGAGGTGCCAGCAGACAAGCCTGCCGGCGCTGCGTCCTCCTCGCTCGTGGCCAGCCAGCGGGCAATGCCGTCATGGCGCGCAGAGCGCTCCTTGACGACATGCTCGCCAGCTGCAGCCCAGGGGCCCTTGGGGTCGTCGGGCCAGTCGAGCGTCGGCAGACGAGCGTCGATGCCGGGGCCCAGACCGAGGCCCAGTCGTGGAGTGTGCTCAGAGGTCGTGAGACGTGATGAGGCGGGCGTCGTGCCGCTGCTTCGCAAGCCGAAGAGATCTGCGTGACCGTCGCGCAGAGCAGCACGCGGGACAGCACCGCTGACACGAGGCAGCTTCTTGGGCGAGGGGGAGGGCGAGCCGCTCTCGCTGGCTGGGAAGTGGCTGGCGAGGCTGAAGCTCGGGCTCGGACCGAGACCGCCTGCGCAGGGCGTGTCCAGGCTCGTGGCCGAGGTGCTCGCCGAGCTCTCCGTAGCGGAAGAGCCAGAGCCGCCCGAGAATGCGACGTCGTGAGAGCGCAGAAGCGCAGCGGTGTCGGCGTCGGACGAGCTGCGAATGCGCGCGGCGACGTTGGGGTGCACAATGAGGCGCCCGCGGCCGCCGACGTCGACGGCCACGAGACTCGAGCCCGACGAAGCGCCCTGCTCAGACTCGCCGACTGGCCGGAAGAGCGCCAGTGGTCCAAGTGGGCCAGTGCTGCGCAGCGCATCGGCAAGAAAGAACTCGCTGGGGTCGGGCGAAGGGCTGGCGGGCGGCGCGGGCGCCTTTTCAGCCTTGCGGCTGCTGCCCGGCAGGCCCGCCGACGCCCAGCCGCCGTCGTCGACGAGGCTGGGTGCAGAGGCGTCTGCGGCGTCGGCGCGGCGCTTGCGCGGCGTCACGGCGGCGTGGCGCTTCTCGAGGCGCGGGAAGGTGTGCGGCGCCGGGCGCACCGGCGAGTCCCAGAGGTCAACGCCGACACGGCGCCCGCGGCGCGGCGTGTGCAGCACCGAGGCCGCGACGGCGGCGGGCTCTGCGGCGACGTTGGCCATGCCCATCGGCGGCGGGTGGAGCGAGTGTGGGGCTGAGAGGTGCGCACGTCTGTCAGCGGACGGAGGGGTGGGAAGGGTAGGAGGGCGTAGTAGAGACCAAGCTAGCGCACGCGACAAGACAAAAGCAGGCGCGCAGCGGCGGCCGCGGCAACTTCGCGGATGCGGCAGCAAAGGGCGGGCACAGCGCTGCGGCGACGGCACTCCCCTCGAGCGCCGATCACAGGCAGGCCTCTTTGTTTGTGCTCGTCGCTCTTTGCTGTGAGCACAACAAGGAGGCCGATGTGACAGGTGCGAGGGCGCGAGGGCGTGCCTGTGCCGCATCAGGGTGCCGCCCGCGCGGCCGCAGACGCAGCCACCGCATCAGCGGCCGCGGCGGGGCAGGCAGGCGGCAGGCGAGCAGCCGCCTCGAGCTGCCGCGCCGCTCGCTCCTTCGCGCGCGGCAGAACGCAGCGCACCGCACGTCTGCCGCGGCACCGCACCCGTCCAGAGCACAGCTCCGCCATCCGAGATGCCCGAGCTGCTCGCAGCCTCGCTGCATGCTGACGCTGCGATCCTTGCAGCCTGACAGCAGCGCTCTGGCAGACTACTCACAGGTACTGAGGCAGGCGCTTGTGCGTGCGCGTGCTGGACCAGGGACGCGGCGCCGACAGGGGCACGGCCGGGGGCGAAGTGGTGCTCCTCTCTCTGCTGCCTCGTCACCGCGTCACAGGGGCAGCAGGCGTGAGACGAAGTGGCTGGAGGCCGGACAAGGCCGCGACGAGCTCGCACAAGAGGCGAGAGGGGCACAGCGCCTTGTGCTCGCGGGAGCTGCGAGCTGCGGCTCCGTGAGGCGGGCGTTGTTCGTGCTGCGCTTGGTGCTGGAGCGCGAAGGCAGACAGCAGGGAGACTGCCCGGCGGACAAGGCCGGCGTGTGCCGGTGCAGCAGAGCTCAAATGAGGCGCGCAGGAGCAGACTTGTGGATGCGAGGAGATGCAGAGGAGGCGTGGGCGCAGCGGTGTCGAGTCGTAGAAGCGAGTGAGGAGCGAATGAAGGGAGCACGAGGCGAGATGACGGGATCCGGGGCTGGGCGTGGAGGCGAAGCTGATGCGGGTTGCGACTTGTGGAGAGGAGGGCTGGTGGTGGTGGTAGGGTGTGTGACCGAGGATGAGAGGGTGGGACTGGAAGGGTAGGGCAAGGGCAGCGGCGCAGGTGGCTCAGGGCAGGGCCGGAGGGCAAACGGGCAAGCGGGCGCACACGCAGCAGCACACGGCTATCGAGATGCACCTGCAGCGCTCACGAGGGCAGCCTTCCGCCTCGAACAGCGCTCCCGCACGCTCGGGGCAAGTCTGACTCTGACTGGGCTCGCACACTGGACTGGTACACGCTGGGCTGCTGCCTGCCCCGGCGACGCAGCAAGAGGCCGCGGGCGATGGCAGCTTGCAGGGGCAGGGGCAGCTCGGCAGTGGGCTCGCTGTCGCAGGCGCGTGTGCGACTTCGCCGAGCTCTTGCTGGCGCACGCTTCGCTCGCTCGCCTCCCCTCCGCGCCGGCAGCTCTCCTGCGCCTGCCGCTGCCCGCACGGCCATGCCCTCGCCCTCCACGGCGCCGGCCCACGCCGAGCGCTCCTGCGCACCCTCGGCCTCCAGACGCCGCACACCTGCCGATCTCGGAGTGATGCATTCAGCACCTCAGCACAGGCTTCAGAGGACTGGGCAGCGCTGAAACGGCCGCCCGGGGAGCGGCGACGGCACCATCAAGCTGCGCATGACAGACAGGACGCGCGCGGGCAAAGCTCCATGCGCCCGCTCCGACGCCACGATGGCGTCCTTCTCGGCTGCGGCGAGCGCCGCGAGGCTCGAGCGGCAAGAGCGCTGCCCGTGTGAGCCGCAGCAGCAGCGCAGAGCAGAGCTTCCTGCCGTCTCAACCCTCCTCGGCGCCTTCGATCCATCTCCGCCCTCTGCGCTTGTCTGGCGGCCGTTGCTCCGCTCGCTCGGTCAGCAGCCGGGGGAAGGGACGACGCTGCGTGCGAAGCCGGGAGCGGCTGGAACCGCACCTGTGGGCCCTGCGTGCTTGCTTTCCTGGCAAGCATGCCTGGCAAGCTGCGGAGCGAGCGAGGTGGCAAGCGCGGCTGCCGAGCTGGCCGCGCTGTGTGCTGCGTGGCGCTGCTCGCTGCCGCTGCACGGTGCGGGAGAGGCGTCCCTCGGCGTCTGCGGCTGGCCCGCCGGCGGCATGTGCAGCGCACGGCATCAGCGCCGGCAGCAGCCGCAGCGTCCAGAGGCAGCGAGCGGCACCGCTGCCAGCAGCCTCGGCGGCTCCGTCTGCCCGTCCACGCTGCGGCATGCTGCGGCCTGCGAGCTGGCCTAAAAGCTCCGACCTCGCAGGCGTCAGCGAGCATAGGGGCAGCCGCAGCGTTCGGCACCGCCGCTCTGGACCCGCGATTCAACTTCTACGAGCGCCGCGCGACAGCGAGCGCGCGCCATCTGCCGCTGCAGCGCGGCAGTCAGAGCATGCGTGCAGCAGCCGCTGCAGGGCCATGCATGCAGACTTGATCAGCAGTGCAGCTCAGCGATGCACAGCGCTGCAGACGCACCTCTCGCCGTCACCTCGGCAGCGCAGCGTCAGCCTGCAGCGGTTTTGAGCGAGCCTTGCGTGCGCAAAAGAGCGGCGGCTCGGAGCAGGAGCTGCGGCAAACGCGGCGAGGCGGGGGGCGGAAGAGGGCACCTGCATGCTGAGCCGCAGCTGCACCAGCAAGCCCCTTGCATGGCACTTTACGCGTCGCGTGGGAGCCACATGCGCGACGCGAGGCGCCTCGCAGCAACGCAGCGACGCTGGCCCGCAGCGGCAGAGACGCCCCTTCGCACGCCGCCCATCGCGGCCTCCCCGGCGAGTTGGCCGCCCCTCGCGGTGGAACGTGCGTCAACCCCCGCAAGCGAGCGCCGCCACTGCTCCTGCTGCTCCCACGACGCCGGCATCGCGATCGAGCTGTGGAGGGTTGGAGCAGCGGGCGGGGATGCCTTTGAGGGGCAGAGCCGCACGTGATCTTATCTGGCTGTTCCCGCGCACTGAGGCTGCGCTCGGGCCGCACCGGATTTACCTTTCGCTCGCTCGACCGTGCTCCGTCTCCCACCTCATCATCCTCAAGCCGCAGCCATGCATCTCCTGCCGCGCGAGCGCGACAAGGTCTTCCTGCACCAGGTCGGCACGCTGGCGCAGAAGCGCCTGGCGCGCGGCCGCAAGCTCAACATCGCCGAGGCCACGGCGCTCATCGCGACGGTGCTGCAGGAGCGCATCCGCGACGGCGAGCACAGCGTCGCACAGCTGATGCAGCACGGCAAGACGCTCCTCGGCCGCGACCATGTGCTGCCGGGCGTGCCGGAGCTGCTGCGTGAGGCTGTCGTGGCATCCGTCTGCCTGCTTGCCCACTCACGCAGCTGCACGCAGACGAGGTCATGGTCGAGGGCACCTTCCACGACGGCTCCTTCCTGGGTGCGCTCGCAGCTCTCGAGGCGTCCGAGACTGTAGCTCACAGCTTGCCGTAGTGACTGTGCACGATCCCATCTGCACGCCGACCGGCTCACTGGCGGACGCGCTGTACGGCAGCTTCTTTCCGGCGCCCGACCAGAAGGTGTTCGCTCCGTACCAGCCGCCGACGTGGCTGCCCGGCGCCCTGCGCGTCAAGGAGAGCGGGCCCATCGTGCTCTGCCCATCACGCGCCCGCATCACGCTGCAGGTGACAAACACAGGCGACCGGCCCATCCAAGTCGGCTCGCACTACCCCTTCGCCGAGACGAACGGCGCGCTTCGCTTTGCGCGTCTCGCGGCGCTCGGCTACCGCCTGGACATCGCAGCGGGCACGGCCGTGCGCTTCGAGCCAGGCGACAGCAAGCCCGTGAATCTGGTCGCCATCGGCGGCGCCCGCGTGCTCGCTGGCGGCTCTGCGCTCTTCTCCGGCCCGATCGAGCAGCTCAACCTAGGTGACGCTGGGGCTCGTCAGGCTCTGCAGGCGCGCCTGTCGCAGGCCGGCTTCCTCGACGCAAGTCCCGACGAGTACGCGGCGCTCGCGGCTGCTGCTGCACCGCCCGCGCATCGTCTCAGTCGCGAGCAGTACGCCTCGCTGTACGGCCCTACCACGGGCGACCGGGTCCGCCTGGCCGACACTGAGCTGTGGATCGAGGTGGAGCGCGACCTGACGAGCTACGGAGACGAGTGCAAGTTCGGCGGAGGTCAGTCAGCGCGAAGGTCACCTTCCGCATCGCACTCACCGAGGCGTCTGCAGGCAAGGTGCTGCGCGACGGCATGGGTCAGGCCTCGGGCCGCTCGGACGCAGAGTGCCTGGACCTCGTCATCATCAACGCTCTGATCGTCGACTGGTCGGGCATCTACAAGGTACGTGTCCGCTCAGACATCAGCGGCATCATCGCTGACAGTAGCCTAGGCCGACATTGGCATCCGCGAAGGCTTCATCGTGGGCATTGGCAAGGCTGGCAACCCAGACATCATGGACGAGATCACCGAGGGCATGGTGGTCGGCAGCTGCACGGAAGGTGCGTCTGTTCGCGCAGCGGATCAGTTCATGGCTCACAGCCGCTGTGCCCAGTGATTGCTGGCGAGAAGCTCATCCTGACGGCGGGTGCGATTGATGCGCAGTGCGTCAGCTCGCTCGCGCCTGGTGGCCCCTATGCTGACGAGCGCCGCGCAGCGTGCACTTCATCTGCCCGGACATCTGCGAGGAGGTGAGCGTGCCGCTTCGTACACCAAGACCCGGCGCTGACCTGTACTCCTCACAGGCTCTGGCCACTGGCATCACCTCGGTCATCGGCGGCGGCACAGGCCCCTCTGCCGGCACTTCCGCCACGACGTGCACGCCGGGCAAGGACCAGCTGCGCGCCATGCTGCGTGCGACCGATGGCGTGCCGCTCAACTTCTGCTTCACGGGCAAAGGCAACGACAGCGGCGTGCCTGGCATCGTCGACCAGATCGAGGCGGGCTGCGCGGGCCTCAAGCTGCACGAGGACTGGGGCACGAGTCCTGCCGTCATCGACAAGTGAGCAGCAAGCGCAGGCTGCGAGATATCCTGCTGACGCTGCCTCGTTCTGCGCAGCGCGCTCTCCATCGCTGAGAAGTACGATGTGCAGATCAACATCCACACCGACACTGTCAGTCTCTTACGCGCTGCGGAATGCAACAGCCGCTGACCTAGCCTTGCAGCTGAACGAGTCGTCATTCGTGGAGGGCACCATTGCGGCGTTCAAGGGCCGCACGATTCACACGTATCGTGCGTACGCTCTATCGAGTCGCGAGAGCGCTGCTGATCACTTCTCCTATCAGACTCTGAGGGAGCTGGTGGCGGCCATGCGCCCGATATCATTCGGGTCTGCGGCGAGCCAAATGTGCTGCCGTCTAGCACCGTGCGTAGGACGCATCGTTGTATCTAGCTTGTCAGCTCACTCTGCTTCGCTAGAACCCAACGCGGCCCTATGCATCTAATACGCTCGACGAGCACCTGGACATGCTGATGGTCTGCCACCATCTCAGCAAAGACATCGCCGAGGACGTGGCCTTCGCAGACAGCCGCATTCGCGTGAGCAGCCCGAGATTTGTCGCTCCATCACGCTGCTGACACCCTTCCCAGGCCGAGACGGTGGCTGCGGAGGACGTGCTGCAGGACTCGGGCGCGATCAGCATCATCTCGTCCGACGCGCAGGCCATGGGCCGCGTCGGCGAGGTCGTGTCGCGCACCTGGCGCACTGCGGCCAAGATGCGCGAGCTGCGCGGGCCGCTGCCCGACGGCAAGGGCGGGCCCGATGCCGAGTTCCGCGACAACGAGCGGGTGAAGCGCTACGTCGCCAAGTACACGATCAACCCGGCCATCGTGCACGGCTTCTCGCACATCACCGGCTCGGTCGAGGTCGGCAAGCTGGCCGATCTCGTGCTGTATCGGCCCGAGTACTTCGGCACCAAGCCCGAGGTGGTCATCAAGGGCGGCCAGATCGCCTGGGCGCAGATGGGCGATGCCAACGCGTCCATCCCGACGGTGCAGCCCATCTACGGACGGCCCATGTACGGCGCCAAGGCGTCGGCTGCGCCGCACAACAGCTTCAACTTCGTCAGCCGCGCGTCGATCGAGCTGGGCAACATTGCCAGCTACGGCATCAGCAAGCGCGCCGCCGCCGTGCGCGGCTGCCGCACCGTGACGAAGCGCGACATGAAGCTCAACGACGCGCTGCCCGTGCTCACCGTCGATCCCGAGACGTACGACGTCACCGCCGACACGGGCAACGGGCCCGAGCTCTGCACCGTGCCGGCCGCCACGTCGCTGCCGATGACGCAGGCCAGCCACCTCTTCTAGCGCGTCCCTTCTCCCTCGTCACCGTAATGCAAGCGTCAAAGTCATGGGCCGAAGGGTGCCGTGTGATTGGATGCATGCTTGGTAAAGTAAAGTACAGATGAGGTGGGGTCTAGGGAATGAGGGCTGCGCCCTGCGCCGCCTAGCGGCGCATCGTGTTCTTGCTCGCCGAGCGGTTGGGGTCGCGGCGTCTGACGCGTCCGGAGCGCTGCTCCTCGCCGAGGCCTTCGGTGCCCACGCCTTCCTCGCGTCCGGCGCCGCGCGACAGGCCAGCGCCGAACTGCTCCTCGCCCTTGCGGCGCTTCTTCGCCGCATCGGGCCGCGCTTCGCGCTTCTCTGCCGAGGCGCGCGAGGGGTTCCACGTGAGCTCGCGGGCGCCCGCCTCGTCGCCGTCGGCGGCGTCGCGGCCGCGTCCAGCACTGGCGTTGGCACGCAGGCGCTCCTGGAAGGTGCGCGCCTTGCCGCTGGCGCCTCGCCCGGCGGAGACAGCAGGGCGCGCGTCGCCGTCGTCGTCGTCGTCGACCAGGCGGGCGCCGGCGCCAGTCTTGCGGTAGTCTCGCTGCGGGATGCCCGCCGCCTTCTCGAGGTCCTTGCGCCGCTGGCCCTGATGCTGACGAGGATCGAACTGTCCGAGGTCTGCAGAGATTGGTGAGCTTCGTGTCCCTGACGCAGAGACATCCGCCCGACTCACCTCCCTCGTCGGAACTGTCGCCGGAGCTGTCGGCGTCGCTCTCCTGATCCGGGTCGACGGACTCGCGGTCCGACGCATCGTCGAGCTCTTCGACGGCCGTCTTCTTGCCAGTCTGTAGGGATCGAGTCAGCACATCTGCAGCACTGCACGACTCAGACGCTCCACTCACGCCGCGCACAGCCGTGCTGGGGTTGAGCATGGCGAACTCGCGCGTCGTGTCGTCGATCTGGAACTCCGGGTTCGTGAAGAGGTCCTTGAATCGATCGTCGGCGAGGAGGTTGGCCGCCTCGGAGCTCTTGCTCTTCTTGCCGTCGCCACGCTCGGCCTCCTTCTGCGCAGCGAGCGCCTCTTCGGCCTCGGGATCCTTGCCGAGCTCCTTGGCCCGCTCGGCGCGCCGCTCGCGCTTCTTCTCCTCGCGGTCCGTCTCGCGGCGGACACGCTCGGCCAGCTCGCGGTTGACGCGCACGCCCTCGAGCTCCTTCTCGGCCCGCCGGATGCGCTGCAGGTCCTTTGGCGAAGCGCGGATGCGCGACTCGGCCGCCTTGTCGATGCGTGCCTGGATCGCGCGCTCGCGGGCGTCGGCGTAGGCAGTGGGGTTCGCAAGCAGGCGTGCCTTCTCGTAGAGGCGGAGAGACACAAAGTAGCCGTGCATGTACGGCCGCAGCAGGTCCGTGCCGATGAGGTGCGTCATTTGCAGGCTGTGGAGGTCAGAGTCAGCCGCTGCAGCAGGAAGGTCACCCAGCAGACGTACAGCTCGAGCTCGGCCTTGTCGATGAACTTGAAGTCCTCGTACACGCCCTTCTTGGAGCCCGTCTGCTCGTCGTCGATCTCATCGGTGAGCGTGTCGAGGAAGGAGCACCATGCCGGAGCTGGGCCCAGCGCCGGCACGTACCACGCGCCGCAGCGTGTGCCTTCGACAGTCGAGACGATGAGGCCGGAGCCCGGGATGTGGTGCACGCAGTTGAGATCGCCAAGGCTCGGGCCGGGCGTGATGCTGACGATGTTCTCCTCGGGCTGCTCCTTGCTCCACACCTTGATGACCTTTGAGTCGGCCGAGAGCACCGCATCGTGCGCCTCGGTGCGTGCGCTCCGCGACGTGGCGGCGCCGCGGTCGCCGGGCCACGAGAGCGACTTGATCGGCAGGCCGAAGCCCTGGTCCTTTTCTGCGTACGGCTTGGACATGCGCAGGTCGTAGAGCAGCACGTGGCCGGTGCTGGTGCCGACAGCGAGGTTCAGGCCATCCTCGGCGCTGCTCAGTGCCGACACGCTGAGGCCCTCGAGCGCCGCGCCGAGAGCGGCTTCGTCTTCTTGCCCCGTCAGCACGCCCGGCAGTCGCCGCTTGGCAGACTGCAGCGAGGCGTTGAGGACGCTCGGCACCGTGATGCCCAGACTCCCGGCGCGTGACCGCAGACGCGGATCCCACAGCTCGACGACACCCGTGCCCTCGGTGCCGAGGCTGATGAGGCCGTGCGCCGGGTTGACGTCAACAGCATTGCAGCCCGTGACCACGCCGGAGCTGCTGCCCTCGCCCAGGACGAACGGCTCCATGAAGCGCCCCTGGTCCAGGTTGAGCCTGTAGACCTCGCGCCCACGGGCGCCCACGAGCGCCGTCGCTGTGGGAAAGTGGTAGCCAAGCGCTCGACCAAACTTGGGGATGCGCAGGCGCGTGTGGTGGCCGCCTTGTGCGTGCAGCTCGAGCGTCCGGTCTGTCTGCAGATGCAGTGACTTGGTCCAGTCGTCTGACAAGAGCTGCAAGGGACGTGTCAGCACTAATGCAGCAACGTCCGTCACGTCCCACGCCAGCAGCATCGAGTCTCAGTTCCGTTTCGTCAGCATCGCCCGGAGGCTACGCTAATGTAGATAAGTTGTGATTGTATGATCATCTCTGACTCTCTCTCTCTGTCTCTGCTGTTGCCGCGCCTAGTCTCGCGCCACCGGGGCCCGCGCCGCACTCACGATAAAGTCGATGTTCTCGGCGTCGGTGTGCCGCTCAAACTTGAGGCTGAGCTGCTCGCACTCCCAGACGCGCATCTGCGGCTTGTACATGCCCGTGGCGACGATGTGCTGGCCGTCGCGTGTGCTGCGGATCACGTTGCTCGCCTCGGGAAACTCAAAGTCCTGGATGAGCTCGATGCGGCTGAGCTGCTCGTCGCGCGAGAGGGCGGCCTTGCGCTTCTTGCGCTTGTTGCTCGAGCCGTGCCGCTTGAGCAGGTCGGGCAGCGACGTGCCCGACGCCGTCGTCGTCGAGCCGCTGCCGCCGCCGCCGCCGGACACGACGTACACGCGCGAGGAGCTCGCTGTTGCCATGGCGGCAGGGGTGGGTGAGGGAGCAGAGCGAAGCCGGGCGCGAAGGAGCGCCGGTGGCTCGAGCTGGGCTGCCAGCCAGACTTTTTGCCGCATGCCGCGCACGTGACCTCGGGCGGCGCGCGCCGACTCCCGGCCCTCGCCGCACCGCCCAGCAGGCGCCCAGCACCTGGCGCCCCTCTCGGCCGCCTGCACGCTCATGACAGCTGACAGAGCGATGAGGCAAGCAGCAGCTCGAAGTCTTCACTGCCATGTACACATCTGGCGGTCACGGCGAGGAAATGCTCTGCTTTGGAATGCGCCGCGCCAGTTCGCTCGCGGTTGGCTGGGCGCCGCGCCGCATGCCGCGCCGCGCGGTGGTGTCGTCGCTGTGGGCGCGGCGGGGCGTGAGCGCGGCGGCGCGCGGCAAGGCGAGACGAAGCCTTGTTGGCGCTTGCTGTCCGACCACGAACCCTCTCCCACACGTCGCCCACCATGGCTCTCGCTCAGACTGTCTACCAGACCGTGTTCAAGCGCAACTCCGTCTTGTGCGTCGCCGTGCCGCCGATGCGCTCGGCGCTGCTCTGCTTTGGCTGGGCCCCTGCTGACCCGTTCATACCCACTTCTGCACCCCCTTTGCTTGCGCTTCGCTCCCTGCTGCGCGCACGTCTGCAGCGTCGGCACCGTCTTCTTCGGCGCCTTCGCATTCGGCATCGGCTTCGACACCGTGTCGCAGAAGCTGTGGGACTCGCACAACCGCGGCGTGAGTGCAGCTTGCTGGCGGCAGGGCTTGGGCCTCGACGTGCTGGACAAGGAGCGGCAGCCGTACGGTGCTGGCCGGGGAGAGCGGCCCCACATCACGGTCCCTAGTAGCCGATAGGAGGCCGCGCATGGGAGCTTGCGCCTGTGCACTGCTGTTCAGCGAAAGAGGCCCAGGTCGGCGAGAGGACGCTGCTTGGGCACAGCAGCAAGGCGCACGCGCAGAGACTCGACAGGTCGGAGATGCCTGCGCTGCCAGCTGGGATCCGGACATCAGTGCGCTGGAAACGCCGCTTGCCGTGCACCTCGTCGGCTGCTCGGCAACCCTGGTCCAGAACCTGCAGGCTAGGCCCGGCCCGGCTGGTCGCCTTGCTAGATCTTCCGCGCCGAGCGCACTGCACAGCCTTGCGCCATGACTCGCGGGAGGGAGCAATGCCTCTCAGCCGCGCACAGCAGCGCTCGTATGGCTACTCAGCTGTGCTTGCCCCTCGCTGTCCGCAAGAGACAGTGCGCGTGCAGCTACGCTGGCCGGCGTCTCTGTGCGCAGGCTGGTGTGTGTCGTGAGAGAGTGTCTTCACGGTCGGTGTCTCCTGCAGCTCTCGACAACGGCGCTGTCTTGCCCGACCTCCACGTTTACGAGACAGCCTGCTGACCATGCCTCCCGGCGAGCAGAAGCAATGGAAGGACATCCGGTGAGGCCTTGCCGTCGCTTCTCGACTTCTATCCCGCATGCTAACTGCCGCCGCCTCTCGCAGTGACAAGATCACCAGCAACTAAGCGTGTTGCCGAAGCGAAGTGTGTCGGCTTGCGGGATGCTGCTAGAGGCCAAGCCTGTGCTGTCGCTGCCGAGTCGATGCAATTGAGCTCTTTTTGCGAAGGAAAGTCGACGCCGGTGTTGCGAGCGTTTGACGGCAGCGGTGCTGGTCGCAGTGCTCGCAGTCGGCTTGCGCATGAGGGGCTCGTGCTGTTGTGGCTGACTCGACAGCATGGCGGAGTGACCGAGTCTGAGCAGATCTGGCACCTGCAGGGGTACAGGTGCCTCGAGCCATAGGGGCTCTCACCCAGCGAGCGTCGGAGCTCGCAGGGCCACCGCAGGACTGCGGACCACCTTTCAAATGCGCCTCTGAGGTCTCACCGTGCCCAAGACCTGAGAGGCGAGAGCCATTGAGGGGTGAGCAAGGCTGATCATCGTCGAGCTCGCGCAACCGGGCAGCATGCAAGGCAAACAGCCTCGGGTGCGATGCTCTCCAGCCGCGCGTCGTCCGTGCCAGGCCATACGGCGCATCAGCGTTCAAAGCCTGGGACCAGATGTGGATTGAAGTCGCTCGACACGTGCGAGGTGAAGAGGCACTGATTTTGATGCCAAACGCTCGCCAGCAAGAGGCGAGCATGGCGCTCAGGCGGCTGGGATGGCCGCGAGGCGGCGAGCGTGCTGCATGCGTCTCGGACGCCGCGGCAGCTCACAGGGCGGCGTGGCGCGCCCCGGCAGCGGCGAGCCGGCGGGCCGCCTCCACGTTCGAGCTGCCTTGCGGCGGCCGCTGAACGTGCGCGCGCGTGGCCTCATCAGGCGCCAGCTGCTGTGCTCCTTCCCGTCCCACCACCACACTCGGACCTTCAACACCGCCAGTGCTCCGCATGTCCCTCTCGCCGCCCGCAAAGACGGCCGCCGCCGCGCTCTACCTTGGCGGGCTGGCCGCGTGCCGCTACGGCTTCGCTGCGCTGCCGCAGCTGAACGGGCTCAACGGCCGCGACGTCGAGGCTGAGTTCGCAGGTGAGTGGCGCACACATGCCTGAGAAGGGAGCGGTCTGCAGTCGTCTCGCTTGGTCGTCGCGACGCTGTGCGAGCCCGAAGCTGTTTGCACGCCGTGGGGGGCCGCAGCCAGACATGTGCTCAGAGCTGGCGAGCCTGGCAGCCTGCTGTGCGACAGGTGCCGAATCCGCAGACTGACGACCCTGCAGGGCACTACCAGTTCCTCACGATCGTGTCGCTCTGGGCTACGCAGGCCACGATGGTCCTCTCGCTTGCAGCGCTCGTCGTGCCGGCGCTGGCGCTGCCCAAGACGTTCCTGTCCGTCTCGGTGCTGCCCGTCGAGGTGCTCGTCTCGCTCCTCTACTGGTCGCTGCACTTCATCAACCCGGATCTGCTCGTGCCGCCAAAGATGGTGCCGGACCCCAACAGCCCGGGGCAGATGATCGCCCAGCGCGTCCACCTGCCGCTGGACATCGACATGAGCATGCACCTCGCTCCCGCAGTCATTCTGCTGGCGGTGCGTCGCATGCGTTCTGCGGCGCACAAGGCTCGGCTGACGCTCTCTCTGCCTGCAGGACTTTCTCGTCTTCTCGCCGCCGTTTCCCAAGCGCCTGCGGCCCGCGCTGATCTGCGGCGCTGCGACGCTGGGCTACTGTCTCTGGGCCGAGTACTGCAACTCGATCAACGGGTGCGTGGCCTCTTTGGCAGTGTCCCCGCATGCTCCTCACACCGCTCCGCAGCCGCTTCGCGTACCCCTTGCTCGACATCCTGCCGCCGCCAGCACGTGGCGCTCTGTACCTCGGCTGCGCGGCCACGATGATGGGCGTGCTGGCCGTCGCCCGTGCCGCGCACGCAAGCGTGGACAAGCAGCTTGGCCGCGTCTGGACCGAGCAGCCGGCAGACGAGACAGCCAAGCGCCTGAAGCAGAAGGCCAAGAAGAAGCTGTGAGACAAACGGACGGACACCGGACTCAGTCTACTGCTACCTGCATGCATGCTGCAATGCCTATCTGTATACATGCACGCTGCTGCCTTCCGCGGACCCCAACGTCCGCACCTCGGTCCGCTCTGCGCCGCTGACGGCCCCGTCTACGCACACCAAGGACCTGGTGTCGGCGCTAGCATGCTGCGTGCGATGTGCGTCAGCGCCGTGCTGGCGATGGCTGCACTGCGGACTCACGGCAACCCAGTCGTAGCCCTGCGCCCGGTAGTACTCGAACACGAGGGGGCCAGCGCCATCACTGCCGATCCGCCCGGGCTCCTCGCCGCCAGACTCGGCGTACCGCATGTCGACATGCGCGCCCTTCTCGTACATCTTGCCCGTCAGCGGCCAAAGTACCTCCTGAGCGAATGCCGCGCGCACGTCCTCAGCGGCGGTGCCGTGCCACGCGCGTCCCGCGAGCTTGCGCTGCACGCACGGGCTGCGAAGAGGGCGGATGAGTAGCACGTCGAGATCGCCAGGTGGGCGGGCCAGAGGACTCGGCGGTTCGGCGCCGACGAGAGAGCCAAAGGGCGCAGGCACGAAGGTGGGCTCGAGACGGTCGGTGCTCATCGCGGTGAGGTAGATGACTGGGCCATCGAGCGTACTGTCCTCGCCAGAGAGAGCTTTGAAGGCCTGCGTGGCCGGGTCGTACACTCGGGCATTGCCGTGTAGCGTGAGCGTGCCGGCATGCCAGACGGTGCTGTTCTGCCGCGCCGCAATCTTGAAGCGCTCCACGCCGGGGTGCGAGGCTCGCAGTGCTTCAGCATCGTGCAGGATGGCTGCGTGAAGCGCGTGGGACACGACGAGATGTGCCAGCGCTGTCTTCTGTGCATCGCCGTGGGAGGGGCGGACGCGAGAGAGAGTCAGCGGCACCAGCTGGCCGCTCTGTGAGAGGAGCGCGTCGAGCGAGTGCAGCCGCCATGCGTCATCTTCGGAGTTCTCAGCGACAGCCGCAGCAGCTGCTGCCTCTGGATACAGGCCTGCGTAGAGGGCATTCGCCGTGCCCGTCGGGATCAGGGCGAGGCGCACGGCCAGTCCGCGGCCTTCGGCGTCGTAGAGGCCATTGAGCACCTCGCCCGTGGTGCCGTCGCCGCCGAGCAGCACGGCGACGAGTCCTGCGTCGTCCGAGGAGCTGCTGCTGCCGGCCTGCTGCCCGGTGCTGCGCAGCTCACGCCCGATCCTGGCGCCGTCGCCGGCGGACTGCGTGCTGTGTCGCTGCACGGCGATGCCGGCGCTGCGCAGGCGTGCGAGCACGACGGCCTCGAGGCGCTTGCTGACGCCCGGCGCACCGGCTGCGGCGTTGACGATGAGATGCACTTGCTGCGGACAACTGCTCATGCTGCTGTGAGGTTGTGGTGGGAGAGCAAGTGATGGGCGTGTCGCGGCGCACGACGCACGTCCGGCGCGAGCTCGCACGCCATCGCAGCGCCGGCCGCACGCCTCCACACCGCCGGGCGAGAGATGCACGCACAGCTTTCGAAAGCATGGCGTCTCGAGTTGACAGGGTCCGCTGTCTGAATGAATGCAACTCTGACGGCAAGCTGACTTGATGAAGCTGCTTCTCGCGCCAAGAGGCACAGACGGTGCGGTGCGGTGCAGCGGCAGCGGCGGCAGGCGCAGCGTCTGCCCAAGATGCGGCGGGTGCTGCGGCCGGGAGCCCGCGGGTCCTTCCCCGCATTCGCGTCCGGCAGCCGGCCCGCGGTGAGGCCGTGCTCCTCGTTCGACAGCACGCAGTGCCCCTTCGCTCCGCACCACATCCACCGCCTCAACGATGCTGCTGCGTCCTCTCGCCGCTCTTGCGCGCACCGCACCGCGCTGCGCGCGTCGCTACTCCACCGACCGGCCGCTCGTGACGCTTACCCGTCTGTCCGACTCGCCGCTCGCCGCCGCATCGCGCCAGGCAGTCTCGCCGGCGCCGGGCGCGCCCGACGCCCGTGCCGCCGCCTACGAGCCCGAGCTCGACGGCGGCATCTCGCTGCTCACGCTCGACCGCGCGCCGGCACGCAATGCGATCAGCATGCAGCTGCTGGCCGAGCTGGAGGAGTGTGTTGAGGCGGCTCGCGGCGATGGGTGAGTGACCCAGCTGCGCTCCAGCAGTGCCTGACGAGCAGCTTCGCTGACATGCAAAGGGCAGCACTCGCGTCCTCGTCATCCGCTCGCTCGTGCCCTCGACTTTCTGCGCCGGTGCAGACCTGCGCGAGCGCAAGGGCATGACGCCCGCCCAGGTCGACACATTCCTCCTCGCGCTGCGGCGCACGCTCAGCAGCATTGAGCGTCTGCCTTTCCCGTGCCTTGCCGCACTGGACGGTACGGCGCTCGGCGGCGGCCTCGAGCTGGCTCTTTGTGCGGACGTGCGCATCGCCGGCCCCGGTGCGCGCCTGGGCTTGACAGAGACAAGGCTGGGCATCATCCCGGGGTGAGTGTCGTGCCTGCATGCTGCACTTGCGGCGCTTGCTGACGGCCCTGACAGTGCTGGTGGCACCCACCGTCTCACTCGTCTCGTGGGTCCAGCACGCGCCAAGGACCTCATCTTCTCCGCACGCATCCTCGATGGCCAGACGGCGCATGCGCTCGGCGTCGTGGAGCACTACGCGCCGGCCTACAACGGCGGCGAGGGCGGCGACGAGGCGCTGATGGCGGCTGTTGCGTCTGCGCGGCAGATGGCGGGCAACGGTGCGCGCTGCGTTGAGCCATCGGACCTCCTATGCTGACTGCCTCTCTCCTTCCGCAGGGCCGCTGGCGCTCAAGGCTGCCAAGCTGGCCATCGACCGAGGCGAGGGCATGGACACGTGCGTCATGTGCCTTCCCTTTTGTGGCCAGCATCGGCTGACCTCTGACTTCTGCAGCGAGACGGCGCTGGACTGGGAGCGCGCTTGCTACGACCGCCTCATGGGCACGCAGGACCGCCTCGAGGGCCTGCGCGCCTTTGCAGAGAAGCGGCGGCCACGCTACACGGGCGAGTAGGTGCAGCTGCTTGCTTGCAATTGAAGCATGCGCAGTGCAGTCGAAATGTCTAGCAAGCTGCTGGCATACAGCAGTGTATCTTGCTGGCGGCGCCATTGTAAGGTGCGCTTGTCATGCGTTGGTGTCGCTTGGGCAGCGTCTCCAGGCATCCGCCGGCAGTGGCTTTTGAAGCTGGTCTGAAGCGCGATTCTTCTCAGAGACTGGAGTTGATGATGGGGCTGTGCATGGCTCGACGAGACAAGCCCCCCGCTGAGGCTTCTGATGATCTCGACTGGCGCACAGGGGGTCAGGCGTCCGGAGCGCGGGGTACCCGCATCGTGGATCGCGCCGACGCGGCGGCGGCGCGCGCGGCGCGGCCGTGCACAGCCTCTCGCGCGCGGCGGGCCCTGGCGGTGCTTCCTTCCTTCTCCACACCGCGCTGCTCTCGCTCCGCTCCGCCCCCCCATAGTCCTCTCGTCCAGCGGCAGCATCACCTACTCACTCTACAGCACATCTCGAGCGAGCCTCGAGCTCTCGTCGCACTCCGCGAGCAGACACGACGGGCTGCGGCTAGTCCACTCGTTTGCCAGGCCAACGCGTCGTCCTTCCCCGCGGTCGTGTGACGCGTCACCCGGCGTAGACGCGCCGCTCCGGCTCCGAGCCCGTGCCTTCAACGCTTCATCTGCAAGCACACAGCCACGAACGTCTGTCTTCCGACCTCTATCTCTGCATGCCAGCCGTCAAGCCGCGGGTCATCTTCCTTTGAGCGTCTCGACGCTCCTCTCGAGGAGGCACGATGCTGGTGTACGCTCGCGATGCGCCGCGCGCCCTCGTGCTCGTCGCCGCCTCGTTCGAGCCGTCATCAGCAGCATCGAGTGCAGCGGGCGGCACGGCCCTGGTCATTTCGACGGCGCTCGATGGCCGCAGTACGGGTACTGGCGCTGCACGCGCCGTCATCGAGATGCTGCCTGCCAATCGCGTGGACTTGGCGGCGTGCTCGCGGCTGAGCATGAAGCCGGCGATGGGATGTCTAGGACTGATGAATGTCGGAGCAGGTGAGTCTTCGGTGTGGGGCGCATAGAGAGTATGCAGGCATGCCATAGGAGCAGGGCAAATCGCTGTACCAGACACGTCTCATCGGACTGCGACTGACTGCCGCACCGGCCAGACCTCTTCCTGGCGGTAGTGTCGACCAGCGTCTCCGTCGGCAACATCCGGCCCTCAGAGAACGTGCAGCGCATCACTTCGGTCGACTTCTACTGCGTCAATCGCTCTGCCTTCGACGAGACCTTGACTGGTGATCTGCTCGGCGATGCGCCCGGGCCGCTCGACCCACAAGGCTACGCTGCACCACTGGGCGGCGAGCCTGTGGGGTCGCAGATGCAGCAGCAGGCAGAGCACCCGTGTGCCTCGCTTCGCAAGCTGCTGGCCACCGGCACGTTCTACTATCCCGCCCGCGCCTCCTTTGACCTCTCGAGCCGCCTTGATCGGCGATACGTGCGCGGCCCGGCGAAGGCAGTCACAGCCGCCAGCTCACATCGGCGCGAAGAGGTGCAGCATGACATCTCGAGCTACGACGGCCGCTTCGTGTGGAACAGCTACATGATTGAGCCGATGATGGACTTTCGCAGCAGACTGGAGACGGAGGAGCGCCGCAAGCTGGACAGAGAGTGCTTCCTGGTGCGTAACGTGAGCTTTGTGCACGACTGCGCCGGCGCTAACGAGCCACCTCTCAGCTGCTCGTTATTCAAGGCTTCGTTGCTACGTTTGAGTGGCCGTCCGCTGGCCTCGCCACCGGCGCACATCCTTCGCGCGCGGGCACGACGCTGGCACTCGTCAGCCGACTGAGCTGGAAGCGAGCCGGCACGCGCTTCAACACGCGCGGCATCGATGACGATGGCAACGTCGCCAACTTTGTCGAGTCCGAGACGCTCGTGACGCACGAGTCGGTCAGCGTCAGCCACACGCAGGTCCGTGGCAGCGTGCCGCGTGAGTGATGTGCTTCCCGCCCAGCACGACATGCGCTGACAACCTCTGCAGTCTTTTGGGAGCAGCAGGGTCTGCAGGCGTTCAATGCGCGCATCCAGATCTCACGCCCCCGGATAGCGTCGCAGCCTGCGTTCGACCGACACTTTGCCGAGCTGATCTCGCAGTACCGGGCCGTGCACTGCATCAACCTGCTCGGCACGCGCGATGCCGAGATGATCCTCTCTGCCGCGTACGCCGAGCACGTGCGCAACTCCAGTGCCGAGCTGCTGCTCGACTCGCAGAAGCCTGCAGTGCACGGACTCGCCACGCAGCCAGACGTGGGCGATACGGACGAGCCGCTCGACTACGACAAGCTCGGCCTGACCAACTTCGACTTTCACCAGACCAGCAAGCTGCAGGGCGGCCTGGACGGCGTGCGCAATGAGCTCAAGTATCTCGGGCCCGTGCAGCTCAAGAAGAAGGCGTTCCTCTACACTGTCGTCGTCGACGGCGGCGAGAACGAGGGCGTGTACCGCCGGCAGGGCGGCGTGTTCAGGACAAACTGCCTAGACTGGTGAGTCTGCGCGTCTGGCCCCTCATGAGCCTTGCTAAGCCTCCTGCGCGCAGCTTGGATCGCACCAACGTCGTCGAAGACATGATCTCGCAGGCTGCACTCGAGTCCTTCTTTGACAGCGCCGCCAAGCACAACGAGACCTTTGAGCCGTTCCGCAGCCCTGCGCATGCGGTGTGGGCGCATCACCGCGTCATGTGGGCAGAGAACGGTGATGGTGAGTTCTCAGGGTCTGCTACATGAACGTCCGCTGACGAAGATGCCAGCCCTGAGCAAGATCTACGCTGGCACTGGCGCACTCAACACCAGCGTGAGTGGCGTGGCTGCGCAGCCTGTCGCGTTGACACTGACTGCTGCCCTCGGCAGTACACGCGCGCCGGGAGCGGCAAGAAGACCATCGGCGGCTTCCTCAGCGACGCAGCGAAGAGCGCCGGACGCATGTACATCAACAACTTCCAGGACAAGAGCAAGCAGAACGTCATCGACGCGCTGCTCGGCAACATGGCCAACCAGCGGCCCGTCAGCGTGTATGATCCGCTGCACGACTCCGTCGCCGCCGAGCTGGTGGAGCGGCTCGACGAGTACTCAACGACGCGCGAGCTGTCCATCCACGTAGGCACCTGGAATCTCGCTGGACGGGGGCCCATGGGCGAGTCGCTCCTGCCCTGGCTCTTCCCGCACGGCTCGTCTGTGGAGCCCGACGTCTTCGCGCTGGGCTTTCAAGAGGTAGTGCCGCTGACGCCGCAGCAGATCCTCATGACGGATCCGGACAAGATCCGTGTCTGGGAGGGCATCATCGTCAACACGCTGTCGCAGCGGCCCGACAAGAAGTCCGACTACGTCTTGCTGCGCAGCGAACAGCTCGTCGGCACGGCGCTGCTTGTGCTTGTCAAGGAGTCGCTGATCGGCAGCGTGCGGCAGGTGGAGGGCGCGTCGAAGAAGACGGGCTTGAAAGGCATGAGCGGCAACAAGGGCGGCGTGGCCATCCGCCTCAGCTTCTTCGACACGACCGTCTGCTTCGTCACGGCGCACTTTGCCGCCGGCACCTCGAACGTCGACGAGCGCAACGCCGACTACTGGACCATCTCGCGGGGACTGGCGTTCCAGCGCGGGCGCACCGTCACGAGCCACGACCACGTCGTCTGGCTGGGCGACTTCAACTACCGCATCGACTTGCCGAACGAGGCTGTGCGTCCGCTGTGCGCCGCCGGCGACGTGGCACAGCTGTACGCGCGCGACCAGCTCGCCCGAGCGCGGGCCGCAAACGCCGTGTTTACGGGCTACGAGGAGGGCGCGGTGAGCTTCCTGCCGACGTACAAGTACGACCTCAACTCGGCGCTCTACGACTCGTCGGAGAAGATGCGTGTGCCCTCGTGGACCGACCGCATTCTCTACCGCGGGCCTCGTCCAGCGGCCCTACAGCAGACGGCTTACGGCCGCGCCGAGCTGCGGACGAGCGACCACCGGCCAGTCTTTGCCACATTCAGGGCCGAGGCACGCGTCTTTGACCACGAGCGGCGCAACGCTATCCGTCGCACGCTGCTCTCGGCTGGCAAGGCACAGTCGGCGCGTGGCGGCGGGCTGCTTGCGTCGGCTGTGCGCCTGTCGTCGGACAGCAGCGAGTATGACGAGGACCTGCCGGAGCCTTCCAGCGACACGCAGAACTGGTGGGACAAGGCAGGCAGCAGCTCAGACTCGGACGACGGCGACGCCTCGTCGGGCTCGGAGCTGAGCGCCGGCGACAGCGAGGGCACCCTCTCGGGCAATCCCTTCCAGCGCACACGGCACGACCGCTCGCGCACCGCGTCGCCCAACGGAGCGCCAGCTCGCCGTGTGCCACCTCGGCCGCCGCAGCGGGGTGCGACGATCCGGGCGCATGCTCGTACGCCATCGGGCGCAGCGCGAGAGGCGAGCGACGCTCGCGCTGCGGCTTCAGTGCCACCTCCCATCCCTGCCAAGCCGCGCTTAGACGGAGCTTCGGACGCAGCCTCGGCACAAGCACAGCCAGTCAAGCCAACGCCACCAGCGCCGCCACCACGCCCAGGCCTCGGGTCACGCTCGACGAGCTACAGCTCGATCCACTCTGCCCGCTCCCTGATGGACTCCAACTCGGACGAGGAGGAGGAGAAGAAGAGCCTCAAGCTGGGCCGAAAGCTGGAGTCCTTGACGTAATATACAGACATTCCAGGGGTCGCTCAGAGCTTCGAGCCGGTCGTGAGCACGTCGAGCGCGTCGGAGTTGCTGTTGTCGAGCCACGGCGTCAGCATTGCTCGCGCGCACGGACGGGTCAAGAGCACTCACGTCTTGCGCAGAATGGCCAGCTGCGGCTCGTAGAGCACGAGCTGCAGCGATTCTCATCAGCGTCGGGCCTGCAGCGCTCGTCCGCAGCCTCACTCACCTTGTTTGAGCCATAGCAGTCCTTGGCCGCCTTGGGCGCCAGCTTCTTCGCCAGCTCAATGGACGTCTCGAGCGTCTTGGCACCGCCGCCCTGCTCGCCCTTGGCGGGGCTGAGCACGTCGACGATGTGGTGCGCGTGCAGATCGGGGCCAGCGAAGCGGTGGCCCTCGAGGATGATCTTGCGCATCAGCGCTGGGTTGGTGATCTGCCCGCCGCAATGGGCGAGCGTCAAAAAGAGGCATTGCGAGGCTTCGTCGTGCTCGCTCACCTTTGCTGCAAGCGCGGCGTGCAGACCCGGCGGCACCTGTGCTCCGCTGCAGTCGCGCCAGTGTCAGCCATTAGTTCTGCCAGGACAGAGCAGGGACCGGGCACGCACAAGTCGATCTCGTTCATCGCAGCAAAGCCCTTGTTGGCCGACATGACGCGGTAGTCGTGCGCCGCGATCAGGCCGAAGCCAGCAGCGCTGCGGAGCATGACGTGAGTCTCTCAGCGATGCAGCAGTCCGTCGCGCCGCGCACTCACAAGGCATGGCCATTGACGCTGGCAATCGTCGGGATGGGGAACGAGAGCAGCCGCTCGTACGCCGGGAAGAGGCACTCGTCGAAGAAGGTGGCGTCGGCGATGGCCGCCTCAAAGTCGAGGCCGTTGGAGTAGAACTTGTTGCTCTTGTTGCTCTCATCGACGACGCCCGTGGTGATGAGTGCGGCGCCCTGGGCGCCCGCCTCTTCGCCGGCAATGCTGTCCCACTGCTGCCACACGTGCACCAGCGCCTCGTTGAGCGCCGTAAGAAAGTCGCGCGTGAGGCGGTTGTCGGGCGTGTGGGCACCGAGGAAACGCAAGATGTAGATGCGCGGCGACTGGCTGTGCTCCTCGAGCGTGAGGAGTGCCTTGCCCGAGGAGGGGAAGCTGGTGCTGGCGGGCATGCTGGCGCGCGTGTGCTGCTGTGCGATGGCGAAGTGTGGGATGCGAGGCAGCGAGATGCGTGTGTGGTGCGACGGGAGAGAGGTGGCCGTGCGGAGGACACGTGGAGGAGGACGAGGAGCGGCGATGCGGGGAAGCAGCCGGCGCAGCATGTCGGGGCGTGACAGCAGGAGGCGCAGCCGCACACAGGCACAGCAGCCACAGCGGGGCGCGCTCCGGGCCGGCAGCAAGCAGCATGCCGGCCGCGCGCCGCCTCGAGCTCCTCGCCCTCTCACGCAGCAGATGCAGCCCTCTCCGCATCGTCGCGGCCGCCGCATCACATACGTCTGCAGCACTCAGGGACAAGCTGATCTCGATCGTTTCATTGAATACGCAGGTTCGACGGCGGCAGACACCCTAACACAGCTCTTCAGGCGCCGACGAACTGGAAGGCCGTGCACTTTGCGCGCCCGCGCCTTGCCGGCATCTCGCTGCGAGCGAGGAGCCAGACGCACATGCAGGCGGCCGAGTGATGAGGCACAGTGGAGTCTGGGCGCCGGAGCCATCTGTACGCCTGCCGAATACTTCGCACGGCCGGCCCGCAGCGCACAAGGCAAGAAGACACAGCGCTCTGGGACTGCCTCAGCCTGCGTGCACTATGGCGCGCACAGCTTCGTCCTAGACGCTCGCAGCCGGACACCAGCAGCGAGAATGAAGCAGCTCGGGGGACTAGAAGCATGGATCTCGAGTCTGATATTAAGGTGTGTCGCGGCGACGACACCGGACTGCCTCGTGCAGCCGGAGGCGCCGCTGCAAAGAGAGCCTCTGGATATGCCCCGGCGCCGCAGTGGTGCAGGCGCCCCCCCCCTCTCTTCATCCCGTCGCCGCGAGAAGCTTGATGCTCTATTGGCCCTGCCCTGCGCCCGTAGCTTGATCACCGGCGCCCAAACGCTTGTCCTCTGCGCGACGCATCGCGCACATCCTAGTTGGCCGAATCGGCAGCAGCATCCGGACCATCTGCGGCAGCAGCAGCGTCAGGCACCGCGGCCTCGGCCTCGCTGTTGAGCTGCGGCGGCGCCTGCAGCAGTGCGGCGAGGTCTGCCTGCAGCGCGCCGTCGGACATGGCTGCGTCGCCCGCAGCAGCATCCAGCGCCTCGGCCACTGGCGCCACGATCTGCTCCGTCGGCAGTGCAGCAGCCGCATCGTCCACGGGCGCAGCGGCGGGAGCAGCGTCGAGAGGCACGGCCCCGGTAGCGATGGCCGCGTCGGCGGGCGCACCCTCTGCCATCGGCACGGCCTCTGCCTCCTCTTCATCCTCCTCTTCTTCCACTTGCGTCTCGGCAGCAGCATCGGCGCCGTCCACGTCCTCAATCTTACTGGTCGTGTCCTGCCCGTCTGTCTTGCCGTCGCCGCCCTCGGCCTCCGTCTTTTGCTGTTGCTGCTGTTGCTGCTTCGCCGCCTTCTTGGCCTTCTTCTCGGCCGTCTTCTTCTCGGCCGCCTTGCGCAGCGCCTCCTTCTTCTCGGCGGCGGCGCGCTCGAGCTCGGCAATGCGGTTCTTCTCGGCGACCTCGACGAACTCCAGACGCGTGTCAGCGTGAGCATGCGAGGGAGAGGTCCGATGCACTCACCAGTCCCTCCATGGCGGCGAAGATCACCGGCTGCGGCATGCTCATGAGAATGTCGTTGAGCCGCTTATTGAGCGCGTCGGCAGCGTCGAGGCCGGCGTACTCGGTGATCATGCTCCACAGCGCAAATACCGCGAGCGGCAGGTGTGCGTGGTTCGTCGTGAAGTGCGTGAGCTGTGACGCCTCTGCCAGCGGTCCTACGAGCTCGCTGGGCTTGACGCTGATGGCCGCGTCGGGTCGCACGGCGCGCGCCAGCATTTCGATGAGGCCCTGCGTGCCCTCGAGCTGCTCCTGTGCAAAGCGGCGGCGGTCGCGCGGCACGCCCGTGCCCGACTTGGCCGCCCACTCTTCGCACAGGTCGCGCATCGTCGGCGGCGGATCCGGGTCGACGACCTCGATCTTGCCCTGCCAGATCTGCTCGGACAGACGCGCGCTGAAGGCCGGCAGCGCAGAGAGCCACTCGCTGACATCGCCCGTCTTGAGCCACTTGTCCTCGGCTCCGTTGGCGAGCTTGTCGATGGCGACGTGAATGACGAGCTCGGACGCGCCCTGCGCATCGTATTCCTCATCCTCGTCAGGCCCGTCGTGCTCCGGAAGCAGGCGGTACAGCGGCGGCAGCTCGGCGAAGTTGCCATAGATGCCTGCCGGCGTCTCGTCGCCGGCTTCCTCCTTGGCGACGGTGGCGTCGGCGGCGGCCGCACCGGCCTCAGCAGCGGCGTCCGTGTTCACGGCCTCCTTGTCGTCGGTCTCCTCCATCTTGATGTCGGCGCCTTGCTCTGCATCGCCTTGCGCGGCAGCGGCAGCGACATCGAGGTCAGCCGACGCCGAAGCAGCCGCAGCAGGCGCAGGCGTCGGCTTCTTGTCGACCTGCGCATCGCCGACAGTCTCGTTTGCCCAGGCGTGCTCGAGCTGAGCGCGTGAGATGACGCTGAAGCCCGAGCCGTCTGCCGCAGCGCGCGTCTCGAGCACGACACCCTTGGCGATGACCCACTCCTGGCCCTTCTTCTTGCCCGAGTCGATGCGCTTGCCTGGTGCAGTATGCACGTCGAGCACGATCTCGACGCGGCCCTCGGCGCGGAAGACGCGCACGAGACGGATGACGTCGGCCTCGATGCCGATCCGCCGACGGCCCTCGGCGTACGTGAGCGTCAGACGGTTGCCGCCGAGCTGCGGCGGACCCTTGGAGAAGGGCGTCCACTCTTGCGCCTCGTCGCCGGCTGCAGCGGCGCCGTTGGGCGTGTCGCCGTTGCTCGACGAGGCGACAGTGGCCGATGCCGACACCTGAGCCTGCTCAGCCTCGGTCGCATCGGCATCGGCAGCGGAGGCGTCCTCGCTCTTCACTGCGGCCTTCTCCTTCTTCTCTTGCTGCGTCTTGGCAGCAGCGGCCTTGTCGGCGAGCAGAAGCGCCTTGGGAGCTGCAGGCGCATGTGTCGGGGCCTGGTGGGCGACGGCGGCAAAGTTGATGCGCATCTTGGCCAGCTGCACGGCACGCTTCGGAGCGGCCTTGGCAGGCGACGGCGAGCGCCGCTTTGACGCCTCGGCGGCGTCTGTGCCAGCCTCGGATGCTGCGGCGTCCTCGACAATCGCCGCACTCTCGTCCGGCTCGGCAGTGCCGGCAGGCTCGACGTCGTCGAAGATTGTCCAGCTCCACTTGACGCCGGGCATCTCAATGCCCTTGATGCGCCACTCTGTGAACGTACGCTTGCTGCCAATGGCGACGGGCTGGTCCGCGACGGTGCTTGGCCGACCAGCAATGGCCGGCACGACAGCTGCGCGCGCCTCGAATGCTGCACTCTGCGATGACTGAGCGCCGCGAGCCGGCACGACGCGACCGCCGACCACCGTCGTGGCCGGAATAGCGCCGCCGGCGCCGAAGCGGCGCGTCTGGCCGGAAGCAGGACCCATCGTGTTCTGCGCGCTGAAGCCGCCACGATTGAACATGGCGCCACGTCCAGCCGGAGCGACAGGTGCGCCGCCGCGAGCACGAGCAGCGGCAGAGGCGTCGGCGCGCGAGCGGTCCGCGGCCGAGAAGGCACCGCGCGCCGTCGCCGGCGGCATCGCGTTCACGCCGATGGGGCCAGCGAAGCGAGCGTTGTTGGCAGGCACTGGGCTCTGCGCGGGCATGGGGCCTGAGGCGTTGCGCTGGCCAAAGTTGTTTCCGGGCTGCTGCATCTGCGGCTGGCCGAACGGAGCGCTGGGCGCGCGTTGTGGCGAGAAGGCCGCCTGTGGTCCGCCGGGTGCACGGAAGTTGCCTGGGCCAGCCGGAGCACCATAGGGCGCGCCGGGCTGCGGCTGCTGCGGGCCAGCAAAGCCGCCTGGTCCGCCCTGACGAGGCGCACCGGGCCGTGCGGCGTGGCCTGGCTGAGGCGGACCTCCGCTGTTGGGTCCCCACGCACTGCCGCCGAACTGCGGGCCCGTCGGAGCGCCAGCAGGCTGGCCGTACGCCGGTGCCTGGGCATGCTGCTGCTGCGGCTGCTGCTGCTGCTGGTTCCAGCCGCCGGGCTGCGCATGCTGCATCGGCGCCGCAGCGCCATTGTAGCCCATCGGCGTCGTCGGTGCATCGAAGCGAGCGCGCTTCTGCGGTGGGCCACCTGCTGCGCCCGGACCCATGCCGGCGTGCGGCGGGCTAGCTGCGTAGCCGCCCGGCGGAGGGCCGTACTGGTGCTGCTGCGGCTGCTGCGGCTGGCCGTACGGCGCGGCAGGCTGCTGCGGGAACGCACCGGGCTGCGGCGCCTGCTGTTGCGGGAAGGCGCCATAGCCACCGGCAGGCTGACGGGGCTGCTGCGGAGCGGCGGGCTGCTGCGGATACTGGGCGTAGTATTGCTGCTGCGGCTGCTGCTGGTGCTGCTGCTGTTGCGGCGGCTGCGGCGCCGCATGTGCCGGCTGGTGCTGCGCAGGCTGGCCGTATGCGGCGTACGGCTGCGCTGCCTGCTGCGGCTGGGCGGGCTGCGGTGCGGCGCCGGCGTTGGGCGTGGCCGCTCCGCCGGCAGCTGCGGCGGCCTGCTGCGCGTAGTACTGCACAGGCAGCGTGAGCACGGCAATCCACTGTGCGGCGGCGAGACACTCACCTGCTGCCACTGCGCATGCCACTGCGCCTGCTGCTGCTCCTTGGTGAGCGCCGGGTTGGCGCCGGGAGCGGCGGCCGCCGGCTGCTGGTGCGCGTGCTGCGGCTGCTGCGCGCCGGCGCCGCCGTAGCCGTAGTTGGCGTAGGCGTTGGGGGCGCTCGGTCCGGCTGCGGGCGCCGCCGCAGCGGGAGCCGCGGGTGCGTTGTACGCCTGGAAGGGCCTGCTTGCGGGTGTGAGCAGCGCGCCACGGCCGGGCGGCTCGCTGCGCCGCGGACTCACCGCTTCATGCTGGACGCCAGCGCGACCGCGCAAGGGCAGCGAGGAGCGTGTGCGCCGAGAGAAGCCGGCCTGGCTGTGCGGTGATGCGGCGAGCGCTGGCGATGCGGAGCGTGAGGGTGCGGAGTGGTGTGAGGGCGTGGGGTGCGGAGGGGATGAGGAGAGTGCGAAGAAGCGTGCCAGCTGCTGGCGCGGTGACGTGCGCTGCCGCGAGGCACTCGCGGCCTGCCTGCATCCGGCGGGGCGCGACCCCTTCGGCTTTTCTGTATTCCGCTGCAGCGGCGCCGTAGTCGCCTCCGGCCCTTTGTTGTATTCGGCCGTCGCTCCACCCCGAGCCACTTCCACCTGCGCTTTCGAGCGCCCGCCCTGCATCTGTCCCTGATACCCTCGCCTCCTGCCATCTCTCCTGTCTGCACCGCTGGCAGTCTCTTGGAACTTCTTCACACGCCCTTCGCCACAGCACTCGACTCGCGCCTCGCTGCTTCTGCGCTCTCTCGCCCGCGCCCCACCCTTCGACTCAGCATGTCGTACAACGGCATCGGCCTGGCCACCACGCGCGGCACGTGAGTCGTCTGCGTCTGAGCGCACGCCCAATGCCTGCTCACATCTCCTCGTTCACGCAGCGCCTCCAACGGCTATGTGCAGCGCAACCTCTCGACACTGCGGCCCGAGCGCGAGCGCTTCCAGCGCCGCGACGCGCCCGACTTTCGCGATGCCGACGAGGGCGCGGCGCGCAAGCCCGACGCCGGCATCCTGGAGCACGAGCGCAAGCGCAAGGTCGAGGTGCGCTGCCTTGAGCTGCGTGTAGAGCTGGAGGACAAGGAGTGAGTACGCTCTGCCGTGGGGACGGTGCAGGTCTGTTTGCGAGGAAGTAGCATGGCGACGGCCACAGGCGACGTCTGGCGTGACAGGCGGAAGGTGCACAAGGCGCCAGACAGAGGATGATCGTCCTAGCCGCTCTCTATACGCTTCGTTGCAGCCCACGTGCGCCTCAATGCTGATACCGCCAACCGCAGTGTGGATGAGGAGGAGATCGAGACGCAAGTCGCAGCTCTGCGCGCTTCGCTGCTGCGCAACCTCTCTGCGGCGCCCACGCACGCCGAGGCACGAGCGCTGCGTCCTTCCGACACACATGCGCTGCAGGCAGCCAAGGAGATCGAGTCGTCCAAGATGCAGCGTGCACTTGGCGTCTCTGCTTCCTACCGGCCAGGCGAGGCATTCGACCGCGAGCTGCAAGAACAGCGTCGTCTGGAGCGCATGGACGAGCGTAAGCGGCGCGACGAGGCGCGCGAGCAGGCGCAGCGAGAGCGCGAGGAGCAGATGCGCAGCGCTCGGCGTCGCCAGGAGCAGGAGCGTGCAGACTTCGAACGCGAGCTGGCCAACAAGCGGCCCGACGCACGCAGCAGTCGTCCGGCAAGACGCTCCTCTCGCGAGCCGAGCCGCAGCCGCTCTCGCAGTCCGGCGCCGCGTGCTGCGCGCAGTCCGGACGACCGCCCCTCGCGGCGCCGCTACGACGACGATGCACGGCGCAGCGTCACTCCGCCCGCTGCACGGCGACGTCGGTACGACGACTCGCCTCTGAAGCGCTCAGTGTCGCCAGACGCGAGGAACCGTCGTCGCGAGGCGAGCTACACGCCGCCGCCGCCATCGCGCCGTCGTCTCGACTCGCGCTCCCCGCCCCCGCGTCGTCGCGTCGACTCGCGTTCTCCTCCGCCTCGCCGCGCCCGCGAGAGCGTTAGCCGCTCGCGGTCTCGCTCGCCGCCGCGTGCCAAGGAGGCTTCGAGGCCCGCACCGCCTGGCCCTCCGCCTGGTCCGCCACCGGCACCGGGACCGCCGCCGCCGCGCCCGCCGGGACTGTAGTAGCTCTACGGATGCCGATCCTCACGTGCAGAATGATGACCAGACGCAACGAGCCCGCATGCGCTACCCCCAGACGACTTGTGCAACGCAACGCGCGATCGTGACTATCAGCGCAGAAACTTGTGTGGTGGCCAGAAGTGAGAATGTTCGTGTTGACAGAGCTTGGAGCTGCAAGCGCGGCAAGCCTTGATTGAGCTGTGCGCTGCTCATCGACTGTGACCTTGGCCGGCCGCACGTGCGGCCAGGGCAGCCCCATGTCGGGCGGAGCTTCCATGCGTGGTGTAGCTTCGGGCCGGGGGCCACCGTCTGGGTGCCGGCGGCTCTGTCGCCGCTGGCGCAGCAGCCCGTGCGCTGCTCCCATTTCTCCGCATCAGCCGCCCAGAAGCAGTCAAGTGTGAGGCTTCCTGACATCCTTCTGTTGACAGAAATCTCATGCCGTGTCGGAGGAAGAAGCAGGAGGCGGCGCTAGCGTGGCCCACGCGTGCTCCTTTGCCCCGAGATGCAGCTGAAGGCGCTGCCTTTTGACCCATGGGGCCCGTGATGGGCTGGCGCGTGCGGGCCGCGCTAAGAGTGCGCCGGCGTCGGCGAACGTGCTTGCTTGCTGCGGAGGTGAAAGTAGACACGGCGGCGGGGCAAGGCGAAGCGAAGTGCGAGTCAACTGAGAGTCAGGATGGGAGCTCAGAGACAGTACAGCCGCGCAGAGTTGGCCGGGAGGGTGCCTTAGCGTGCCTGCCTCGGCGAAGTGCCCGATTGGCGGGGTGCGCTGCCGCCGGCTGCCTCCCGCCGGCGGCTCGCCGTGCTGCTCTTGCCTCAGCACCAGCTGCCTCACTCCTCCAGTCTGCCTCTGCCGTCGCAGGCACCTCGTCGTCCCTACATAAAGCCGCTGCTCCGCTGTCTTTCGCCATGCGTCTGCCCCAGATCCTCCTCGCGCTCCCGCTCCTGCCGTTCGCCGCACCGCCGCCCTCTGCCACCGACATGAAGCTGCCCTCGCTCGCTCGCAGTGCCGTTGCGTGCGTTGCGGCTGTCTATCTCTGTCTCTTGCTTGCTGACTCGCACCTTTGCCGCCAGGGCCGCCCTGCCGTACCTCACCGAGCGCGCCTGCCTGTCCTGCTCGTCGCCGTGCAGCCAGGATGCGTGCCAGACCAACACGCCCGGCGGCCTGCTGCTGCTCACTACCTTCTGGGGTGCGTCGCAGACGGGCATACACATTGTGTGCTGCAGCGCTGACCACTTCTGTAGACTACTCGCCGGCCACGGGCCCCGACGACTCCTTCACAATGCATGGCCTCTGGCCCGGTGCGTTTCCGTGCGCGGCGATGGGCACGGCCTCATGCTCACGTCTGCGATGCTGCCAGACACCTGCAGCGGCGGCTACGACAGCGACTGCGACTCGTCTCGCAACGTGGCCGACATTGCCGGTGCACTGCAGAGCGCCGGCGCCACCGACACGCTCGATTTCATGAACCAGTACTGGCTCGGTGCGTCGTCTGTCTCCGTCTTGTGCCAGCCAGCGCTGATCCTCTCGGATGTGCCGCAGACGTCAACGGCGACAACAACCAATTCTGGTCGCACGAGTGGAACAAGCACGGCACGTGTGTCTCGACGCTGGCGCCGAAGTGCTACGGCTCCAGCTACAGCACCAATGAGGACCTCGTGCGTGGGCTGTGACGGCCGCTGCTGACCGATATGCTGACCGACATCGTCGCGCAGGCGGACTACTTCACCACCGCCGTCGACCTCTTCAAGGGCCTCAATCTGTACAAGGCCTTCACTGCCAAGGGCATCTACCCATCGTCGAGCAAGACCTACACCAAGTCACAGCTGCAGTCTGCGTGAGCATCCCTCGTCCGCCTTTGTGTGCCGCACAGCTGACCCGTGTCGTCCGGGCCCGCAGCGCAAAGGCAGCCTTTGGCTACACGCCCGCCTTCCGCTGCCGCTCAGGCAAGCTCACCGAAGCCTGGCACTTCCATGAAACGACTGGGCGCAGCACCTCTGCCGATGCCTTCACGCGCGTGGCGCCGATCTCGGGCACTGACAATTGTCCTTCGTCGGGCATCTCGTGGGTGCCCAAGTCGTAGTATCTCGTCTCGGATTCAGATCGTCCGAGGCAGTACAGAACATATAGTGTGCGCGCGATTGAGGCAGCGACGTGATGCGGGATGGCGGAGGGAATGCTTCGGAGGGTGACAGCAGGGTGACGACGGCGGGTGAAGAGAATGAAGCGACGGCGCGGCTATGGCGGCGCAGACGCTCAGAAGGGCGTGTGCAGCACCGAGGGCCAGATGCCGTCGGGCGAGATCATGCCGCTCGGCAGCTGCTCGTGCTGGCTGCGCATCTGCTGGCCCGAGTGCAGCTGCTGATGTCCGAAGCCTTGCTGCGGCTGCTGCGCCTGTATCCGCTGCTGTTGCTGGTCGGGCTGCGAGCGCCCGCTGAAGTCCGAGGCGCCCATGTGGCCGTTGCCCGACGGCGCCGCGAGCAGCGCGCGCGAGGCAGACAGGCACGACGAGATCTCGGTGACCATCGGCGCCGCGATGCGCCAGACGTCGGCCAGGCGCGCAAGCGTGTCGTGTGCCTCCTTGACGCGCTGCCAGATGCGCTCGAGGCGCTGCAGGCGCAGAGCGTCGGCGTGCGGTCCTGCCGCGCCTTGATAAGGCCACTGCTGGCCAGAGCCGCCGCCGGACGTCTCCGCGCCGTATGGCTGCGCGTTGCCGCTTGACAGCGCCGTGGCGCCCTGTGCGGAAAGCAGCAGCTCGCGAGGGTAGTTGCTGTGCGGCTGCGCATCGAACGTCTCGTCGTCGGCAATGCCGCCGCCCGAGATGGCCAGTGCTTGCATGAGGCACACAAACGAGATGACTGTGCGGAAGGTGATGTCAGGGACGGTAAGGCAGGCTGCGGTGAGCTGTTAGACTCACGGACGAGCGAGCAGCCGTTGAACGGATTCGGGCTCAGATCCCGCTTGGAGCTGGCGTGGTGGGCGATCTCGAGGAGACGCTTACTCGCGTGCACGCAGCGCTCGAGACTGAGGCGCGGCAGGAAGGGTCCGCGAGCGTACAGGTCCTGTGCCGGTGCTGGCGCCAGAGCTTGTTGTTGCTGCTGCTCCTGCTGCGACATCCACGCGCCGTCCAGGCCGTTGCCCGTCTCGTCGAGGAACGCGTCGGGCACTGGCACCTGGCATGCGGCTGTAGAGCCGGCGCTCTCGTTGACGCTGCTGAGGAAGCAGAGCTTGCGCTCAAAGAGACTGGCGCCCTGGAACGCCTGACCCAGGTGCAGCGTGAGCGACGACGTGTAGAGCTGGATCGTCGCACTGGCACGCAGGTATTGCGCCAGATCCTCCTCGATGTCGTCGGGGCTCGCATTGGCCCGACCGTCGGCACGGCTGTGGGCGCCGATAGCGCCGCCAAGGTTGGCGCCCGGCGCCTCGATGGCAGCGATTTGCTCCTGCAGCGCCGCATCGATGTCCTCCATCGAGCGCAGAATATCCCTGCGGCTCGCCATGGGCGGCAGGCTGGAGAAGGAAGAGGGAATGACGGGCGCAGAAGAGCTAGAGTGCGGGCTGGCCGAGGCGTGCCGCGGGTTGTTGTGCGGCGAAGCTGCAGAAATGGAGGAGGTGGGCGAGGTGGCAGCATTGAGCGCCGACAGAGGCTCGTCTGCGTCGTCGACGTGCGACAGCGCCAGCACGCGGTCCTGCACCAGCAGCAGCGCCTGCAGCGAGCGCACATTGCTGCCCCACGCCGAGTCGTCCTTGCACGCCGGCATCTCGATGCGCACGCGCGGGTCGTCTGCGCGGATAGTAGGCGCGCGGGCAGTGTTGTATCTGCGGCAAGGCGTCAGTTTGTGCCGGCACTGAAGCTGCTTCCGCGAGATGTACTCACGCGCACCACATGACCAGACTCCACACCGTCCACCACACGCGCTTCTTCATCTCCCGCACGTGCGCCACAGCGGCACGGCTGTACGGGTGCTGCGTGCCCATGCCGGCCGACTCGCGCGGCGTCGTGAAGCTCGAGGGCGTCTGCATCGCCGCGCTGCTCGGCGGCGTGGCCTGGTGGTAGCCCTTGGACATGGCCAGGCCGAGCGCCTGGTCCGCCTTGAGGCGCGCCTTCAACGCCCGTCCGCTTCCGTACTGCGCAGCACAAGAGCATCAGTCTGCGGCCCGGCTGCCACTCGTGCGCGCCCAGACTCACCTCATAAATGACAAGCACAGACAGCGCCTGGATGACCTCCAGCGTGATGGCCTCGCTCGTGCCAGCGTCTTCGCTCGAGCTCTCGATGCGCTCGAGCGCCTCATCGATGGCCTCGCTGGCCATGCGTTCGAAGCGCGTCGTTGTCTCGCGCACGCGCTCGTGCTTGGCAGAGCCGAAGTTGACCTGGCTCGGGTGCATGCCGTCCTGCAGCGGCTCCTCGCGCAGGAAGGGGATGACGGCCTGGATGGCCAGCAAGAAGGGGCTCGATGGCGACATGGCCGACGCCACGGAGCCGACGTGCGCCGGCGCGAGGAAGACGGGGATGAAGCGGTAGATGTAGCGGAAGTACTCTGCGAGCAGCGACTGCGTGCCGCCGGGCGGCGATGCTGGCGCGTAGTCGTTGAGCCCCGTGAGCGGCGCTGCAGCACTGCCGGCACTCCACGTTGGCGCGTTGTTGTTGTTGCCCGACGAGCCGACGCTGCCCGGCCCTGCGTGGTGCGGCATCTGCGACTGCAGAGCCGTGGTCATGTCGCCGTAGGTGAGGCCCGGATAGAGGCTCAGATCAGGCCCCGTCCAGCCGCTGTCCTCGGGCGTGAGGTTCTGATAGTGCCGCAGGCCGGCCACCTCGCCAGGCACGCGCACGGCCGTCGTCATGTCTGCCAGGCTGAACAGCTGTTCCATGTGGCTCTCGAGCGGGCCGACTGTGACCGCGTCAGCAAGGCGCTGCAGGATGCACGACGCGTGTCAGACTCACGGCGGTCTGCCTTGGGCTTCGGCTTGCCGCCGCGGCGGCTGATGGTGAAGCAGCAGTCGTCCTCGCGCCCGCGTGCAATGCACGCGGCGCACGGGTTCTTGCCGTTGCAGCGCGACTTGCTGGAGGGAGCGAGGCGTGTCAGCTGGGCGCTTGTGCACCTCACGTGCAGCAGACGACTCACCGCGAGCGGCAGAAGGTGCATGCGCTCTTCACTGGCGGCTGCGCGACGTTCTTGTTGTCGCGGATCGGCCCGACGCTGGAGTGCGCACCGGCCGGCAGGCCGTCGTCGTTGCTGTCGGCGCTGAGCTCGCGTCCGTACGCCGGCTGCGCGCCGTCGCCGTGGCCCTGGCCGACGCGCACGAGCGGCGGCGCGCCGTTGCCATTGTCCATGGCGTTGCCGGGCCAGGCATGCCCGTTGCTGCCGGGAAAGGCAGAGTGCGAGGTCCAGTTCATGGCTGCAGCGACGCGCGCCGGGCAGCGCGGGCAGCGCGACGGAGAGCGGAGATGCGGGTGCGCGGTGGCGCAGGCGTGCGAGACGTGCGCGCGGCGTCGTCGAGCAGCGGCGAGAGGTGTCGTGTGCGGGTAGGAGGTGCAAGGGCGGGGCAGCTGGTGCTGCGTGTGCGGGTGTGAGGGTGCAGAGCGAGGCGAGAGATGGCGTGCGCCAGCCCGCTGCCGACGGCTCGCTGCCGCAGCCGCCGCGCCCGCACGACGACGTGCGCGGCTGCTGCGCCGCGCTGTCTCTCATGCAGCTCTCTGCGGGCTGGCTGACGTCGGGTGCGGGCGCGGCGGGCGCCGCGGCGGGCGCGGCGGCGCTGGCGGGTCAGCTGCCCGCCCAGCACCAGGTGCAGCACCAGAGCCGCAGGCAGACGCAGCGTGCCTCGCTTCACCTCCGCCTCTCCGCACCGCGCCGCGCCGCCCGCGGAGGAGCGCGCGCAGCACGGCGCAGGCACAGCAGCGGCAGAGCGAAGAACAGGCGCCATCCGCTGCACCGCGCTCTGATGCTGCCCTCGTCCCCCGCGGCACCGCTCCTCACTTTGCGTAAAAGTGCACTCAGACTCTGGCTAAGCGGTCAGCACTTTGCCTTCTGCCGCTGCCTCAGGGCGCGGCCCTTCATTGCTTCTGAGAATCTCAGCCAGCCGCCGGGAGCGTTGCCGCAGCAGCTTCGTGCCTTTGACCTCCTCTCCGACATCGTCGTCGATCGTCGCTGCGTCGCTGTCTCGCCTCGATGAGCGCTGTTATCGCCTCATCCGTGCACGCGTGAGAGCATGCACACCGTGCCTGCACGCGACGCTAAAGCCGCGCTCCGACGTCTGCCGGCGCAGCTGGCTTCGCACCCACCCCTCTCTCCGCAGGGGCAGCCGCAGCATGCAAGGCGCACCCAGCGCACGAGGCATGCAGAGAGCGCCTCTACGGCGCCCAGGTGGACAGCCGAGAAGGGCGAAGCATGAAGAGAGCGGGAGGAGAGCAGTGCTGCGCTGGCTCGTCGTGCCTTTTCTCCGGCGCCGACGCCAGAGCCGACTTGGCGCCCAGCAGGCGTCCTCTCCTGCTCGGTGGGCTTTCCTGCGTCTGCGGCCCCGGTGGGAGCACCGCTGCACCTCGCGCCTCTCTGCGTCGCTGCGACAGCCCGCAGCGGCATCCTCAGCATCGTAGACGCCGTCCAGTCGAGGTGCTGTGCTGCGGCGAGACCTCCCTGCTTGGGCCCGTGGAGGACGTGGAGCTTACGTGACAACGAGACCCTCGGGCCTACAGGCACGGCTCCGTGCGCGCCGCGACGCGCGAAAGCGAGAGCGAGGCGCTCCCGAGGTGCGCCGCGTGCCTACAGCGCGGGTATGTAGCGCGTCTCAGCCGGTCCTAACCAGCCGCAGAGGAGACGGCACCGGGCGTCGTCTGCTGCTGTCTTCTTCTGTCCCTCGTCGCTGAGGCCGCTCCTTCCTGCTTGCCTGCTGCTTCGCTCATGCTGCTGCTGCTTTTGCACGTCCTCGTTGGAGCCGGCGCCGTGGGCCCGCCGTGAGCGTGTCTGCTCTCGCTGCAGCGCGCGTACCACAGGCAGACAGCCGTACTCCGCCCGGCGCCCGACCTGATTCTTATTCTGGGCCCTGGAGTTCCACGCTAGACGAGTGATGTGACAGGCTGCCTGCTGCTGATGCTCCTGTTCCCCTCGGCTGCGCAGGCGTGAGCAAGAGGATGGAAGCCAGCTCGCTGCTCATCACGTGCGGCGTGCGATGCTTACGCAAGCAGGGGCTGTGCCTGCTCCACATCACGCGGGCGGCCCGGGCGCTCCGAGCTCTCTCCTGCTCCAAGCTCTCCCCCTTACCACCTCCACGCTCACCCAGCATGGCCTCTCAAGTGCCCATCCCCAAGTCCAGCGACGCGCCGCCCGCCGTAGCCCCCGCATGGAACGGCGGCGCCACGCTGCGCGACGAGCATGAGCGGCTGGCGCGTGCCTCGGAGATCGGCACACAGCAGCAGGGCTACGTCGACGAGAGCGGCAAGAGCAAGCTGTTTCGAAAGCTCAAGCAGGAGCCGGCAGTGCCGATCGGTGAGTCGCATTGCTGGCAGCGCCGCAGGCGGGAGAGAAGAGAGAGAGAGAGTGAAGGCCGAGCTGCGACTGTACCGGGCTGTATGTGCGCCGGCTAGCTGCACAGCCAGAAGCGCGGCGTGCGAGTCTTGGTGTGTATGCGGTGTAGCTAGCGTTCCCGCTGCGGACTGTATGCGGTCTGGACTACTGCACGGCAAGATGCTCGCATGATCCGCCACACACCCGCCCGAGGTCTCGCTGCGCAACTGTGCGAGCGTCCTGGCTGACGCTCCTCGTCAGGCTCGCTGCTCACCGTCGGCGCGCTCCTCTACGCCTCGCACTACCTGCGCACGGGCGACCGCGTCAACTTCCAAAAGGCGCTGCGCTGGCGTGTCGGCCTGCAGGGCGCCACCATCGTCGCCGCCATTGCCGGCACGCTCTACTACGGCTCGGGCGACCCCGCAGCGCCCTCCTCTTCCTCCGCCGACATTGCCACGGCGCCGGGACGGCCCGCGACAGTGCACCAGGTGCAGCGCGCAGAGGAGAGGAAGGAGTCGCAACGGGCGATCCTGGCGGAGCGCATGAAGGAGGCGGAGGAGAAGGAACGGCTCAGAGAGGAGGAGGAGGCAAAGCATGTCGACAATCTCCTGCGGCCGGCCGGCGGCAAGCGGTCATGGCCGGTGGTGGGACAGGACAAGCGGACGTTTTAGGGTCGAGCGAGATCAATTGTATATCAAAAGCGTGTGTGTGTAGAGAGGCTGGGCAGTGGGGAAAGGGGGTGCATTACTTGCTCGACTTGTCCAGCGGGTCAGCGTGCTTCTCGTTGATCTGCGAGGCGAATGAGGGTGAGTACAGCATCAGATGATCTTCGGGGGCGGGGGCTACTCACAAGCACGAAGCGGTAGCGCACGTCGCCCTTCTCGAGGCGGTCCGCCGCCTCGTTGACACCCTCCTCCGTCATCGGCAGCTCCTCGATGATGGGCTGGATGCCGTGGCGCGCCGAGAACTCGATCATCTGCCGGTGCAGCGGCCGGCTGGCAACGACGCTGCCCATGATGCGCAGCTCGCGCGAGATGATGCTCTGGTACGACTTCAGCCTGAACGGCTCAGGCGAGACGGAAAGAGGCACGACGGTGCCGCGGCTGGCCATGACCTTCTCGCTGGTGTACGCGTCCCAGTCTGGCTGCACCGACGTCGAGACGAAGAGATACTTGACGGGCTTGGCGAGCTTCTCGAGGCCTCCGTCCTTGGCAGCGACGAACTCCTTAGCGCCGAGACGCAGTGCCTCGTCGCGCTTCGAGTCCGAGCCGCTGAACGCCACGACGTCGCACCCCATCTTCGCGAGATACTGCAGGGCGAGGTGGCCAAGGCCGCCGAGGCCGACGACGCCGACGCGGTCCCACGGCTGCGCACCCGAGTTGACGATGGCGCTGAGCACCGTGGCGCCGGCGCACTGCAACGGCGCGGCGTGCTTGAGCAGCAGCGAGTCGGGGATCCGGTGGAGGAACTGGGCGTTAATGACATAGTGGTCGCCCAGCGAGCCCTGCTGGGTGTTACTGGCGCCAAAGAGCTTGCGGTTTGGGCAGAGCGTGTCGACGCCGCGGATGCAATTGTCGCAGGTGAGGTCGGCACCGTGCACGTAGCCCCTAGAATGCCAGCGTGAGCATAGACATCCGGGATGGCAGCAGAACGACTGCACTCACCAGCCGACGCGGTCGCCCTTCTTGAAGCTCTCGACGCCGCCGCCGACCTGGCTGACGACGCCGACGCCCTCGTGGCCCAGGCCGATGCTGGCCTTGCGGTAGTGCAGGTCCGTGCCGCAAAGGCCAGACGCGACAATGTCGATGAGTACCTCGTGCGCCTGCAGCGGCACCTCGCCGGCATCGTGGGCGGCGATGCGGCCCGAGGACTTGTCACCGCGGAACGAGCGGCCGAGCGAGACCATGGGCGCGGAGGAGGAGGAGGCAGTCATGGTGCGGTGTGAGGTGGTGGTGGTGGGGTTGAACCGGCTCATCTCGGGCTGCCGCTGCCGTGTCTTATAGCCAGACGACGCCGCCGTGCCTACGGCCGAAGCAGCGCCGCCCTTCGACAGGCGTCCTTTCTGCGGCTGCACCCTGCATGCTGCTGGCGTGCTCGCTGTGTGTCGTGTGCCATCGGCCGTCGCCTTCGCTGCGATAGCGCTTCTGGCTGAGCGCTGGCGGCCTGCCCTTTCTACTCGCCGCGCTCCACCGCCATGACGCGCGAAATTCTGGCGCATGACGCACGCGGCGCCGCGGCCGGCTGTCGTCGGACCGGCGCGCCGGCCGTCAGAAGATCTGCAGCGTGCTGCATGCTGCCTCGGCAGATTTTCTGAGGCTGCGCCGGAGATAGCAGCCAGCAGCCAGCAGCCAGCACAGTACAGACATCAGCAGCAGGCCACGGCGGCGGCTCGCGGGAGAAGAGCTCCCCTCGAGAGCAGCAGCGCTCGCAAGAGGGCTAGCAGCGTCATCATGAACGGCCCGCCGCGGCACGTGCACGGCATGGCCCCCTGAGGCAGAGCTGAAGTGCGCCGCGAGACCGACGAGGCGCAAGAGGCCGTCCTCTCACCTGCTGCTCTGCACTGTGCAAGGGCGCACAGAAAGCGCACAGAGCACCGTTGCCCTCGAGGTCGTACGACACGAGACAGCTCGCGCAGCGACAGCAGGCAGCGGCTGCGAGATTGGTGCGCTGAAGGCGCGCCTGCCGGCCGGCCCGTGCACTCGAGTACGTCGCAGAGCTTGATCGATGGCGCCCCTGCATCCATCATCTACCTCTCCCTGCCTCTCCGCAGCCCCTGCCAGCACCCAGCGGCAGACACAACAGCAGCACGGTCGCGGTCATGAGGTATGCAAATTGCTATGAGAGCGCAACAGGATGAAGGCACAGCAACGAGCGCGCTGTGTGTCCGATGGCATCATGTAGTCCAGGCATCGCTGCTCATGCGCTGCTCTTCACGCCTTGTGCGCCGGGTCCAGCCCAGTACGCACGGGCGCCGAGTCAGCCGTCGAGTGGAGCGTCGAGTCATGCGTGCCCTCGAGGTCCGAGTCTGCCTCTTCTGCGGCGTCTGCCACGTGCGCCTGCTTCTCCGGGTCGTTGGCGTCTGCCTTCTTGTCCTTCTCCTCCGCGCCCGCGTGCACGTTGCGTCGTGAGAGCGAGTAGCCTTTGAGGCCGAGCGACGCCAGGAATCCCACGCCCACGATGGGCGTGAGGATGATCCAGAGCGTGCGCACGGCGTCGGCGTAGAGCACCGTCACTTCTCGCCGCAGCTCGAGCGGCTGCAGCGAGGCAATGCCGCGAATGTCGGCCGTCGGGTTCTCGGGCGGCTCGAAGCCGACAAGGCCAGCGGCGCCGCTGCGGACTCGCGCGGAGAAGATGGCGCCTGCGATGGCAATGCCGAGTGCGCCGCTGGTGGAACGCACCATGGCCATGGCACTGACACTGGCTGCCATCTCGGTGTGCGGCATCGCCGCCGTGATGGCAATCGTCGGCGCAAGGAAGAGACATCCGAGGCCCATGCCGGCAATGAGAATCGTAATCTCCTGCGTGGCCTTGTTGGAGTCGGCATCGAGCAGTATCATCAGGCCCTGCCCGAGAAAGTAGACCGCGAAGCCGCCGATGAAGACGGGGCGGTAGGCGCGCGTCTTGGTCATGGTCAGGCCGGAAAGGGCAGAGACGACGGCAGAGACGAGCGAGAAGGGCAGCTGCTGCACGGCCGAGAAGATCGGCGAGCTGCCGAGGATCTGGAAGTAGACTGGAATGTAGAACGTCTGGGCAAGCGAGTGCGTCAGCAGGGGCTGTGCGGGGGGGGGGGGCGGTCTACAGTGCAGGCCGGCACCACTCACCGCGGCGAAGAACGCGATGCCGTGACAGACGACGCCGACGAGCGCGAGCACGGTGGTGCGCAGCCGGAACAGGCGCGTGGGGATGATGGGGCGCAGTCCCGGCCAACGACGTTCGGCGTAGAACTCCCAGCAGATAAAGACAGGGAACAGCGCGCCGCCGACGGCCAGCAGGGCAATCGTGCGTGCTGAGTCGAACGTCTCGATCTCGCTGTAGATGAAGCCGAGAAGGAACGTGACGATCGCAGCGAGGAGGAGCAGGTAGCCGTACACGTCGAACTCGGCCCAGACTTCGCGAGGAGTGCGCTTGCGCGTGTTGTTGACTTTGAGGTTGAAGAAGAGCACGACGAACGGCACGACGCCGAGCGGCAGGTTGATGAGGAACAGCCAGCGCCACGTTGTGGCGTCGGCAATCGCGCCGCCGATGAGCGGGCCGCTGCAAGCAGAGGATGAGCGTCATCTGCGTGAGACCAAGAGGGGAGGGTTACGTACGAAACGCTGGCCAATCCCCACACGGCGCCAAAGAGGCCCTGGGCAGCACCTCGCTGTTCGAGCGTGTAGATGTCGCCAAGCACAATCTGAGCCAGCGCAATGATGCCGCCGCCGCCGACGCCCTGTACGCCGCGGCAGATGTTGAGCCACGTGGCCGACTGCGCCGCCGCACACATGCCCGAGCCGAAGAGGAAGATGAGAATGGCGATCCAGAGCATGATGCGTCGGCCCTGCGATGACGAGTCAGTTGGATGAGCAAGGCTGAGAGCAGCGAACACATGAGACGCACGAGGATGTCGGAGAGGCGGCCCCAGAAGGGAATAAGCGACGTGGCCGTGAGGAGGCTGGCAGAGGCATGATCAGCCAACGAATTACACACGACCCACGCTGCAGACTCACTAGGCACTGGCGACCCAGGTGAAGGTCGACGGCCCGCCTCCGACCTGCTCCACGATCGTCGGCAGTGCCACCGACACGATCGTCTGGTCCAGCGCTGCCACTGCCACATGTCTCCCTTATCAGTCCTGCTTCTTGCGCGGGCCCATGTGAGGCTATTACGCACAGTACACCGTGAGCATCAAGCCCGGCATGACGATCCACAGGCGGTTCTTGGGAATGTGGACGACGCCTTGTTGCAGATGATGCAGCGGCTTGCCGTCGGCGCCGCGCACCAGGCCGTCCTCGCCGGCTGCGGCGCCCGGAGCGGGCGCCTGCGGTGCCGCGGCGGCAGCAACAGCGGCGTCTGCGCTGTCGGGCGCCGAGACGGGCGCCTTGCCGTCGGAACTCGTCGCCGACGCGCGCCGCGACGCAGGCAGCGTGCTGGCGCCCGTGCCGGCGCCGTCGTGCGAGGCGCGCACGGCGCTGGAGGCGGACATGCCGGAGCGCGTGAGCGTGGGGCGCGCAGAGAGGTGCAGCCGGAGCGGTGCAGGCGCGGCGACGAGAGTGAGGGATGTGGCGACGGCGGTGGTGATGGTGTGAGAGATGGAGCGTATGGTCTGGGGGCCTCACGAGGCCCGAGTCAGCGGCGTGCCTTCTTGTACCCTTCGCTAGCTGCAGCAGACGCAGCTTGCTCTTGCCCTTGCTGACACGGCTGTTTGCCGCACGCCGGTGCCGAGCTGCATGCGCTGCGGGGTGCTTTGGCCGCCGTTCCGCGGCCGGCAGCTGCAGGGTGCCGCGGACGCGCCTCTCGGCAGGCCGCCGGGGAAAACGCCGCGGTGCGCAGGCCGCCGCCGCGGCAGCGTCACCCTCACCTCACGCTCGCTGCACCTGATGAGCCAGGAGGTCCGGACGTTGCCTCGACCTCGTGGCGCCTGAGCGGCTGCCGCGTGACTCATCCCTCACAGCTGTCGATAGCCTGAAGCACGCACAAGTACAAGCCGAGGCGCGGGCGCGAGGCCCCAGCAGCCGCCTTCCCGCTCGTGGCCTGCAAGACGCGAGTCACCTCTCGGAGCCGAGCCGCAATCTTTGCGTGTTGGGGCTCGGCCTTGAATTAGCCTCATGTGTGTAGCGCCTCAGCGGCTCTTTACCAACCCCTGGTGCTGCCACCCCCTCTCACAAGGCACAAAGTGCACCTGCGGCCAGCGTTGGAGGCCGCGCTGAGCCCGAATCGCGATGCATCAGGAGCCGCACGAGTCAGCCCACAGCAGCAGACGGCAGCTAGCAGCGTGCCGCGCTTGCCGAGCGCGTGCCGCAAGCGCGCGACGGCCGATGATCGGCCGCACGCTTAACTCCGGTTCCGCGGGATGCGGTATACCTCGAGGGCTCATGAGCGAGCTCTCACCCTCCATCGTCTTGGCAACATCATCAGAAGCCTCAACGCTAGCGATCGGGGGTCTCTAGGGGAAAAACGCATTCTATTGCACGACGAAGACGGCACACTTGCGTTGCGAGCGCGCCGTCTGCGCCTTTTGCTTGACGCCGTCAAGCCGCGCTGACCTCAATCCCAACCCACGCCGTCTCTCTCACCCTGCGCATGCCACATCGCTCAAAGAAGCCCTCGGCGCCCGACATGACCTCCGTGTCGGCGCTCACCTGGCACATTGCCTCGCCAATGTCCTGCGGGCGCAAGCCGGCGCGCTGCAGCGCGCTGCGGAGGCAGGTGCGCAGCAGCGGCGCCATGTGCGCCAGGAGCAGACGCCCGATGCCAGGCGGGCAAGCGAGACGGCGATAGGGAGTGGTGACGTGCAACGCTCCCAAAGAGAGCTCTTCGTGCGCGTACACGAAGCCTGCAGCATGCCCTGCGCCTTGCTCGCGCGGGTATGCGTCGCTGGGGAGCGCTGGCGATGCTGTTGCGGCCGCTGCTGTGGCGCAGGGAGAGGAGGGCCCGAGGAGATCGCGCACAAAGACACTGAGATGTGCTCGCGACTCGACGTACTCGCGAGGGAAAGGAATCTTGTTGCTCGTTCGTATCTGGGCAGTAAAGTCCAGAGGTTCAGTTACCTCACATACACCCAGCAACGCAGCGGACGGCAATCTGCGCTGTTCCCTGTTGCACGCTCCCGACCGCGATCCTCTGCTGAGGAGCAATAGGGAGAGGGGGACTAGGGCGAAGACTCACCAACTCTAACTCTCCCTCGCCCTCGATGGGCGCCACTTTCCAGCGCTCCTTGCCCTTGCCGGCCTCCTCGGACAAGCGTAGTGTCTCTGCATCACACTGGTACGTGACGCACGGATTGGCCCACATCGCCTTGACCTGCTCCTTCTGCGCGCGCGCCGCGCGCGCGCCGTGCGAGGCAGCCGGTGTCAAGGACTCCGAGCCCTGTCGCAACGGCTGCAGCGCGCCGACGTCTGCGTGTGCCCAACTGCAGATCAAGTTGAGCCAGGAGCGTTCGAGCGAGCACAGGGTAGCAGTGACGACGACTGGCGCCTCGTCGCTTGAAGAGGCAGGCGGCAGGGAGCCGGCTGCGTGCAGCGCCGCTAGAGCGGGCGGGAGGAGGCGATGCAGCATGTGCCGCAGCAAGACTTCTTCCTGCGCGAAGCGCTCGGAGAGCGGCGGAGCCGAGGAGCTCGAGGAGGAGGAGGCGTGCGGCGAGGAGTACAGCGCCGGCTCGGAGGAGAGCCAGACATTGACGCGAGCGTTGGTGGCGCCGGGCGACGTGTAGATGTGCACGACGCCCCACAGGCCGCCGCTCTGCACGCTCGGCACGCTTGCCGACGCCTGCGTCTGCGCTGGTGCTTGTGCTTCGACACACAGCAGGTGCGGCGGCACATGGCCGACGAGCAGCGTGCTGCTGCCCGGACGGAAGCGCTGCATCGCTGCCCACGGCTCGCGCTCGCGCTCGAGCTCGGGCTCGGCGGCGCAGGCCGCGGGGCGCGCGCAGAAGTGCGAGAGCAGCTGGTTGCGCATCGACGAGGCGCTGGGCAGCTGCGGCGCGTGGGAGAGATGCGTGATGAGAGCGAGGTAGTCGATTGAGGAGGCGGAGTGGGTTGGGATGGCGTGCATCGTGGGCACGGGTGCGGGTGGTGGGTGGTGTGTGGACGGCAAGGAAGAAGGCGGCAAGGGCGGCGGCGGCATGTGGAGCAAGCCGCGCCAACGGAGGCAGGTGCGGGAATCGGGACCGCGAGAGGCGCGCCGAGTCGAAAAGTCAACGGCGAGCTCGCGCTGCTGACTCCCTCTCACCCTCATCCCTCGCCCTCATCCTCACTCTCCGCCGCAGCACGTTTGCGCCTCCACAAACAGGCCATGTCCTTCTCTTTCGCCTTTGCGCTCGACGAGCAGGGCGAGGCGGGCCTTGCGCCCGAGGAGCCGGCCGTGCAGCCCGTGGCAGGCGCAACTGCCTGCGCCTCGCCTTCGACCTCTGGCGCGGCGGCGGGCACAGGACGTAGCTGGACGCTTGACGAGCTGGTGAGGCGGCTTGCGGCCCGTTCTTGGGCGTTGTGGGTGGGGGGCACGGGGGGAGGGGAACAACAGCTGACCGTCGTGCGTATGTACCACACAAAAGATGGACACGCTGCCATCGCGCATCTCCTACTCGGCCCTCTCGGTGCCCCTCGACGCCGCCGCGCCGGGCGGCTCGCCACGCGCCGTGCCCATCTTCCGGCGCGATCTCTTCGATGCGCGCTTCCAAGTGCTCACCTCGTCGACAGAGCACGACGACGACGACGACGACGACGACGTGGAGGAGGGCACGCCGCGTCGGCAAGGCGCCGCCGCTGCCGCTGCCGCCGCGCAAGAGGAGCAGACGCACGTCGGCGCGGCATCGGACCTGCTGCCCGGCGTGTATGAGGGCGGCCTCAAGACGTGGGAGTGCTCCCTGGACCTCGTTGCGGCGCTCGACTCGCTCGATCGCGCAAGGACAGAAGCGGCAGGCGAGGCGTGGAGCTGGCTGAGGGGATGCAGGGTGCTTGAGGTGCGTCTTTTTTTTCGCTCGTCTGGCCCTCGCCCCCGCACAGGCCCAAGACCGGTGGATAATGTGAGGCGGGGCCTGACCACATCACACGCAACAGCTGGGCTGTGGCACAGCTGTGCCGAGCGCCTTCTTGCTGCAGCGCCTCTTCTCGCTCAGTGATGCGCCGCCGCAGCAGCAGCACGAGGCACGGCAAGCAGAGGCAAAGGCCACGCTGCTGCATCTGTGCGACTTCAACGCCCAGGTCCTGCAACTCGTGCGTGCCTTTTTCGCTTGGTATGCAAGCCCTCTTGCAGTGAGGGTGTGTGGCTCATTGTCTTGCCCCCTCCCCACCCCCCTGCCCCCTGGTGCAGGTGACGCTCCCGAACCTGCTGCTCGCCTGGTACTTCTCGCCCGCCAGCTTGTCGTACCGGCAGACTTCGGGCTCAGCGTTCGAGTCGGCTGATCTCGTCGCCTCGTCGGGCGACATTGCCGTCTCTGGCGCGCTGCGCGCCGCCTTTGTCGCCTCGCTCGCGCAGCAGCACATCGAGCTGCGTTTCGACTCGGGCGACTGGAGTGCCTTGAGGCTGGAGCAGCGCTACGACGTGGTGCTGAGCAGCGAGACGATCTATGCGCCCCGCTCGCTGGCGACGCTGTGCGAGACGCTGCAGCGCGCCTGTCGCGCGACGCCGGCACCGCAAGAAGCGCGGCTGTGCGAGCGCCTGCGCCACACTTCTCTCGCGACAGGCGAGGCCTTCGACTCGCCGTCGGCCTCGGCGCCGCACGCCTTGCCCGCTGCCTCGCCGACGACGTGTCTCGTCGCCGCCAAGATTCTCTACTTTGGCGTCGGCGGCGGCGTGCGCGCCTTTGAGGCCGAGCTGCGCCGCCGCCGAGGATGGAGCGAAGTGCTGCGCGAGACGCAGGCAGGCGTGGGCAGAGTGGTGCTGGGCGTCGGCTGGGCCTGAGCTCGTCGGAGCGGGCAAGCAGGCTGAGTGCCCCATGTAAAATAGAGCCCCCTTGCTTTGAACGAGGAGGTCTGAGTTCTGATTGTAGTGGAGTCGAGATGCCTGCTGCCTTGGCGATCGTCTCGTCGCTCTCGCGCCGTCGGCAAGTCAGAGTTTGAAACGCGGCGGCGCGCGCGCGCGCCGCCGCGCGGCGGCTGTGCAAAAAAGTAAAGGCGGCGCGCGGCCTCGCCTCGCCGCGAAGGTCGTGTGCCGAGCTCTCTAGCGCGTTGCTTGCCGTTGCCCCACCCACACACACACACACAATGACGCGCTACACGAAGCTGGGCGGGCGCAAGCCGGCGCATCTCGCCAGCAGTGCCGAGCAGCAGGCGCAGGCGCAGCGCTACGCCAGTGCCAGTGCCTCGCCGCCGCCGCCGCAGCAGCAGCATGAGCATGGCGCCTCTTCCTCGTCGCTCGCGCCACTTGCATCCGGCGCACCAGCGTCGCTGAAGCGCAAGGCCGCCGCCGAGGCAGACGAGGCAGACGAGGCTGCTGCGGCGCAGGCGCAAGCCGCCGCCGCCGCCGCCGCCGCCGCAGAAGCACCGTCGGCCTCGGCGCTGCTCAAGCGCGCAAAGCTGCTGCGCCTCAAGGCCAAGAAGGCCAAGGAGCCGCTCAAGCGCGCGGCGCTGCAGCGGCAGGCCAAGGAGAAGGAGCAGCAGGCGAGCATGGCGAATGGCGAGGCGGGCAGGAAGGGCGAGAAGGACAGGCGCACAAAGCAGCAGCTTTCGCGCGGCGAGGAGCAGGAAAAGGAGGGCAATCCGTGGAAGAGAATGGAGGCTGGTGAGTGTTGCCTTTGCACTGTTCGTCCGTCGTCGCGAGAGGAGGGGGCAAAGGAGATCAGCGCCCGCCGGGGGGGGGGAGTGGGCAGAGTGG